GGGGTGGGGGGGGGTGGAAGGGAATAGGTAAAATGAAAAAATCTAATCTTGGTTTTCATTTCTTTTTACAGGACAAAGATTATGAGCGACCCCACCCAGACATGGACTCCACTCGTCGATACAAGTTAAGGTTAGTAAAGTTTTTCTTTTTTAGGAGGGGAAAAGGTAAATTGAAAAATCTAAACTCCTTTTTATTTCTTTTTACAGGACAAAGAAGATGATGAGCGACTCCACCCGGACAAAGACTTCACTCGTTGATACAAGTTAAGGTTAGTCAAGTTTATTTTCTTTGGGGGGATGGGGGCGAGTTGTAAATTTAAAAAAATCTTATCTCGTTTCTATTTCTTTTTACAGGACAGAAGATGATGTGGGACTCTACACAGACATTGACTACTTTTTGGATCAAGAATTCAAGATTAGTAAATTTTTTAAGAGGGGAATAGGTAGCCTGAAAAAAATCTAATCTTATTTTTTATTTCTTTTTACAGGACAAAGAAGATGATGAGCGACTCCATCCGCACAAAGACTTCACTTGTCGATACAAATTAAGGTTAGTAAAATTTATTTTTTTGGGANTTTTTTTTTTCTTTTAAAAATAGTTTTTTAATTTTTTTTTTTTTTTTTTTTTTTTGGGGGGGGGGGAGGATACGTAAAATGAAAAAATCTAATCTTGTTTTTCATTTCTTTTTACAGGACAAAGAAGATGATGAGCGACTCCACTCGGACATGGACTTCACTCGTTGATACAAGATAAAGTTAGTAAACTTTTTTAATTTGGGAGGGGGGTTGTAAATTGAAAAATAAATCTAATCTCCTTTTTATTTCTTTTTACCGGACAGAAGATGATGAGCGACTCCGCAAAAACATTGACTACTTTTTGGATCAAGAATTCAAGGTTAGTAAATTTTATTTTGGGGTGGGGTGGGGTGGGGTGGGGGGGGGGAGGGAGATTGGTTAACTGAAAAAAATCTTATCTTGTTTCATATTTCTTTTTACAGAACAAAAAAAAAAAAAGATGAGGAACTCCACCCTGACATTAACTTCACTCGTCCACACAAAATAAGGTTAGTAAAGTTTTTTTTCTTTGGGGGGGGGGGGGGAATTGAAAAAATCTAATCTCCTTCTTTCTTTTTACAGGACAGAAGATGATGTGGGACTCCACACAGACATTGACTACTTTTTGGATCAATAATTCAAGGTTAGTAAATTTTATTTATTTGGGGACGAGGATTAGTAAATTGAAAAAACTAATCTTGCTGCATATTTCTTATTACAGGACAAAGAAGATGAAGAGCTTCTCCAACCGGACATTGACTTCAGTCTTAGATACAAGCTAAGGTTAGTAAATATTTTTTGGGGGGAGGGGGGGGTGTAAATTGAAAAAAAATCTAATCACTTTTTATTTCTTTTTACAGGACAGAAGATGATGAGCGACTCCACACGGACATTGACTACTTTTTGTACCAAGAATTCAAAGTTGGTAAATTTGATTTTTTTTTTTTTTTGGCAGGGGGATTGGTAAATTGAACCAGACATAGAATTCACTCGTGGATACAAGTTAAGGTTAGTAAATTTTAATATTTTGGGGGGTGGGAGGAAAGGTAAATAGAAAAACATATCATCTTGTTTTTTTATTTCTTTTTACAGGACATAAGATGATGAGCGACTCCACGCGCACATTGACTTCTTTTTGGATCAAGAATTCAAGGTTAGTAAATTATATTTCTTTGGGGGGGTAGATACTGTAAATTGATAAAAAAATCTTATCTCGACCCTGCATGATCTTTGATAAAGAAAGTATACTAACAGCCAAAGTCCGTACATAAATCTTTCGAGCCATCACATACACACAAATAAAACTGAACCTGATAATTTCATGTATGTGCTCCTTATCCTCTGAAATCGCGTAAGGAGCTACGGGCTACGCCGAGTACTAGTATTAATGTCTACATTACATGGCCTTAATCCTTTCGATTTCGCACGGCCACCGTCTACCTCCGCTCAGACGCCGTACGAAAAGGGACAGTTTACATGCACCGTACGGGTATCGCATTTTAAATGTAATCCAGGCTTTGGTATAGACGAATTCTATAATAAAACACTACTAGCCACCCTTGTGATAAGAGAATACACCCCTATGTGTTCCTATCACTAAGTGGTTATGAAAATAAATATTATAGTAACAGGCTATCTGTCTTGGTCGCTGACATATCTATGATATGATAAAGGAAGTTGGTAAAATCCGTAATACCCAACATCGCTATTGCACACCAGGTTTAAAAATAGTCCTTCCAAGAATCTATGTGACCTTCAGATGCCAACTCCACCCCCATGGTCGATATTAACCGGGGACTATTTTTCATATCCGATTGAAATAACATCCAGGTGAATGCGGTTCTACGAAGCAATGAAAAAACTCCGTGCTATTTCGCAAGCGCATATATATTGGTAAACGACACACCTTGTTATTGACATAAAGAAATTTAGCCTCGTGGCAGGTTATAAAAAGGGGAGATCAGTGGCGCATTAAGGAAAATAAACGTGTAATCAGCTCGAGACTGACACTGGGCTTCTTGTGGAATTGCAACCTGTGTGAAAACATGGCGTTTTTTATAGTGAAAAGTATTATTTCTTTTTTCGTTTTCCAAGTTGCCGTTAGGAACGTTATGTGTGCTGTGGATCGCACAGTAGAAGCAAAGGCGTCAGGTACGGCCGTAGTGGAGGCCGTAGTGGACCGCATTCAAAGTTCTGGCATATTCCCCGATGACAAATTATTTCTGAGGAGAATTGCTTACGTGGAGTCCAAAGATGGGACTGACTCAAATACGTACCGGGACAATTATTTTGGGGGTATTTGGCAGGTGAGAATTTGCTTAATGTAACCTTAAATAAAATGAAGTGAAAAAAAGTTTATCTACGGGAAGTAATAAGTTTATTTTTATGAAATCGAAAACCAATTTTAAAAGTTTCGGCAAAAGGTGTTCCTCACTATTATTTTTATATTTCCTAACCACTTTCCTCTCTGACTGATAGAGTACATCCCTTACTTGGTCTGGTTGACAAATAGCAATCGTTATTGTACCACCAGCGTTAGCGCTGGCGGNAGCGCATATATATTGGTAAACGACACACCTTGTTATTGACATAAAGAAATTTAGCCTCGTGGCAGGTTATAAAAAGGGGAGATCAGTGGCGCATTAAGGAAAATAAACGTGTAATCAGCTCGAGACTGACACTGGGCTTCTTGTGGAATTGCAACCTGTGTGAAAACATGGCGTTTTTTGTAGTGAAAAGTATTATTTCTTTTTTCGTTTTCCAAGTTGCCGTTAGGAACGTTATGTGTGCTGTGGATCGCACAGTAGAAGCAAAGGTGTCTGGTACGGCCGTAGTGGAGGCCGTAGTGGACCGCATTCAAAGTTCTGGCATATTCCCCGATGACAAATTATTTCTGAGGAGAATTGCTTACGTGGAGTCCAAAGATGGGACTGACTCAAATACGTACCGGGACAATTATTTTGGGGGTATTTGGCAGGTGAGAATTTGCTTAATGTAACTAAAATAAACAAAATGAAGTAAAAAAAAAGTCTACCTAAGGGAAGTAATAAGTTTATCTTTATGAAATTGAAAACCAATTTTTAAAGTTTCGGCAGAAGGTGTTCCTCACTATTATTTTTTTAATTTCCTGACCACTTTTTTCTCTGACTGATAGAGTACATCCCTTACTTGGTCTGGTTGACAAATAGCAATCGTTATTGAATAATACTGATGAAGCCTTTTGTCAGAAATATTTATAATTGGTGTTCATTTTCATATTGATGAAATTTAATTTTCCAATCTGTAACGAAAGTACAGTTATTTTGCAATTTTCATGTTAATAAAACGGCTTGCAATTCCCTGGATATCTTGCACACTGACGGTGGATGTAAATTCATCTTCATTTTCAGGTTGATAGAATCGGCTTCGAATCGACACAGGACACATCTAGCCACCCGGGTCTAACATCAAAATTTGAAGCGATAAGGACAAAATTTAACATCGACTGGACAACGGTCTCATGGTCGGACCTCCAGAAGCCGCTGTATTCTGGTCTCGCTGCAAGATTGTTCCTTTCCAACATAAACCAAGTTATCCCCCGCGACATTAGTGGCCAGGCAACGTACTGGAAAAGGTATTATAACAGCAACAGTGGAGCGGGGACAGAACAGAAATTTATAGACGACGTTACAGAATTAGAGAAACAATCAAGTAAGTCATACATGCATGTTAAACGAAAAGAAAATTATGCAAGCAGGCTGTTAAAGGCAGAAGACAGTAAATCGAAATTCAAAAATGAACCTAAGGAATGAGTTTTTACATTATTTGTCATGGGTAGGGAACTAAAAATTGAAAATGAAGTGTATTGAAATCCGTTAATTGGAGTACTTTCTGTTGATGATAGGGATAGTCCCTCTCGATATGGAGATTGAGACTAGTGATTTCACTCATATATATATAAAAGGATATTTATTTATTTAACTTCATTATAAAGTTCTAACATATACCTCTGGATCTAACAGATTTGGAATTCAGTGAGATGTTAACGATTCTTCTTTCTTTTTCAATATGTATGTCTATTTTCTATTATTATTTTCATTTTAGAGTGCGACATTCTACGCGCTGATCTGGTATTTGTGCTGGACTCCTCTGGCAGCGTAGGTGCCAGTAACTTTCAACAGATGCTCACTTTTGTCCAGAATGTCGTGAACTCAATGGAAGTGGGTTTGGATAAGATCCGCGTTGGTTTGATTAAGTACAGTAGCTCGTCGCTAATCGAGTTCGATCTCAATGACTACACCAACAACGCGTCAGTTATTCAACGTATTGGTAATGTTAACTACATAGGCGGCGGTACAGCAACACATTTGGGACTTTCATCTCTTGTCAACGTTATGAAAAGTTCGGGACGCCAGAACGTGACGGGAACTCCACAGATAGGTATAGTCATCACAGACGGCAGATCCAACAGCAAACCGCTCACTGTTCAGTATGCCGAACGTGTACACGAGAATGATATCATCGTGTTTGCTGTAGGAGTTACGACCGGCATTGATTATAGCGAGCTTCAGAGCATTGCATCTGATCCAGACTCAAAATATGTTTTTGACTTGACTGATTTCACAGACTTCAGCAGCTTTAAGTCCGAGATAGAAGCTCGCACCTGCAAGGGTAAGCCAGTCCATTTTAACTAGGAAAGAATATACAATAAAAAGTTTGAATGTAATACAACGCACCGTTTATCTCCACTTGTTGACAATAGATACAGGTTTCTTCAGGTCATAGGTCAAGTGAGCATATTGATGCCTTATCTCATTTGATACTTTCAAAAAAGAAGAATATAGTGGTTGATAACTAATGGTGACTTATAAATGCGCTCGAGTTCTGTGGCAGAAAATAGAAAAAGATAGCTGTACAATAGAGCACATCGTATAATTCGGATAATTTCAGGACAATAACCTGTAAGGTTAACTGCTTAAATGCTCTGCACTGTTGACTACAGATTCTATAAATACTAGAGATTTTCTTGTATGATACATGCAGTTTACGTCAATGGTCAGAACGGCATTTTGTTAAGATCATTCATTTGTTAAGATGTACACAATGCGTGTCGTTATAAAGGTTGCTGTTTTAAAGGGCTACTCATAGCTTAATTAGTGTGATAGATTTATGCCATATCTCAAATTTACTACGTAAGACTTTTTCCCGGAGGTTAATGTTTATTGTGTTCTTCATTTCATCTATCCCATAAGGCAATAGTAAAATAAAGTTTTTAAAAACATTTTATTGAAAAGAGACTCAAAAGTAAAAGCAATACTGTAATTTACTCGATTTATATTTTGAAATATAGTTTCAACAGAGGTGAATGCCGAAGCAGAAATAACAGGTACACTGAAGAAAGACCAAGCTGCCTACTTTACGTTCGCAGCATCTGTGGAGTCAGGGGCAACTATTAAGGTAAAGCTGTTTTACAACAAATTGTATTAGACATTTTTTTATAGTTCTATGGTATGTGATGGGCGGTTTTTTTGTATGTAGTTCTTTCCTTGTTTACGTGATAAACAATAATTCAATTACAAATCACCAGTCAATAATTCAATTTCAATTACAAAAAACTACCAAATTTATTTCAGGTTGCTATGACCGCTGGGCAGACAAGTATGTATGCGTCCTATACCACAAGCAATCCAAGCCCTGCTTTTTATGATCATAAACTCGACAGCGACACAAGCAAGGGTTTTTACGATTTCTACATTCCACCTCCTCCCTCCCTCTCTCGCGTCAGACGTGATGTTTCTAACTCCACCGCCAACTCCACCGTTTCACTTTATACTTCCATCTATGGAACAGGCACAGGCGACACCAACACCTTCAAGATAACCATGTATGTCGGTCAGGAAAACTTCGGAGGAAGTGGAACCGTATCTGGATGTTTGAAAAACATTGCCTTGGCAGTGTTGCTCTGCATGATGGTGTATTCTTAAACAGAGCATGAAGAATGAGACTACTCCATGAAAAAGCCTTACTTCTTAGCTGTTGAAAATCCGAGCTGAAAAGAAAAATCAATATCATTTCAGACATTGTGGAAGACTGATTAATTTTATGGCTTCTGTGCGTTAAATGACCCAGGTTTTTGAACGTGCGCGTGTGACATTATTGTTCAATAGAATTTTTAAGTAATAGAAAATTAACGCTGAGTAGGTATGTGCTGGACGAAATTCAGGACAAGAAAATTTTTGTGAAGCTTACTTAAGTTTATACTTGTGTACATATTTGATAACACGTTGCTTTAATCCTTTTTTTGCAATTGTAGGCTACATATGCCAGCCTTAACACATCGCATTTACTTATAAGATATCTCTTCCATAGGTGAAATATTTTATGTAATATGTCCAGATTTAGGAAATTGATAAACTGATTGCTGTGCATTAATGAATTGTGATATCTGTTTTATATATTGATATATTTTTATATTTCATGTTTTTCATTGTGATTTAAGTAGTTGCGTGCATTGAACATAAATAAATATACTAAAGGAAATCTCTCTTCTCTGACTGAAATATTATAACCATATTCAACTTTCGTATTCCGGAATTCCACGCTTTATTAAAATTGAATTAACTGGTAACCATGGGATATGTACATGTATATGTACCTTTTTCAGAGTGATACAATTTATTTAAATTGGGGGAAATTATGGGAGAGGCAAATGTCTTAAGCCTTTGCCATTGAGCAACAGAGAAAATACCCTGTTTGTAAAGAAAATCTGTCCCGATTGGAATAAAATGGCGCTGAGACATTATTTTTGTTTCAGAGTTGCATGACGCAGAAGAAATTCCAGCACTCGACTTTGTTTTCAATTTGGAGACACAAAGTACCTATCATTTTGTGGTTTTCATATTATTTTCTAATGGAGAAGACCCTAAATTACACAAAAACATTTTATCTTGGCAGGTATTTACCTGGAAAGTTATATTTTCGTCTGTTGGTCTGTGTTTTTAATAAGATACTTTTCCAGTTGTGTGTTTATTCCAGTATTCGGAAGCATATTTAGAAAACACCTTTGCGGAACGTGGATGTCTGCATTTATACTTGAGATATATAATTCATGTGATAATAAATATTCGTGGTTTGACTACAGCCGTCCACGCTGTCTTGATCGTCGATTGGAATGTAAAACAAAACACGCGACACCGTGTTTGTACAACCCTCATTACCTTGGTGACGTTTCACCCCTTAGTTTCAGCCCTTTAGTCAAAGCAATGTGAAAATATCAACAAAGCAAAGGTAGACAAAAAACGCCCATTTCGTAAACAAAGACCCTATGAAGTTGCTTGTGCACTGAATACCAATAAGTTAAGGCTGCCAAGGTACGATTCTTCATGTTTTGCGTTGCCGGGTGTTCAATCTCGAGGGGTGACCTCAGTTTATGCTAGACATATCTTGATGCATGGCCCAGAATCTTAAAATGAAAGTCGCAAACTTCTGTCCAAGATATCGTTCAGAGCACACCAAGGAAATACCTACAAGCTCGGTTAAAAATAGCTTGGATTTGACTAAAACCCTGGAGTCCCCATAAAACAGAACCATACTCTAATACTGGACCTACATGTGCATTGTATAATTTCGTAACGCAAACATAAGGATGCCCCCATTTGCTTTACATTTTGCACTCAGTAGACCTATAGCTCTACTTACAGACATAGCTATTCGTGATATACCCACATCAAAATGCTCAAAATACCACATATCAAAATATTCATATTTTTCGACAACGTTTACTTTAAAGTTACCACATGTAAATACATAATAAGTCTAAGACTCTAGATGTCCTGAGGTGAACTGGATTTTGTTCTCATTCAGAGTCAACTGCCATTTGTAATACCACTTGTTGCACTACATCAAGCATTGACTGCAAGTCCTTTCATTCTTAGCTAAAGAACAACGTCATCGCTTTTAGGACTCAATATTGAGTTCTAGTTCGAATAAAGGAGTAAACAGAACAGCTCATCATCTACATACATGAATGCCTTTGTCCAGAGCTTTAAGATCCTGTATGTCAAAGAGTAAACGTGACAGCAAACACCCCTGTTTCACTCCAGTATCTATGTCAAGGAAAGTTGTTGTATAGTTATTTACCCTAACACAACGCTTCGGGTTACTATGAAGGGAATTCATGAAGTTTTCGCAAATTCCTAAGTTATATAATCTATACCATAAATAAAACCTGTTAACTCTGTCGAAAGCTTTTCTTAAAATTTACAATGTTGGCTGGACTGCTTACTTCAATCTAAGGTCATAGCTTAAATGTGTGTGTGTGTGTGTGTGTGTGTGTGTGTGTGTTTATAACGAATCTAATAGAAGCTCGTCTGATAGTTATGTCTCCATTCAATGCATTGAGTATAATCTTTTTATGTTGCTTCGCATTGGTGAATCTTTTGTGCAATGCTGCTTGCAATATTACAGAAAAATCAATATTACGAAATAACATGTAATTTCGGAGTGTTTAGGGCCATGAAATTGGATATAATTTTAAAAAATTTGGCGCTCGTGATTGTTTGTTCCGAATTGATTACTTTCACACTGAGGAATTTCAGAACTGCGTGAACTTAAAATAACTCCCAGAACTTGATCTTGCTTTCCTTTTCCAGGCAACGCATATCGTTGTGTGGTTTCCACACTCATAATTTATGGAAATAAGACCTTGATTACGCAACCATATTTCATCCTGGCAAATGTTTACCTGGAAATTGCTAATTCAGCGTGTTTGTATTGCGTATTCAAAGCAACATCCAGTACTGATGAAAAAGAAACCTCTCTTTCCCCGATCTTTTTTAAAACGTTGGCTTATTCCGGCATCTTTAAGTATGTATAGATCTTAAGTAATTAATATGCTTCTGTGTGCAACGTGGTCGTCTGCATTTATTCTTGAGATACCGAACTCGTGTAACATCATGCTATCGTGGTTTAACTTCTGTTGGCTGCACTGTCGATATCAAATAATTATTACTACAACAATCATTGTTGCACAGCTGTTTTGATCAGCTGTACGTAGTCAAAGAAAAGGACTGATTGCAACACTTATCATACTAACTGATCTTGAGCTATATAGATCAGGCAGGTGGGACCTTGGTAAATTGTTACTAAGAATAAATCATCGCGTAACAAAGTTTCACTTGGCCCTCCTGGGATTCCATAATATCTGTTCACTAACTCACTGCTTTACCGTCTCATTGACCCCAATATTTATTTCTCTGTTTGAGTTCTTCAGTTTCCTAAAACCCCACTGGTAATCAGGCTATCTAAATGACAATACAAACATTTCTCTATATTTCTTATACACAGGACGAAGCCCAAAAATACATCAAAAGTAATTTCATATAATAAGATATTTGACCTTACATTTACTAGATATATATTTGAAGCAATCTAACTGAGGTTGACTTAACTTTAACCAGGAGATGAAGCCACAGTTAAAGTTATATCCTACAACTGAAATCTTCCCTTACAAATTGATCACCGGATTGTATACCATGATGTCATTTGTCATGCTATGTCTGTACATTTCCGTATACTGCCTTCATGTATCTTCCCGTAAATCCCTTTTCGTGCGGCGTCTGTGCGGTGGCAGATGGCCTCCGTAGCCTCTACGATTTTGTCAGGCTAAAAATTTTGATAAACCTTTGAAATCGTAAGCCCGTAGTCCGTAGCTCGTACTTAAACTTTGCCTCATACTTTGATTTTGCACAGATCCCGTACGTCTGGCCATATTTGGTGGACTTGCAGTGATCGTGAAAATGGTTGGATCAGTTGTTGGTCTATTTCCCTCTCTTCTTTTGTGGTTAAGAGGGCATGACGAGGGAAAAGATGTCTAAAACCTATTGTAGTTCACTTGTATAAATTTGAAATTGTGATTTTACTTAACCTGACCACATGGGTGAAAATAAGGGGTTACAATGTATCGATATTCAAGGAAGCCGCACAAAAGGTGTGCGGCAACTGCACTAAGACCGAAAGAGCTCCTTTCGATCACTTTTCAAAATAAAAAGATTTTTCTTCCCTTGACCTTGTTTGAGAAATGACACCCTCACGTAATAATAGCTCCTTACGATACCCCCCACCTCACAAAAAATCGTAGGGAAAATCGTATACGATTTCATCGTGCGGAGCACCTGGCAAATGTGATATAGGGTTTACAAAAAGAGTAGCATATATTAAGAGATTCAGGTATATTGTTATAACCCAGACCCTGAAATAATCTTACCAAAATTTGAAATAATTTGAATGATAATATGATGTTTCTAAAATGAAATTCGGCCATGAAATCACCACTACGACACTTGAACTTAAATGAAAGTAGATAGCCAACTTGTGTTAAAATTCTTTCAGTGCACATTTCAGTGCAAATTACGCGCGTCAGTTTGATGCATACCTGTAACTCTATCTGCCCAACACAGCGGGGATAAAAAAAAGGCATAGTAAAAAAGGCCGCCGCATTGTTGGACCTTGCTTGCAAAGCTAATAGCAGTTATATTCATGCCACGTATGCATTTTGCGTATAATCTTTTGTACAATGCTGCCTGAAATGAAAATAAAAAATAGAAAAGAAATTTAAATCCCGGTCGCACAAGGGACGCTGCGTCAACATTATGGCATTACAAAAGAAATTTTGGAGTGTTTGATGGTCCTGAGAATGTATATATGAGTTTTAAGACAAAGTCAAATGTGACAGGTCACGCGTGAACCTGTGTCCCTGTAGTTGACGCGTGCAGCACTTTTAAAGGCTGTCAGTTATTATTTCTTTAAATATCCCTGGGAAGAGTGGCATTCAATTCCTAAGTTTGACCTTTTTCTAAGCAAAGCGTTGATGTTCTATTGGAATATTTCATAAAAAAGATTATAGAATATCTTAAAGATGTCTTGCATTTGAGTGACCATAATAAACGCACTGATTTGTGTTTTTAATCTGCCACAGTTGAATAAAATAAGATTAAATAAGTTATATGCAATGAAAATAGGCAACAGCATGTTTTTATTTGTAATATTTCTATTTTTATTATTTTTTTGCCTGCTGCATTAGTTGATATTACATATTGTACCAGGTTTAGTAGTATGTTGGTATGGAGGTTTGGTGTGGGGAATCCATTAATCAGAAATAGAAAAGGGAATTTTTTCCGGGATTTGCATATGCAAGCGAAATATTGGAATTTTGGGTAGGGTTTTTTTTCCCGCCAAATATAGCTATAAACTGCATCTTGACTAAGTTCAGTGTTCTTAGAAGTCATTACTAAATCAACGTAAAATATTCAGTATTATTAAGAGTGGAATACGGAGTGGAAGTTAGTATTACCGAGGACAGACGTGATAATCAGCACCCGTTATCAAAAATTCATCAACAATAAGATGACAGACGTCAAAGGATCCGGGTCACATGTCGTGGAAAGCGTGGTTAAACAGATTCATAGTTCGGGTTTATTTCCTGATGATAAGAAACTCCTTCGTAGAATAGCTTACGTAGAGTCCAAGGACGGAACTGACCGAAACACCTACCGACCTAATTACTACGGCGGAATTTGGCAGGTGAGTCATAGCAAATATATGGCACGTATTGATTTGGCGTTGTTTTTGTATTAAATGATATCCATGGCGTTAGCTGCTACCACTAGTAGGCCTACTTTTACAACAACCTCTTGCTACTTCTACTTCTATTCGGTCTATTTGCAGCGTCAATTTGTTGCCGCCAGTCTTGTTGATATTCACGCTATTTTTTTTTCTGAAAAAAGAGTTATGAAACTTGACATAGCAACTGCGGGTATTATTTGAGTCAGCGGGGATAATGATAGTTTTTTGTGTGTGCATAAAACGAAACTGACTTGAGGGGAAAATAAGTGCTTCAGAACTGGCATTTTATAGATATCCCGATCGTTACTGGGTTTTCCTTTATCTGTATAGGTTGATCTGCTTGGGTTTCAAGCCACCCAAGACACTGGCAGTCACCCTGGACTTAACGCAAAACATGCTGGCATCAAACAAAAGTTCGGCATAGACTGGCCTGCCGCCCAGTGGTCAGACCTCCTTAAACCCCTCTACTCCGGTTTGGCAGCGCGTCTGGTTCTGTCCAATATTCCCGCGGCCGTTCCTGCAGACGTGAGAGGACAGGCTGAATACTGGAAGAAGTATTACAATACCGGGAGTGGAGCGGGGACGCCACAGAAGTTCATTGATGATGTTGCGGTTTTGGAGAAATAAACTAAGCAAACAATAGATATTTTGGTTAGCACGTACTACTGTACACGGTGTCTCTAGTAATACCAGACTTTTGCATAAATATGTATTCGGTATATTATTGTTGTTGTGAATATTACATGGTATGTACCACTCTTTTAAAGACTATATTCTAATATGTTGAAATACCTGGCATTTGAACTAGGTTCAAATAATAATAATAATCTTCAAAATAGCTGGATACTTCATCTCTCATTCAATATAAAATGCAATATCTTTTAAAAAGAATAGCTCCATGAGATTTTAGTATCAGTCTATCGGGTACTTCTTTTTTTTTTTAACAATGGTGAATGGAAAACGATATTTGCACTATATAATAAAGGAATTTATTCTAATGTTTGCTTATTCATATTTTACATTGGCTTAACTAACTTCATCTAAAATTATAAAAAATTCTAATATATGTATATAATATGCAGAAAAAAAATTGTTGCATAAAAGAAACAGCACAGTAAAAACCAAAAAAAAATTGTGAGACAAAAAGGGTGAATACATTTATCACAGTGAAAATAAGAAGATAAAAATCAGTCTCAAATAAAAGCATATTTAAAACATTTGGTACTTAAACATAATAATAGGAACCTTTATCATCCAAAAATACTTGTTTTTTTATCATAGTTTTGCTTCAAAGTAAGCACATGGTTCATATCAGATATATAACCATGTTGTAAAATGAACACCTATAAAATTGTTTCAAATTAAAAGCTTGAAATTTGAAATGTGCACACAATACCCCATTATATCATCGTATGGTGAAACCTGAGGGAGACGACTGCTTTACTGGTAGACTTTTTCCATTAAGAATGGATAATTCAAGTGAGCCATAGTAATTTACAAGTTTGCTTTGTAAAATGCTGGGAGAAAATATTGCACAGATTAACAGATGTGTATAAACATACTGAATTGAGCTTTAATGGAAACAGGGCTCTGTACTTTTAGAAAATATGGACGGAAATGAAAAAATAAAAGCTTAATCAAAAAGTCAAAAGAAAAAAAATAAGCATGTGACTTACAAAAAATATAAATATCTCTAATTGACGTATATATGTACAAATGCAGTGTTTATGAAATCAGTTGTAAAATGTGTTCAGTTCCAAGAACACTGGCCCCAAAAGCCATTAACGTTGTACAGTCTCATTGAAGATGGGAACCAAAACTCTGGGATTTTTTTTTAAATCATAAATGAGATCCATCATTGTTTCTGTTTTGTTCCCATGTAGTGACATTTGACAAAGCATATTGTATTATCATATATGGGGTAATAGCAGGAATGTAATAAATTGTCAGGAGATGCATGCTGCAACTCAGTAATGCATAGCCAGAATACATAATGCTCCTGCATAAAGCAGGGCTACATGCATAGGAAAAAAATATATATATATTATTACATTTTAACTACTATTTTACATCCTTTGAAATATAATACCAATCCAATATAATAACAATAATTATAAACATTTTCTGAATATTTTCATACACAAAAGAACTGAGTATGATGTTTTATGTATTAATAATATATGTTACAAGTTATACAATGTTTGGCATTAAGACAAACACATTTATGAAAAGCTATAAAGCATATTTCATTGGGAGAGACATTGGTGTTAATCCCAGAAATGAACTGCATTCCTCAAGAGCACATTTTAAGTCACAATCTGCTCTGCTTCTCTACTGCAATGGCCCTTGGCTTTCAGTCACAAATGTTTGCTGGGTATGTCCATTGCTCTTTACATTGTCTGTAGCCAAAACTGGGGGCCCAAAGGGATCAACCTAAAACAAAGAAAATGTTTTCTTTTATGACAGTGTCTGAATTCTTGCACGATAATTAAGCTGTTACCTGAAAACCATCCACTTATTTGTTATAATTCTTAAATCCTTTTTTACTGTAAACATTTTATCTTGTTTCACTTACCTCTATGTTCATATCCCTGGTGTGTTTCACCATTATTTCAGTTGCCTTGGGACCATACTGTTTCCTTGCCCTGCCCCAGTTTGCTTTGACTTCCACATTGACTGAAGAATCTCTGGGCTTCAGGAACCCTTTCCCTGTGGACACAGCCAGGATCATGTCTCTCTTGATCTCATCAAAGTCCGATATCTGAAAGGAAGATCCATAGTGCTTGAAAGCAATGATGAACAACTGACTACTGCCAACAAAACAAAGACTTTAATATTAGCATTAATATACATTTGGTATTTCTCAATCTGGTTTGTTATAAATATTTAAGTTGCCAAATTATTAATAGTGCAATTTGTCTCATAAAAACCTTATTTAACTGATGAATGGGATGTGTGCTTCAATGCTTTATTTTTCACAGAGTTGCAGCTGTTACTAATAGCTTACATCTAATCATTTTACAGACTGAATAGCACAGATACTAAATAGTCCTCAACATTTCAAAGCACTATTTTCCACTAAAGAACACTTCTCTAAAATAATCATAATCTTTACCAAAATATTACTCAAATCTTTGTTCACTGCCTACCTGTTTTCCATCCAAGGTATAGAGATACTTAGCGGCTTTCATTAAATTCAGCCTGGACACTGAAGCATCTAGAATCTCTCCAATACTTCCTCCCCAAACATAGGTGGCATGCTGCAGGTCTTCCCCATTGGGGAACACAAGAATCCTCTTCACAACAGGCTGGGCATACAAGTTTCTGGAAATGTTCACGGTTGGTTTGGTCTTGGTCACTTCCTTCTGGGCAGCTTTCACCTCAGAGAGATGGGACTGGGAAAGAAATGGAAGATTCAAGTAAAACTACATTCTTTTGATCCACTTAAAAGAATCACACTTCCGTATAAAGGCAGTGCACCAAATGGAGAGTTGAAAGATGAAACATTGCGACTGATTACTTGGCATTGCTTATAATTATCAAAGCCCCCCCCCCTCATTTGGGTGCAGTCATCTCATTTTCCATAACATACACTACAAAGTATTATATCTTAATTTTAACTAAAAGAGGCTGCAGTTAAATAAAAGTCACTTTTTAATTAACTTATCCACCAAGTTTTTATCAAAAAGTATTGCCACATCCAGAACATTAACCTGCAATTGGTGAACTTTGTCATGTTTTCTCTGCTCATCAAAAGTGGGTTCCTGCCAGTTCCCCTCTATAAGCACTGGGTTTCGTGTGCTTCTGGTTGGCTTGTACTCTCCAGGGTTCAGCTCTTCCAATCTGCGACCTGGGGAAAGAGGTTGTAATTAGTATATTGTATAACTGAAATAATGGTGAAATAATAGAAGAATGCATTGTAAAAGTGTCTTGCTTCACTAAACTAAGTCCCTTATCATGGTGACAAAATAGAGCAAGGATTTTTGTTTGACATCTAACCTCACTTCTTCTACTTTAAAGTGGTTATATGAAACATTACACACGTTACTTACAGTTTATATAAAAAAAAGAAACGAAATACAGTTTATCAAAATATATGGAACATAACACATTGATTTGACATAGTCAGCTAATTCTCTTCTTACCCTGCATTTGTCTGAGCACATGTTTCTCTTTCTCCAGCTCATATGTAACAGCTGCTCTCTCCTCTCTGTTCTGAATGCCTTGGAGATACTTCTCTTCTGCATCTGAAGCAGGGTAATATACAGGGTAAACACTTTTAAAAATCAAAAGTCATATGATGATCTCCCAAAGATATGACTGAGGTGCACTTAGCATTACATTTTTGATGTTGAATTTTACTCTATACTGATTAAAAAATGAATTTAAAAAGATGTCCATAAAAAGTCATTATAAATGTTGGTAATGAGGGTCTTATATAGTAGTCTGAATATCTTTTCACTTGTTTACGGCAACAATTGGACAACCAGAAAATAACAAACTTTTCTTAGATACTTTGATAGACAAGCACCTCAAACACAAACAGAAAAAGAGAAAATGTAACAATTATGCAATGGGAATTTTATGATGATCATTTTCCAAGCACCAACCTTCTGGTTTAACAAAAGCCTCTCCTGCTGATGCCCACACCTCAATGGGGTACCTCAGGATAAACTCCAGAGGTGGATTCTGGACTAGATAATCAGTGTCTATACTCCCCTTTCTGGGGTTCTTCACACTTGGCTTGGACACACTGCTCTGGTCACCAATGCTTTCTTCACCTGTAAAGCATGCACAGATACTGTTGATATACAAACACACTTGAGGTCTGATTTAATAAAAAGAATATTAACAGCTGAGCATATTAAAATGTAATGAAAACATTTTTTTAGTAAACATCAACATCAACATCATGGACATCAATATACTAAGCATCAGTCTCAGTCACATTTTCCCTTTCACTGCTCTTGGATATCACGCAATAGATATTAAGACCATTCCTCAGTTTCTTTGAGACGACAAGCACCATTCCCCCATGTATTCTATACACTAGTGCCTGTCAAAGCAACAAGGAGACCAAGCAACAATACAATGTAAGCTATATTCAGGCTAAGCCAGGGGTGTTTTCTTACCATCTGAAGCATGTACATGACCATTTAGGTGCACATGTCCCATACGCTCATGTACTATCACAGTGCTAGTGCTGCCACTGGATTGTGAGGCTTCACGCTGTTGTTCCAATGTTTTTAGCGTGCCTGTGTCAGAAGAAAATGCAAGGTGCAGAAAGTGCAGGTTATGAGAAACTTAAACAGACACACACACATACTCACACGCAGGACAGAAATGATATAAGTTAGAACAAAATGTTATTCAATATTGTATCTTTTATGATGGATATAAAAACTGTTTGAAAATTTTCCATGGGTAACTTTATATCATGAATTTTTGTGGGGAAAATATTGCTCCTTTTTAGTATACAAGCAGTGGCAATAACTGTGGTACACATAAAGCAAAGGGGAGTTCAGGTCACAGTGGTCAGGCATTGGTTAATATAAAACCCTTTTTACAGCTGTTATTCAATTTCTTTTATATAGTAATGTCTATATAATATAACCACAATAACATCAATAGTGTTTACCCAAGCTTGAAGAAGTGAGGATGACACCACAAAAAAGGTGCACAAATTATGTTTATCTTCAAAATTCTACATTCTATCACACTTTTCTACACAAGTTTAAGAAATAAAAGGGTTAAAAAAACTGGTGCACACTTTCTGAATATAACATAATAATGGTCATTAGACAAGTGCCCACAGTCTAAATGTAAGCTTCATCTCATGTAGTCATTTAAAGCAGTTTTTCCTAGCTATTTAAACTTGGACACTGACTCACCATCATCACTCTGCATTCCCTTCCCATCTGGAGCAGGTCTTATTTCTCCCTTGGCTTGTTTCTCCTTCATGTTCTCCTTGATCTTTGTCATGTAGTCATCCACTGCCCAGTTAATCAAGTCCTCCACATCCAGGACCAGCATACCATCAGAGGTGTACAGTCTGCGGGCAGCATTGGCCATCTGCAGGGCATGCGTGCACTGGTCAAGCAGCTGAAATGGTAGAGCAAGGATTCTGACTGATGATAACATAACACAATAGAGATAATGATGAAAAATTCATTGTAATCCCCATAAATTTAAATACACAACTGCTGGATTTCAAATAAATATAATGATATTATTGATAATTCAAGATTGAGGTATCAATACATTTCAAATCCATAGCCTTAGTTCACAAGTAAAACTCCACATGGCAACTCACCCCTACAATGCTGGAGCCTACTAGTACATGACCTGGCTTCATTCTGCCCTCCCCATTCCTGTACACATAGATCTTGACTGGCTTGATAAACCTGGCAGCATTGATCTCCCTGGCGATGACTCTGACACTGCGCTCCTCTCGCAGCCTCTCAAACTGGTCCTCCCACTCACTTAAGGTGTTCTCTGCTTCAAAGGTTGACAGGTCAACCTTGCCGTTGAGGCAATGGAAACTTCCTGCTTGCTTCAGTCCCTTTTCCCTTGCTGGAAATAGTTATTTTTAAAGGTCAGTTTCATGTTGTAAAGGGCAAAATGTGTAAATATAATGTTCTAAAACTTCTCAATTTTTCTTTTCATATATAAACCAATATCACTGCTGCATCTGTTAATTTGGGTTGTCATCAAAGCTGATCACATTTTCCAGTATCTAATTTAGAGCCAATAATCATGTTCTTAAAATTGGATATTCAAGTTTATTCTGACAGAGCCTGCAATGCATTTTTGGGGTCTATATACAATGTACACTCATTCATAAATACTCACCACTTCCCATCGCACAAGCAAAGTCCACATTACGATCCAGCCTCCGTACTTTCTGTTGACCTCTCATTGCACGAGAACAGGAAGTGCACATTATGACCTCCTCTGATTTAGAGTTACTGGTAGCCATATATACAATATAGCCCTGAAATGTTTAGAAAAAATAAGGATTTTACTCTTCTCTTCTGATATGCTTGGAGATGCATACATATTAACCTTGAATAACGTTCTGTTGAAAGAAAAAACACCATTGTACATAAAATAAAATGCTTACCGGTTGATCTAAGCTTTCTCCTTGTCTTACAGCATAAGTGCAAACATTAGCCTTGTTGGCTGCTGTAATTTCTGTAAAATATGAAAATAAGAACATAAAAGATTTTTTAAATACAACAATCACACACACAAAAAACTGACAAACATAATCAATACTAATCTTTGCAAATAAAAAGCTCTTTTAACAAACAATTAACTTCTATTTGAAAAATATTTGATAATCCTTTACAACAAACATCCTTAACCAGTAATATTTTGTCAAAGAAAAAAAAACATTCCAACTATTGTTCAACTCACCCATATCAGTTGCGTCTGTTTTAAATGCATACAAAAACCCAAGCTCTGGGTCGAATCCCCACTTCTGATTTGCTGCGCCATACTTTGTGTTCTTCTTATGCTGAAGAGTCACACCACACCCAGGATAGGACGGAGTGGCAGCATCCTCTGCCTCATGTCTCTGTACAGCTGGCATGTTTACTGTTAGTACCATTGAGGGACTGTGCTTGGAGCGCAAAAACCTAGAGTATTAGAAAGTGATTACCTTCTTTATTAATACGATGATAATCATGATTCACTACTGTCATCCATCTTCATGCACTCGGTTATGCCAACAATTACATTATCCATGTCCGTTGAGCATACAAGTAATACACCATTGACTTCATACTTAATTTCTTATTTACTTAATTCAACAATGCACATAAATGCATTTGAGATGACTGCATGCAGTAAATGAAAAACACACAAAACTTAACACCTAAATGTTGAACTTGGGTATTTCAGTGCTTTGATTGGAGATTATATTCGGTTTTGATAATAAGACTCATAAATTAAGTCAATCCATGCAGAATATAAGCTTTGGTTATTATTTGATTTCTATATGTGTGCCTCCATACAAGCAATATAAAAAGTTCTAAAAGCCTAAGTAAAAAATAGGAAATTCATGCTGCTAAACATGAAACTTCTAAAATACATCTTTAAGTATACTTGCTTAAAATAAACCTGTTTTTTTTTTTGACTCCTTGCTGTTATCCAGGCAACATATGACAGGGCAAAGTCTATTTACAGACGAGAGCATGCTTTAACTGCCAGACCCATGGTGAAATTGGTCAACTGCAGGGTCATGTACATTTCAAAGTCATGCATTAAATCCCTGGGTCCAATAAAATCATGCCAAGAAATCCAATTCATGATACACCCATACATCAACATTATAACCAAAAAAAAAAAAAAAAAAAAAAAACATACTGAAACATGCAAAACTAAATAACTGTCCACATTCCTGACACTCTCACCTAGGATCATTATCTATGTCTATTGTTAGAACGAGCTGAGGATGATACTTGGATACAATATGCCTGGAAATTGTATTAATACATAGCGATATTATGAAACACTTACTGAAAGCGGATAATTCCTGAATCTACACATTTATATTACCAGGATCATATCTTTAAAAAAGGCCCTACCGAAAATTTGATAAAAATAGCAACAAATGCACAGACAATTAACTTTTGGTTTGAAAATTATTATTTTATTTCTTTGTTAAATAACCTAAATCTGTCAAAAAATACAGCAACCTATAGATCACTACATACCCATCATCAGTAAGTGTCCATCTCTGGTAAGCATCATCAGGTTTCTTCTTGACCAGCACCACATCAGCCACCCTGGTCTCAGACTCCACTACCCCCAGGACCAGGTTGGGGTTGTAAACACAGCTGATGTGACCATTCTCAAACTTAAACTTCTGAAGATTCATGCCTACGTTACGTGGTGAACTCTTGGGTTTGGGCCTAGAGTTGAGACAAAACAATGGTATATATGAAAAATAGTATATAAGGGGTCTTTCCCATAACCCTATCACACTAGCTGGATCAATCTAACTCCTTGGGGATTCTTGCTAAATTGCATTCAGTTTAAGCTGCTTAAATGTAAGGCACGCTTCCTGTAATTTACGCAATTTAAAGTACTTGGGTAAAGTCGGGAAAACTTTGTGGTCCATAATATTGTTCATGTTGCTCTGTGAGGGGGCATGCCAGGCAATTAAGCTGATTAGACTGACTGTGCCTTAGCGAGAAGCCTTGCTGAGAAAGATTGATCCTGCTAGAATGATAAGGTTAATGGGAATGCAGTTATAGATATGTAAACATCTGCACTTTATTAATTTTTTATTAGTTGACAGACAGCATTATCTGAATCACTTGTAGTCATTTATCACACATTTTCAAAGTAATTTAATTTCTAGACCTAAAGAACCTTTTTTTCCCTTTTGTTCAAAGTAGGACCCTTTATTGCATACTTGTATTTTTCATAGAGTTCTGGACTGGTATAGCCTGGTTCATCGCTATCATCATTAGCATTGATGACATCATCAAAGCTGCCATGGAGGTTGACTCTCTCCCAAGGCCAGCGCAGACTGTCTAACCTTTGGTCTGATTTTAAGTGAGCACGCTCATGGGCTGATCTGTAAACAAAAATAATCTTTTTTTATAAAGTCACAAAAAAAGAAGCTTTTCAGTGTAAAAAAGATGAAAATATATTTCTGTTATTTTTTCAAGAATTTAAAACAATCTCAAACTGCTGTACATGTAAAATAAATAAGTGTTAAAACTGATTAATAAAAATTTTGCGAAGTCTTTTAGTAGCCATCAATAACAAACAACAAATAAAGACAATACATGTACCCCACAAGACATCAACTCAACAAGACCAATTTACAGTTCACATCCACAAAGTCTTAGTACACTTAGCCTTTTTTTAATCAGTCAACACAGTGAAGGCATAGAACTTCATATTGAAAAATAAGTCTGAAAGAATAGCAGTAGCTGCTGATTCAGTCATATCATGGGGATACATCTTGAGCAATACAGAGAATACTCATGCAAGAAAAAGATCATATCCCTAGTGCAAAAAGCCATACAGGAACTTGATTGTGTGATATTTAGTATGTTATAATACCTGCACTGGGTAATCTTGGGACACATTATAAATAAAACCAAGAGGTTTCAAGACAACATTCAATCTGAATAACTTTCCATCTTTTTTTCATCACATTTAGTTCTTATATATATATATACAATAAGAAGGCCAACAAAGAATAAGGCACTGTTTTTAAAGGGAAGATCAAATGCAAAATTTGCAGGAGGAAAAGCAGTTGTCCAAGACTAAAGAATAATATTTTTCCAACACATATACCTCTTATTGGGGATTCTGTTGTAATCACATTGAAAAAAAAATGAAAGAGAAAATTATACCATTTAATTTTCAATGGCTTAGGCTTGTCTACAGCAAATGCAATTACACTATCAACACTTAGCATGTAAATTTAATTAGACACAAACAATTACAAAAGTGAATTTTCTAAATAATACATTAAAAATGAACAAATCCAGGGTGTGTTGTGTCACTTTTGTGACCCATCCTATTTGGCCCTCAACAGATGAAAATCAATATGAAGAACCAATGCACACAAAACCAATTCAAGCTGTACCTGTTCTCATGGAGCATCTCCTCTATCTGTCTCTTTTTCTCCTCCTGTTCTTTTCTCTGTTCTTCTATCAGCTGTTTCTGCCTGGCTTCCTCTCCACTCAGTATGCTGTGTCTTTGCTCTGGTGTCAGGCAGCATGTCTGGACCACCAGCTTGGCATTGGGGACCAGGGCACTGTCAACTGCCAGTACTAAGTCTAAAATGAATCAAATGTGCATGGTATTACAATAATTAAATTTTAAAAAAAATTTTTCATGTATTTTTGAATGTATATCACCTCAGTAAATCATGAGAAATATCCCACCAATATTTCATTAACAGATTTCCAGGTATATAAACATATGTTTTAATTTCATAATACTTCACAGTGCTAAGATTAAATCATTTAGATTTAGTGGTGTGTGTGTGTGTGTGTGTGGGGGGGGGGGGGGGGCAGTTAAACACTTTATATTTACCTTGTGGATTCCTGAGAGCCACATACTGCCTGATCTGGGCAATATCTTGTCCTAAGGTGGCCAGTAGGTAGCGCCTCTGTTGCTCAGCTTTGGTCAGCTTGGGGTCATTCCAGGCTTCACCACAGGACACATAGACCAGCTGGTCCCTCTTAAGTCCCTGGAGTGTGGTGTGCTCTATACCCTTCTCATCAAACAGGCGTCTGGCAGCAAATGGTAGGTCAATGAGGTTGGTGCACCTCTCCAGAAACTGGAAGTAATAGGATGTATTTTGTGGTCGATGGTAACTGTGTATTATTATAAACAACTAACATATGGGAATAATCAACCCACTGAACATACAAAGGTGTGCTTTTTTACAATTCTGTAATTTTCAGTCAGTACCATATGAATACACCTTTTCACTTTAATACTTTTCTTTTTCACAGTAAACAATTATGGTGCATTTTTTCTCCACAGACTTGGCTTCTAAGACTTACCAACATAAATTCTAACTGTAACAGGGTAAGATCATCTCTGCAGTGAACATTAGGATCTCCATCTACAGAGTCAACATCTGTATCAGCTGTTCTTGTCCTCTTGTGCTTGTGGTTATGAGCTGTGTGGGGACGCTTACCATTCATGGCAGTCTTGTTCACATCCTTCATCATCTAAAATCAAACCAAGATGTGCATTTACTCTCTTTCTAATATCCTGTGTGTGTGTGTGTGTATGTGTGTTTGTGTGTGTGTGCATGAGCATGAGCATGTGTGTATGCCAATATTTGTGTACGTTTGTGTACCATTTTTAACAAACTTTTGATCAAAATTCAGGAGGCGAAACACTCTAGTCTTACAAATCCAGTTTTATCCTGTACAATCAGTTTTTGAACCTTTCACAGGTGGAATCTTCTTTGACATGATACATTACATAATGCAAGCAATGGGACACTTTTCAGGGAATAAATTTATGAGTGCAGAATATTTTTATTTGTAAATATTAAACATATACTTTTTAAACTTACATTAGTGAGATCTGGTCCAACAACTTGTACAGCTTTATACATTTCTTTTTCTCCATTTTTCATCACAGTTAATCTTAAGGGAACATCTGCAAATAAAGAAATGAAATGAAATTATTCATATTCTTACTAGCGTATAATATATCATCAAAATCTAATTACCTCATGCATGCTAACATTGAAGGAAAATCATCAACATAATCTGAATGTAAAGCAAGCAGTCAGTTCAGTTTGAAGACATCAATAATGTGATATTAATATATATATATATATACATATATCAAATCTTCACTGAATCTGGATTTACAAAGTATGAGCAGTAAAATGCCACATTCCATCAGTTCAATAAAATCATTATTAACAACCAGAGCAAAGCAGAAAAAGTTAATAATAAAATGTTTTATAAATACAACATCAGGCATTTTGAATGATTTGAGCTAATTGTATATAACCATAATGTCTCCAGCAACTTACGTCCATGTGGTTTTTCCTTTGTTTTCAAAGGGGGTACCCCTGGGATGAGGAATCCCTCCATGGGCCAGTCAAAGTCCTCATTCCAGTTCCCATCTTCATTGACAGGCCAGGAGTAGGCACGCTTGTTCCACTCTGGGTTGGTGATCTTAGAATGCTTCCACTGACCCAAGTTGTCAAATCTCTCTTGCTTGATGGCCCATCTGAAGAAATGATTTATCCTTATAAATTGATAAATTATAAATTTTTCTACTTGGTATATGTACTATTACAATTATGTAAAAGAATACTAATGAGACTAATATACTGAGTACTGCAAAGTTCACATTTTAAAGACTTTTGATATTTTCTCTATTTGATTCTTAATATTTTCTAATATGTTTCCCAAAGGCTTAACAGTCACCAAAACACTGGATGATAAGACACCCGCTTCTTATCCATCACCCTAATTAAGAAAGCTCATTTTGTATTTTCTTTAAGGAACTGACCTCTGTAACCTCGCATCTTTGCCATTTATTTTATCAGAGACAGCCACATAGAACTTGTGTCCTGGCAGGACTCCCTCAGCATTGTTCACCATAGAATCATCTATCCCTGTGGCGCCAAGGTGTGTGAGAACTAAGTCTGGATAGGCCTAGAGAAAGATAATACAATTTTTACATGTTATCATGGCTGTTGTTTGTAAAAAGAATACGAAACAATACCAAATTTTTAAACAACCAAAACAAAAAATGAAATAAATCAAGATGATGCATGGTTGACTCTCACTTGTAACTAAGCTTTATGCTATGATGAGAAAAAGAAAATATATAGGTCTTGACTTTATAAACAATGCAAACACTGTTGTCTTATTTCCAACAAGTTTGCCATCAAATTTCATTTCAAAATTTCACATAAAACTTTTATCACTTAACTAAAGATTGAAGGACCAAAAAAATGAATAAAAAAAATACAACACCCTAATAAACTTACTAAACAGTAGATATAGCCATCAGCAGTAAATCCCCACTGCTGGTATGGACTTCCCACCATCTTTTTCTGTAGTGCTACCACATAGCCCTGGATCTCAGTGCCAGCCCCATTGACTGTGGTGCCCTCTAGTTTCATGTCAGTCACCGCCAGTGTAAGCTGGGGCATGGGCTTGCAGTAGATGTAGCCAGTCTGGAAAAAAACATACCATATTAGTGGGTTAAAAGAAATTTTAATGTAGAGAAGAAGAGAAAATATTCAAAATACATTTTGCACACAAATAAATAGAGATTAAAGAAGAGTGTGTGGGGGTGGAAACTCCACTTATAAGAAAAAAAGTTAATTTTATCATAATAAGTCATGACATGCATTATAAGATATCTTTCTGTATTTTTTCAACTGTATAAAACCCTGTGCATCTTCACTCACCTTAGAAATGACCCATGTCTGTGACTCTTGTGGCCAAAGATCTTTGCTGTCAAATATTTTCTTCATGTCAACCATAAGTTCAGGAAACAGAACTAGTCTGGGATTATCCTGCATTGACAAAGTTAAGAACTGTGTGATTATTTCCATATGTCAATATTTCAATGATAGATATTCTAAATGAAATAGGCATTTTAATGAAAAAACATGCCTGAAGTTTCAGTAAGCAAAAATAGGAAAATTTCCCTTTTTAATGTGTGGTCTCTTATATTTGTCCTTTGCACTGTACCCATTATCTTATGATAAAATAATTTGATTCTATAAAATTCCACTTGAACTGGCCTCAATCAATTTAATTCAACTCAATTTTACTTAGATTGATTAAAAACTGAGTTAAATTTGAATCAAATTTTCATTCAATATTCCATTCCAATCAGGGGCGGATTTAGGCCGTCGTCTGGGTCTTCCGGAAAACGGTCAGATTTTCAAGTTTACATTGACGGGTATCTTATTTTTTCTGTCGGAAGACGGTCAAAAAATTGGAGAATGGATCAACAAATATAATATGAAAGACTGTCAAAAAATATATATCTGGATCCGCCCCTGTCAATGTCCAACAATTCTCCTCTCGCCACACTTGCCTTATGCTGAAGAAATCCCCAGTTGACATTGATCTCATTGTTCTTCACCTGCTCCAAAGCATGTTCTCTCTCTGCTGCATTCATGTCAGCATCCACCTGTGTAAACTCATAGGAGAGAGGGAACCCCACAGTGGCCTCCCAGCTGTAACTGTATTCTCCATCTTTAGGGATCTCCTCAGCTATTAGTGGCTCTCTGACACCCACATTTTTCTCCCCATACAGGTTTAATCCATGAACCTTGTCAAACATAGCTTGAAGGCAGTATACTGGAATTTTCAACATGTTTATTAATTTATTTATTCATCAGATAGTATCCAAAATTGCTATTTTATAATGTAAACAAATTAAATTATATTTTGAAATAATTGAAACAAAATTCAAATCACTTATTAAAATATTTGAAAAAACAAGATAACTTTATCCTCTTCTTCCACAACCTATTGCTAAGACATACGTTTTCCATTAACCAAAAAACATGAGGTATAAACATGATTTTAATGAAATATTTGACAATGAAACATGGCTTACCATATGGAACCCTGAAGCCTTCTCCAAAAGACAGCCACAACTCCATGTCATCTTTAAGTGCGTATGGATCTGTAACCACTTTTCCATGCTGGTCATACAGCTTCCTGGGCATTGAACTTATAGCTGGGGTCTTGGGGAAGGCCAGTCTTCCTAGTGTACCACACTGGTCCAAAAGCTAGAAAATAGGAGATGCATGCCATTTACCTTATAACAGGTTTGTATCTTAATTATTTGACAGGTTAGACAGGAAATAGTTCTTGGTAAGAAAGTAATTACTACAACATTAACTAACTTTCGATTATGGTTAATTTAAAAACAACACTTCTCTTGTACACTTTATTTTCTTACCCTTTGCATAATCTTGTCTTTTTGACCTTCAATGCCTTTTGAAGTTTCTTTCAAATTGAAAAAGACCACTGTTTCATCTTCATAGGTTCCATTCTCATACACCTTCAACTTGATACCTTGAACTCCAACCAACCTATCAGAAGCTTCCAGTTTTCGTATGGTTTTTGCCATTCTAAATTCTGCACCTTGTACCTGGCAAAAAAGGAAATCACAATATAACATTTTCCATGTTTCATTGTTAATTTCATAAAAAATTTTCAAATTAATTATAAGTACTTAATTTCTACAATGTATCCTGTATCTTTCATAACCTTACCTCTTCTTCTTTTGCGTCGGGCTCTATTTTCTCCAGCTGAGCTTTTAGTTTCTGCTTGGCTTCTGTCAGTTCCTCAATATCTCTCTCAACCTTTATAAAGAAAAAAGGACACATATCATAATAATAAATATTAAAACAAAACTTCTCCACATAGTGCTCCATATAATTTATAAACCGTAAAAAAATTGTGTAATCAATACTTTTACACAGAATCATGCAGTAAAAATGAAATGTGCTTACCATTTGCAAGGCTTCATCTACTTCGTTTTCTGTCATTGCAAGTATGGACCTAATTTCTACATTGTCTGGATTGCTCTTCGCCATCTCCAGCTGAAAGTAGCAAGACTTGCATATAAACCAAATTTTCTATGCAGTTATAAGCTGTAACAGATCTAGCTTCTGAAATGACTGGGATTGATTTAACATGTATAACTCAGTTTTAACCTACTAATTATCCTTTAGTCACAAAATCTACTCTATAAGCAGCAATTGAAGTTTAATATCAAATTCAATATCAAAATAACTCAATGATCTTTATGATTCTTGTTACTTCAGTTTTGCGATAATAATGATAATGACCGACAACAACAATAATACAATATACTCTTACCTGTTCCTTATAATGTTTAGCTTCCCTCAGTTTGGTCTTAGTATGATGTAATAGACCAGATATGAAATCAAAAGGCCCTTTAGGACTGAATCCTTCTCCCTTTGACACCCAGAGAGGACCCAGGACTGGTGTGGCACAGGCTTGGAGGCACTGGTCAATCAATGGGGCTAAAAGACACAATAATAAATATTAATTTCATATCAAGGATGCAGACCATAAATTTAACTCTCTCTCTCTCTCTCTCTCTCTCTCTCTCTCTCTCGCACGCACGTGCACGTGCACGCGCATGCGCGCACACACACACACACACACACACACACACACACACACACACACACACACACACACACACACACACACACACGTCTCATTTAATTTTCCTCTTACTTTCATAGAGATCTGTGACTTCTTTCCCCTCCCAGTCATACAGCACTCTAGCGTGGCTGCCCAGGTCCAACTTTCCAGTGCATGCCTGCATGAACTGAGGGAAAAAGGAAATAAATAACAGCACATATTAATGTATAAATAAAAATAATCTGAAATCTGCAACAAATATGACAACAATGGAAGACTTATTAAAAATAAGGCAATAAAACAAATAAGGTAGACTAAGTTTTCACTTACTGCAGGAGTATTATCCATGTCAGCTACAATCTCATATCCACCATCATGGCCTACACCATTCTTGAATATCAATATACGACGGTTCTTTTTGCCAAGTTGTTGCCTGGAATGATAAATAACACTATGATTTGTGCTGTGAAAATGAAGATAATTTTTATAAAGTCTTTGCACAGATTAAGAAGACTGTTAAAGAAATGTGCTATGAAAAACAAAATGTTTGAAAAAATTGTGACATTTGCCAAATGGAATGAAAATAAAAATTAAGAGCAAATTCTAAAATGCAAATTAAACTTTGCCAGCTAATAGATAAACTTAAATTAACATAACCAGTTCCATCAATTATTTAAAAAACACCACACAACAATTATATACCTATATCCATCTTTATAGAGATCTAAAAGTTGCCCACTGAATGAAACAAAGACCAAAACATTTGTTCCGAATCAATAATAAAATGCATGCTCTAAGAAGTACAAATAGTTGTATTTGGCCCTACCTGAACCTTTTTGACAGATTGGGCTTAGTTGGACCTGGCTTGGCCTCCTGTGGTAGTACCAAACCATTCATTGTCCAAGTTGCACCTTGTTTCATCATATTATTTCCTAATGAATAAGAAAGCCAATTTTAACTGTTTTTTTCTCATGTACGCCAAGGGTTTGAGCAAACTTTTATTCAAAAGCCAAGGACACTGATCAAGTTTTAGCTTCATTCCATTATTCCTTTAATCAATCTTTTTGCTTTGCTTTGCGTGGGCAGATATATTCTATACTCTTAATACTAATCCTCCCTTCAGTAGGTTCACTCTGACAACCTAACAAAAAGGGAACATTTTCCTTTTGATAAACATTCAAATCATGTTAGTCAAAAGACTATGAGCTTACTTTTGAGTGGAAGAAAAGGATTTTTAAAAGGTTCTCCCTGTGAGATATAGATCTCAGCATCTCTGGGGATTTCCCTGGGTGAGAACACTTCTATCCCATCATCCAGGAAGACACGTCTGGCAGCAGCTGTTAGCCCCAGCTTGTCTGTGCACTGCTCCAGCAACTGGTAATACAGATGTACAAACATTGTACTTTATCACCCTTGATATTCATCAGTCATAATTTATGGTCAGAGCACATCAGTTAAGTAAAATTATGTTTCAAAGTCATTGCTTATTCTCTTAATTTCAAGAACTGTAACATCATAATTGAGTCTGTTTTGTAATATCCAGATTTTTGTATTAAAAAAATTGAAAAATTTTTATTTTTATTTATTATTTTTTAATTCTTTTTTTTCAATAAACATCTAAACTCAATAATTTTTAAATACCTCTTTTATTGTTGGTGCTGCCACATTAACAAAAGTTTCTCTGGATCCATTCTTAAAAGCTGTTGCTACTATGGTAAAGGGTTGTCTCTTGTACACAGGCTTAATTTTCCCTGTAAAAATAATAACACTTTTGTCATTAGAATTTCTATACATTAGAGTCAACCTGATGGATTCAATATCATGATATTTTAAGCTGTCAATCATAATTTCATGGCTAATAAAGCTCACCCTTTTATCTTCTATTGCAAATCAAATAAACGATATACCATATTATGCAATATTGATAGGTTCAGGGATCTGAAATCCAATATTTTCAGCACACAGGTGTGATATTGATAGCGAAACACTAGTGTCATTTCAAACATCTGTTGCCATTTATTTCTAGTTACAGGTGAAAATACAGTAACTGAGACATTATCTTATACAGCAAGATAACTGAATAAAAAGCACTTTGTAGGGCATTTACATTATCTGTACAATCCAAAGACTGGTCATTTATTTTGCAATAACCCACCATATAATGCTGTCAGTGTACAATTCAAAAGTAGAAAGAAGGAAATAAAGCCCAGTTAGAAAATTGGTAAGTTGACATTTAGCATGCACAACACAGAGATATGTCAAAATACATCATTATTATTTTAGACAGCATAAAATCAATACCTTTTTTTCCTGATGCTGGTCGGCCTGTTGAAGATGTGGCTGAATATGGCCTGAAGCACAAATAAAATATTTAATAACTATTGTGTGATACATTTACTACCCAATAAACAGTTTTGCAATATCCTTTTTTCTTCTGTTTCTACTAGACACACGTTTCCAGTGTTAAACATATTAAGTGTGTCTTTTTCATCACAGTTACCTGAGAATGCAATACAAATCAATACAATCTCATTATTCTTACAGTTTCTGTATTTTGTACATTAATTAGATTTTTAGTAATAGCATGGAAGAAATATGCAGAGATTGTTAATCAGATACCTAATCAACAAACCTACACGTCTTTCCATATGTCAAAACTTGTGTATGTATTTGTATGCATCCATTTAATAAGTATGATCACATACATTTAATTAAAAAACTGATGATTTGCACATTCAAAATCCCATACTGTAAATATGACCTTATATCTTAGACATATGAATTAGATTTTTAGAATCATTTGCCCAACACACCTAAGATCTCTAATTGACCTATAAACAAATAGGTTAAACATTTGTTTCCTTTAAAAGATATTATCTTTTTTTGAATCACAATACCTGAACTGATCTGAATTAGATTCCTCCCCCATTTCCCACAGACTAAAAGTTTTGTGTATACTTCTCAGCTTCTAAATCTATCAACTGAGTTGTTAACAGCAACATTTGATTGAAGTACCATGTAGTTCATTTACACTGTATTGATTTCTGATGTGTGACTCCTTTTCAAACAATTGAGGCGACACTTTAGTGCCAAAAACCTGGCCTGATCTCCAAGTACTTAAAAGTATTGAACTGAGAGGCATCCATTTCATACTTATCACCAAAATCAATTTCCTCATTGATGTGTTCAGACAAGTACCACAGACCAGTATTGAATCAATAGAAAAAGAGTCAACTAATTTTTCCGAGATTTCCTTTAAAATAACAAAACAATTATTGATTGGCAAAAAGTGACTTTCATAAGCCACTTCCATTTCTCCTCTATGGCAAACAATAACATTTTTCCCTATTTACCCTTCGCTCCTTAAGACATGTCTTGTTTACTTACCTTGGTCTGATTGGGGCACTATAAGGTCTCTTTTTCTTCTTGTACCCTGTTCCATTCTCCCCCTCACCACCCCCTCTCTCCTCCCTTGGGGTTGCCGGGTCCCACAAGGTCAGATCAGCTATGAACTTCATGTCTATCTTGGGTTTTCTGCCTGAAGACTTGGATTTAGTGTTATAACCTGTGGAAGCATGGGCTGATGCTGGGCGGCTGCGGGATCTCCCACCACTCAGAGACTGTTTTATTTTCCCTGGGGTTGGAACAATATGAGTGCTTGGAAGGCGCTGGAGGTATGGAGAAGGAGGAACTTCACTTCTGAAATTTATAAACAAAGTGCAATTGAGATAAATGACACTCATTATTATTATTATTATTATTATTTATCTAAATTTATTTTATGTAGCATTAACTACCAAACTGATAATACAGCCTAGCTGAGGAAGAAGCTAATTTCAAAGCATCACTATGTATAAATAAAATTCCAATATGTATATCAAATAAAACAAGGGCATTTTGGAGTCAATTCAAATTATAAATGTTTTCATAAGAGTGGAGATGGAATACTGTACAGTTAAACTTTTTCAAGTATTAAAATACTGCACAAATAGATTTTTTGCAAAAATCTATACAGTTAAAAGTCACATCAAGGAAATCTATAGTCATTTATAACTCTGAAGAGGACAAAAGTGTTAATGCACTTCACTAGTATATCACATTATTTATTGAACAAAATTTATGTTATCTTTCCAATGAATCATATACCCTCCTTGCTTGTTATCAATTAATGACAACATTTTCCAACAACAGGTAATAATTTATTTGTAGCTGTGGCATTTATGCATCTTATCCTATTCTGTTACTCTCTACTCTATTTAACACAAAAACAGAAATACAACTTTTATATAAAACAAACAAAAGCTTTTATGCTTACTTAAGTCTAAAATGAGGTAAACATCAATGTGTTTGCTCAAGGGGGTAAATAGAGCAGTGTATTAAACTACTGAAGCCTTACGCTTGACTAATACGATTAAGGTTTTTGTAACTACTGTTCTTGCATTCTCTTAAAATATACATGTTCATCCATCATCACACTCATTTTGATAGATGTAAAAATCATTATAATAGTTTTGTTTAGTCAAAAGCAATAATGGTTCTTAGAATGATTGAAAAGTTTATTTCTCTTACCCTTTTTTAGTATAAGGAGGAGACTTTCTGATCTCATCCAAGTACTGTGCCACAATCAAGTCCTCATAGCTGGCCATGCTCCCTTTGACTAGGTTGCCAGTGCTACCACCACCCTTGCTACGCCCTGTTACTCCAGGCATGGTGCTGGTCTGAAAAAATTTGATGGCATTTTAAATCAAAGAGAAGGAAAAAACGTAGTGTGCTAACTAATTGAAGGAAATGCAGTTTTGAGATAACAATTTCCACATAGGCGTTTTTTTTTTTTTTTTTAATTTTTCAATTAATTTACTGACATCAAGTCCATACACCTCTTTGCAAAATATCTACCATACTTTTTTACTCTTTTCAGGGCATATTACATCCAGAAAGCTCATAAGGATATGTTTTAATAATGACACCTCATCCTAGTGTATCACACAAGTATTCCAGGTTTATCACTTATGTAAGTGCAACTTAATGAACATAACTGATCTTAATGTTCTTTGCTGTGAGCACAAGGTAATATTAGCAGACATTTCACAGTGATAGAGAATGTACCCAGAATTACATACCCCGGCAATGGAAATAAACAATTATTTTTCTACCACTATTTTTGTGTATACTACATTACAGAGATATTCTAATAATAAGAACTGACAATTATAAATATATACATATATATATAATTGTCAGCTCTCTTTCAGTTCTTTAAAATTTTAACAGTTAACTTAACCGAACTTATTATATCTCATTAATTGACTGGAAAGGGTAATTTCAGTACCGAACTTATCATACCTCATTAATTGACTGGAAAGGGTAATTTCAGTACCCAGTGGCTAATTGGATGATTTAAAAAGTTTTGTATTTAAAATCCTCTCAAATTTTTTTTCAGATGTTTGAACTATTTTTAAGTAAATGACACAAGATTACGAACATAAAACAGATTCAACACATAATACTAACTCGAATAAAACTTAGTAATATGCTACTTTGAGCTAACAAAGATACTACAGTAATATACATTCAAAAGTTACAAATGAAGTACAAACCCACATTTCATATTTTCTTAGGATGTTATGTTAATATAAAACTGTATTCATTTATTTCTTTTGTGCAATGTCACTGAAGCATATTGATGGCATTATTCCACAAATTTGAAAAGGATATATACCAAGGTTGCAGAACCGGTTATACTGCCTATGATTAGTCATGAAATCTTCAAATTTGAACAAGAAGCAAGAAAGGAAAGGGTAAAAACAAGATGCCACAAAATATATACTGATATTATACAAAACAGAAACAGTAATATTAGAGCTTTTTCTATTTCTTCCCTAAATGAACATATTCTAATATATGTATATAACAAAAATAAGATAAATGACAGACCTTTTTGCTGTGGTCCTTCTGATTTTCTGTGAGTACCACTGGTGAAAGAAATGTGACTTTTCTACTATTTCTGTTTAAGCCACTGCCTTTCATATTTCTCTGAGTATGGGTTAAATCACTATGCCAGTACAGCTGAATTAATGTTTTACCACTACTGACAGCATAATGCTCTATCTCACATTATATGTTCCTCATGAGGCTTATGGCATATTCTCCTGGTAATCATCACCAGAAGCAACCCCTATCTATGTCCAGGTAAAACAGTGGATTTATATGCTATCTAGTCCAACATCCATCAAATCCCACTGGCTCATCATGACCAATATATCATTTCCTTAACTACCATTGCAATAAACTACAGACAGTCGTGGGAAATCCTATTGGTTGAGACACAACCAAGCTGTATTCCCAGGTTACTATGTACACTGTCAACAGGATTGGGGTAATCAGCATAACTGGCTCAGTAGGTAAGCCTTTGTGTACTGACATCCTGGCAGATTCAAAAATCTTGTTTAAAGATTGGATGGCATACTTAAACATGCAATCNATGGGAAATCCTATTGGTTGAGACATAACCAAGCTGTATTCCCAGGTTACTATGTACACTGTCAACAGGATTGGGGTAATCAGCATAACTGGCTCAGTAGGTAAGCCTTTGTGTACTGACATCCTGGCAGATTCAAAAATCGTGTTTAAAGCTTGAATGGCAAACTTAAACATGCAATCCTCTTCTTTACCTTCACACGTCATGCACAGTTTACTAATATTAATCACTAGATTTTGATGTTACATGTCGCTAATTAAGAACTTAAAAAAGATGCCAGATAATCAATATATATATATATATATGTTAATCATTTTGTAAACATAAAGTTTATCTTTTAAGGCATCATACTTACACAGCTTACTTATTCAAACACATCTTCAATCTTGAGCATATCAAAAATCACTACAGCTATATTAATCATAAAAATAATCATAATACGGTAATCAAATATATGCAAGGATTATAAATAACAATGTCTTAAATAATTCTATTTATATAAAACCAACGCAAGCATATGGAACAATCTGAAACTGGACTAAGTGACAAAAATTTTTATTAAAGATAATGAAAATGATAATTTTTATATGTGTGAAAAACTGCAGGCAATCACATTCAAAATAAAAAAAACACATTCATGAATTCAACAAAGAACACCTATTGCAATCCCCCACAGCACTTCCTCTCTTTATGTACTGTCACACCTTTAGTATAGCACTAACGTATGGGAAAACTGCCCTAAATATGTTGTATACATCCCGAGTACCCAGCCAAAAGATGGTGTACATTGGCAAACACAAGAGAGATAATGTTTAGAAGATGTTCAAAGGCAATTTTTTTACGCTGCTTATATCTTCATTTTGATATGCTTGAAACTGAGTGATTTCATAGGCTCAAAGTTGTGCATATAATCAATGTCACATATGCACAACTTTACACTAGGTGTGACAGAGCCTTTAGCTAGCTTATGACTGAGAACTAGGTAGGTCCTAGCTGAGATTTATAAAACAATGAATCATTTATTGAAACTTTATATGCTGCTCATGCTGCATACATGCATCACACATGTTACATGCTCTCTGGGTGGGCAGTTTTAAGAAACTGATCAGCCATATATTTTGGCATTTTTTCCCAAAAGCCCAAGCTCAAACTTACAACCCCCTTTCTTATGGGTCAAAACACGGTAACGGTGCCATGGGTGTCAAATTTTTTTTTGTTTCATTGAAATTTAAAATTTTTACATTTTTGTAGAAAACAAATCAAATTTTTAGACAATGTAAGTTTCATTGAAATACTCCCAGTACTTTTTCTGTGAGCCACTGGGAAACATTAAGGGAAAAAAAAAATTGTCTCTGACGGGACACATGGTCAAATTGGCCCGAGTCAGATATTAGGTTATTTTTTCAAGTTTTTATCACCTGTATATGTTAAACTAATTAGAAGTAATAGTTAAACATAGAAAACTGCCACCTATCACTTATTTTGAGTAAAAAATTATTTAGCACTAGGAGTGGCGTGTCCCGTCAGAGACATTTGACTTCGAAAAGTTTTCGTATTTTCCACATCTGGTAGGTTGTATAAATGAAACTTAAAATCCTCTTTTAAATAATGATAAGTAATGATTATAGCTAAAAATTTCAAAATTAAAACAATTAACAGTGAATCTATTGCCACATTTTATCATTGTCTCTGACGGGACATTTTCTGTCTCTGACGGGACATTTTCTGACAGATGTGAAACACAAGGTTTTACATCTTCAATTGAATCATTTTCAGGTGTTCTGGTGTGTGACATTTCTTATTTTTCTTTTGCAACTGATCATTACTGGGTAATTCATTAACCATTACTGATTATTAGCTAGGTTGACTGTCAGTGATTAGGTGTTAACATGTGCCGTCAGAGATCATGTCAGAGCACTAGAACTGTGAGCAGGTCATTCTGTTCACTGCATGTGCATGATTTAGAACAGAGTCTGAAGGAGACCTCCAGCTCCAACCATATGTTGTGGTATTTGATGATCTGCACCATAACAAACAGTCCATCTTCACTTGTAATAAGGCCATTCTCGAAGACCTCCAACACCAGCAATCATTCAGCAAAGTCTATTACTGGTCAGACGGAGCCCGAGCCCCCAGTCAATTCAAAAGTTGGTTTTTACTGTCTAAACATGGTACTATCATGAAAGAGATTTTGGTATGGAAGTGCAGTGGTACTTTTTATACCACTGCCCATGGCCAAGGACCAGTGGATGGGATTGTAGGGGAAATGAAACATCAGGTTTGGAGAGCAGTGCTCCAGAGAAAAATGGTTGTAGATACACCTTATCAATTCTATTTGGCTGGCAAAGAATTATGCCCCAATGTCAACGTAATGTGCCTGTCTGCAGCAGATATTGTAGCAGCTACTGCGCCCATCAGCAGTCGCTGGGAAAACTGTCCACCTGTTCTAGGAATTCAACACTTCCAACAGCTTTAGCCCCAGCCCCAGCCCTGTGGACATGTTCTTGGGTCAACCAATTCTCAGTACCAGCCACCCTCTTAATATGCTAAACTTATTCATATGACTGTGGACTTTGTTTTGCCTGCACATCCGCACTATGACAATGTTGGTCAAGGCACAGCTCAGTCTCACCAGGGAGATTTTGTCATTGCGGAGTTTGCTGCCAGAGGAGTAAAACAATTCTTAGGTCAGGTCACCCATGACACTGAAGACGGCAAAGTGGAAGTCAGTTTCTTACGTACTGAAGGTTCTGGCAAAAGAATCTTTGTGTACCCTGCCACAGAAGACAAAGCATGGATTCCCATAAAAGATGCAAAGGAAGTCCTTCCAATGCCTGGCATAGACACTCGTGGACTTTACTTGTTTCCATCACCTGTTAATGTGACTGGTTGAAATAAATCTCTTAAGTGCAGAAAAGATATGTGTTCTAAGACTAATTGAGAAACAGGAATTATTATGTGAACTATCATGGACAGTGTTGATTGATATTGAGAAATAGCAGTAATGGACAATGGATTACATGAAAATCATACTGTGCCTTATCGCTGTGTCATGATAATTAATTAATATTATAAACATATTGCATCTGGTGATTTTTCTAATGTACAGAAATGCTATTTTGCAATAACCATCAAGTAAGATTCATTAGATACAAAAATGTGGCTTTTTAAACCTCTTTTCTAAGATTTTTCAATAGTGCCCAAAAGTGTCCCGTCAGAGACGTCCCGTCAGAGACAGTGACTTTTTACACTTAACAGCCCATGCTGCCAAGGAAAGCAAACAAAACTGGCCTGTTTGTGCATTAATTGCTTCCCAAGACTTGTACCTTGCAATATGAATTACAAAAGTCTTGATTAAATGAAAATTCAAAGAGAATTTTGCATTGGAATTTTAGTAAAAAAATACAGGGGTCAAAAATGTCCCGTCAGAGACCGACCTTTAAGTGATTGTCATTCCCACATTTATTTCAATACGAATTAGCTGCTTGTTTTACATAATCCTTTATGGTCCAGCTAAATAAAAATGTATTTAAAAGTAACCATGTGGATCATTTACCAACTGTAATTTTTAAAATTGTCTCTAAAATGTCCCGTCAGAGACATTTCAAATACCGTGTTTTGACCCTTATAAAGACTTCTTCCCAAAGTGTTTTGGCAGATCTTTAAGATCAATTGTTTATCCTACTGGTAGCAGACCTGACTTTCAAGATCATCTAGTGCTCCATCTTCACATAATCATATCAAGACATTTATTTTTACAGTGTCTCATCTTTAGATATTTTAATATTTTTAATATTATATTTAGTTTTTAATGCCTTGCCATGCTTATTGATGCCACAATTTAGGCATAGACAATTCTTTTCTTTATCCAAATTGGTGTTTGAGATACAACTCAGTGCTGAGTTAAGAAGCAAATATCTTAGGCTAAAACAGAAAGAGAATCAGAACATAGATAGATTCACACACAAACAAATGCACACACCTCCACAAACTAACATGCAATCAGCAGATTCTCACTCACATTTATTGTTGTGGATAATTTCTTTTTAAGTCCCTGTATCAATAATCTCCACATTGTTATTTCATTGTATCTCTACTCTTCTTAACAAATTTATGATATTACCAACATGGATGCCCCCTTCCATCATTATGGTATTTACCCCCCGCCCCTGCACCATTACACAGAAACACTATATTACATAACCACAATATTAAACTCTTTTTTCTCATATTCCATTGTAGACCAAAACTCTTTCACTTTGCCTTTTTCACATACATTTTAATCTGCTTGGGAAAATCATAAAACCAAAATATAAACTGTGTGCTTTTACCTATGTCCTTGACTTATTGTAATCAAATGTGCCCATGGCAATATTTAAGGGCTGAAAATCAAGTTGGACAAATTTTGACTAAATTTTTTGATGACATCTACAAAAAAAATGGCAAAATGAATATCATCTGACATAAATGAGATGCCTTAAAATTTAAAATTCTATTGATACTCAGATAAGTGACAATCTGAGTACCAAATTTCATGTCCATAGCACTGTTAGGAAAAACGTGTGAGTTCTACATGTAATATTATTGTATGTTAGTTGATCTGTTTTGTTTTTAAGACAAGTAATGCAATGTCTCACGAAACAGTAGGGTGAAAATAATCGCTCTTATACAAACAATGACTTTTTATTGTGCCCTTAGTTATTAGGAAGGGTAACACTCGTGATTGTTATTTGGACTATATTCAAGTTTTATCATATTGGGGCACCTGTTGACGTTGTTACTCAAATTCAATGTAATAACTTTGTTCTAGTTGCGGATATTTATAAGTCCCTTAGGAACAAACACATGCATATTACTCCTACCTCAACTTGAAATATATTCTTTACTTGAATGCAAGTGGTCACTCCCGAAAAATATAGCTATAATAGCTAGGAATCACTGAATTATAACTGCAACACCCCTCTTTTGTCATTGCAGACGGCCATCTTGAAGCTATTTTTCGCTCTTGGTCTCCTAGGAGATGACGTACTGGCGGCACGCAGCAAAAATACTGAAAAATAATACTGACAATTGAAAACAGAAAAACGTTTTTGACTTTTAATATTTTAACTTAAGGATAAATTTAATCTCAAATTCATAGGGAATTATGTCAAGCGCGTCATTAGTTCACCGTGCCGTTTGTTGAACCTTGTCACGTGATTTTTGGTGGGTGTACATTGACCTCGATTTCGACAGCAAGCTGCAAATGGCGGACAGCATTTGATGCGCTTGTAGTTGAAAGTCTAGGCTATCAAACAAGAAAAGAAGGACACGTGCACTTATTTAACTTTGCTGCTTGAGTAAAGGTAAGTATGTCGTATAACCCAACACAGTCTTAACATTTCATACGTTTTCCTTTTTTACCATTTCTCTCTTACTTCTTGACCGGCGCCACCTGTGTGCATTGATTGATCCCCTCCCCTTCCTGTATTTGAACCGCATTTGAATCATTTACGGTGGTCTGTTCTTCATGTCTATTAATGAAATCAATTTTCTAGGCAAGACATGAAAAACACATTCTAGAAATAAATGGAAATGACAATTTGAATGCTGGGAGTTGTTACAAGGGGAGGGAATGGATATATGTAATGAGTCATAACCAAATATTGAAGTAATCATGATGTAGCTTAGCCCTCTTTACCAGCTCAGTAAATGTTCTTGTTAAGACACAGAGATATTTTATGGCCAAGAATTTCCATTCATTTTTTCATCTTCTCTCTGGGCATGTGTGGTAAATTGAAAAATGTATTCTGAAATTATCAGTGAAAAGAAATGCTTTTTATTATTATTGTCAGAGCATGTAATTTAAACTGAAAATACGAGCAGGGGTTTTATGTCAGCCCATTTGTACTACCCCTTGATTGCAGTGTTAATTTATTGGAAATGAATTTTCAAATATAAATGCTCTTGATTAGTAATGCATCTCTGTGAAACTGAGATGTTTACATTATTTTCACCGATTTGGGCATTTACTGCAATTTCAGTCTAATTCCAATTTTTGTCTATTATTCTTTTAGTTTATTTGATGTCATATTTAATTATGATGTGCCACTTTTATCTTTTCAGCCACCATCCACCATGCCGGCAGTGAAAGGAGATGGAATGAGAGGGCTTGCAGTTTTTATATCTGACATCAGAAACTGTAAGTTTCAGGTTGTTGATGAAAGGCCCTCACACGCTGACTGAAAACTCTGCTCTTATTAGCTTAGAGTTGAATGTCAGTTACTTTATAGTATTCCAATCTTGATTATTTCTTGTGTGTTTTGTAAATAATCACATTTCCATTTCCTGTTATTGGCTAAATTTGTGGTGGTTCTGGATCAGAATTGAAAGAATTTTTTTGCATTAGGTACCTAACTGTATATAAAAAAATAAACATTATAGATATGTCCATCTGAGATTTACTGCACAGTTACTTTGAAGTTGAATAATGAGTGCATATATTAAAGATTTTATGTACGGCAGTAGATAAAATGATGACTTTTGTACTTGATACTTATCTAGAATAACAAATGACACAGCAGAAAACGAGAATTTGTGGGTTTAAAGGGATCATATACGAACAGATTTCCAAAAAAAAAAAAAAATTCAAAATGTAGGTGAAGCTTTGGAAGTTGTGAATTGTAGGGTTATATTCTAAAAATATGGATTTCTGATATATCCACCTTTTCCTGAATCTTCTATAATCTTCTATAATTTTATGTTATGCGCCCTCTTTTTGTTCCATATACTCTTTACAGTTTACAGTGTTCAAAATCAGGAAATTCTGTTTAGTGCTCTTCAGTATTCTGTTTATTATTTGTCTGGATAATTGTTTAAACAAGCTAAGCTTATTGTCCTCAATAACACTGTATGATAGTTTCCAATAAAGTCAAGAGTTTTCAAATTATGCTCCTTGATTTATAGCACTAAAATGAATAAAAATGTCTCATTTTCTTTTAAATGCAACTGTATCTGAAATTGGTGTATTTGACTTTTTGCATGTGGTATCATAGGATTTAAAAACACTCTTAAGGTGGAATTCATTGTGCGACCTTGATCCTGTTACATTCAAGATGCTGCTGATAAGTGTATCTTGTGGTGTAGTTATCTTTACAAGTAATGACTGGAATGCTGGATTGTTATATGCTTCAAAGTATGTAAAAGCTTGGTACAGTGCACTTTGCTTTAGAGAAATTTTGATTTTAAAAACTAACTTTAAGTCATATGGCCTTGATAGTAAATTTGATTTTTAAGTAATACTGACAGCTTTTACACTTTTGGTAAAAAAAAAAAAGAAGAAAAGAAAGGAAATTTAAGTAAAAAAGGTTCTAATGTACGGCTTTGACTGGCTACTGCTGATTGTTTAAAAATAACTCAAGCATATAAACCAGCTTTTGATACCTAGGGTTTATTGATTAGATACATTTTGAAGTGCAGTCATTTACTTAACACACAGAGAAATGAATGTGTATGTCCATTGTTTCCTATTAGGGAGCAAGGAAATGAGAATAGGTGTAAACTGTGAAATTTGCCATGTAGCCAGTAAGTGCAGCCAAGTTAGCATTCCCATGGGGCTGCAGAATGGAAGTCTGTTCCGTGATAGAGACTCAGTGTTATATGCTTTCTCATGGATTGGCCATGAAAATTTGATGAAAGGCCTTGTGTGTTTTGTGTTCTGTTTGTCAAGCTGTATGCTGATGTGGTAGCCTCAGAAGTTTTAGTTAAATTTGTGAGGCTAATCCCACTGTTCAGGTCAATATTAGCAAAATAGTTTTAGATTTTATTTTGCATTTTACTCACTCTGTTTTAAGAAAGTTGATAAGGAAATTGAGTGCTTTATCAGATTGTAATCCAGAAAAATTAATAGTTTTTAAAAACATTAAAATGTTGGATTGAAAACACCAACACATCTTAGGCAAATTGTCATTAAATTTTTGTTTACTGGTTTTGCTACATTTATTTTTTCCTTAGCAGGAATGTACCACTATTGACTAGTTGATATGACATTAAACTGCCACCTGGTAAATACTAAATATGGCATCTTGTCTAGCCTAAAACTGTTTCCAAGTTGAAATATTTTTTTCTCAGAATGTTCATTTTAATTTTATATTTTCTTAACAAGATAGAGGGTGTGGGGTGAGTTTTTATATAACAGCTATTATATATTTTTCTTTTTACACATGAATAATTGATTTGTTTTGATTTTCATTTTCAGGCAAAAGCAGAGAAGCAGAAATCAAAAGAATCAACAAAGAACTGGCCAACATTAGATCAAAATTCAAAGGTAAAACAAAAGTTAAAGGACAGTTGTACTGCTGTTGTTGATGATGGAATATTTACCGGTCAAAATGAAATGTATGGGTATAATATTGCAAGTTAAGCAACTGAACATGACTTTTTAGTTTTTCAACATTATATCTTGACCCTGATAGTTTTAATGTTCCCTGTACTCTGGCAATTTTTGAAACTTGTTATTTAATTCTTTATTTATTTTATTTTATTGTCAAGTTTGAATTCATTAAGCTCATCTGTACCTATAATAGGAGTATACTCAAAATCTGTGTATAGTATTCATTCCATTGAATAATAGAATTTTAACAGGAAAGGAGTATTTGTATATGTGGGAGTGATGAAAAGTCAATACATGATGCCTGGAGTATTTTCCAAGTGTGCAAAATAATTTGAGAATGCTGAAGTTAACTATTATTCCTGTGAGGAACGGCTGTCTTTTTATGACGTTTAATTCTGTGGTATGATAAACTTTATGCACGCTTTTGTTTGATATATTGCAAATTCATTGCCGAGATGTCTGATGCTTTCAAGCCAACAGAGTGTTTGCTGAATTTGGAGTGGATATGGATTTTCTGCTTTATCAGTGCTAAAGCCTAAAGCAATTCCAGAAATTTTATTATTTTGTCTCAAATTATGATTATTATTATTATTTTTTTTTTCTGTTGCTTCATATCTTAACAGATATTTAATATTTATATGATATAATCAGCCCCATAAGTGATGCCCTTAATTGGTCTCTTTGGATTTCCTCTTGTCTGGGTTGTCTTCAGTTCACTTCGGTTATTATAATAATTAGCTGCCAGGCATCATTTGACTGGAGTTTCACTTGAGACTTGTATGGTACCTGCATTATTTTTGCATGCAGAATTAATGAGCAGCAATATTATTTTAGATGCTCCTTGAAAATACAGAGTACATAAAGTAATAGTAGACAGTATCATTTTGAAATTCATAGTACGCTAAGTATTAGTCCATGAGAAAATGTTGATACAGTAAATATAAAAAGTTACAGTTTTTATCCTAGATGACGAAATGTGGAAAAATGTCAGTGAGGATCAGTATATTGATTAGTAATATTTGCAGTCATAAATTGGCCAATATGAACATATTTTATTTTTCTGCTTTTGGTTAGTTTTTATGAATAGTATTTAATATCAGTAGGAAGTGTCAGTATCATTATTAGTCTGTTTATGAATTAGCTCCTAAAATGTCTGCTGTAGTTGAAAGTGCACAACATGAGTTGCTGTGGTCTGAAGTAAAAATGTCCATGTTTGGCTGAATTTGGAATCTACACTTGCTTGCCAAGCAGTCAATTGGGAGACGCTTTGTTTAAACATAATTTGATTTATTGCTTTGGAAAACTTCCCTTCCCCCCCCCCCCCAAATAATTCTGTTACGAACAGATACTTTACAAAAGTTAATATCAGTTTTCATCGGATTTTGTAATGTGATTATATAAGAAGTGCTGGTTGGATGTTCCTTATTCTTCTCCTATTATCTCATGGCAACAGCAGTGTGCCACAGATTGTGCCTGAGCTGTGTCACAATACATTTAAGTCACAGTCAGAGACAAGTATTATACTAGAAACAAAATAAAAAATCATTTCCACCAACTTGTACTGTACATTCAGATACCCAGCAATCCTGGAGACCTGACAGGAATCAATACTCACTCCTACTTTTCCTAGACATGGACATGCATACATTGGTTTTGTGACTGGCTCAGAATCTGTATGGCTATATTCTTTTGTCAACCATACATTGTCCTGGGTTGGTTCTTTTTCTTTGGTATTGACACATGTGGATGCTTTGGGCTTAGGTAGATCTGTAGTTTGAGCATTTCATTTAAGACATGTTCACTCAAAGGAAAAAGTCAATACTTGGTAATGATTAGTGTACCGCCAGTCTCTCGCCTGACTCTGAATAATAAAGATGGATTTTCAGGGAAATCCTTGTATGTCTCCAGGAGGGTTAACATTTTTTGAAATGCAGACTGATTTGATTTGCGGTTTTAAAAGTTTTCCCCTGACATTATTAAAAATGTCAGAAACTGTATTCAAGGATGTAACCTAATTAGAAATGCTTTCAAAACCTTATGGATTGGCAAACACTATTCACATTACTGTCATTGTGTGTGTATGGGGCCTGGGGGGGGGGGGGGGTTGTAGGCACAAACTGAAGACTGGAATATCCAAACGCCTGTATGTGACATTTTTTAAATTTTAATATATGCATTTTTTAGACACTGGAGTCTTTGGGATGGTGTAACCTTTTCAATTTCTGAGGTCTTTAAAGTGAAGCTAATTTGTTGCTGTTTTGTGAAGAGTGGTTGGATTGGAATGAGGGACTCGGTATCGTAGATTGATCTAAATTACTTTTTTTCAGAGAATTAGTCCCAAAGGAAATTTGATGAATTAAACTTCTGTCTGCTTGGATATGTATGTAGAATATTACTGTTTTGTGTAGTATCTGCACAGTAATAAAATGTAAATGTCTGTGGCCACTAATAATTCAAAGAAATTTGCTCTGCCTCTTACATACCAGCAGCTACATACAAGCATTATTTCATTAGAGTATAGAATTGTTCATAGAGGAATGATAAACAGAAGGCAGGGATTAATATTTACTGAAAATAAGTCATTTGATAAAGCAATCATGTCTCTGGTACTTTTCCCTTGATGCCCACGGTCAACTTTCCTATTTCATTCACCCAAAGGGGTGTATAAGTTTCATTTCCTCAGCCAGTTTCTGAAATTTTATCTGATATCTATTGTTGATCATATGGACACATGTTTAAAGATGAAATGTTTTAAATATGGCATGTATGCATTATGTCTACATACTGCTTACTAATCTTGCTTTTGTTTGATATATGTTCTTTTTTGCCTTTTAAGAGTTTTCTGTACTCTCTCTCACTCTCTGCCTCCCCCCCACCCCCATCCCATGTCAGCCAAAAATCATTGAAATATAATCCTTAAATTATGTCAGGTTGCTATGTTACATGTGTAGATTATTGAACCCAGAGTGAAACAAAATGGGTAAAATCAGTAAGATAATCAAATGGATTTATGTCTTATTAGTAGCATTAGTGAGGGATTGTATTATATTTAGTCAGTGGAATATTCTAATAAAAATATATTAGATGGTTCAAGAATTAGGCCACATTCATAACCAGTTGATCTGCATACTAAGAGATCTACAGATCAAATGTGGCCGACCCACTTGAAAGGTTGCCGCATAATCTAATAGACTCCGAACACATTCCCAGTGGGGGTTATGTGTCAAGTTTTCAAGTGGGTTGGCCATATTTAATCTGCGGATCTGTTAGTCTGCTTGCTAATCAGCTTTGGTTGTGAATGTGGTCTAAGACTTCACTTAGATAGCATTGCTAGGTCTCAGTGTTTTGTCCTCCATTATGATAAGACATGTCTGAGAAGGTAATGTTTTCATTGGCTCCTGATTGAAACATGTTGTGTACATGAATACACACACACACACACACACACACACACACACACACACACACACACACACACACACACACACACACACACACACACACACACACACACACACACTACAGGACACAGTCCAATAAAAATACACGAGACACTGTTTTATCAGCAAGGGATCATTGAGGACAAAATGCGTTGATGATGTGCAAATGAACCATATGAGTCATGATGCCATTTACAGTTGTACATGTTATATTGGGTTGACATTCACACACACAATTGTTTTGATATATGCATGGTTAGATCTCATGGTAGGAACTCTGTCATTACTTTACATCATGGAAATAGATTGAGACACACATTGCCGTTTGCTGTTTTAGTCTTACGAAACATATGTAAACTCTTATGTCATCCAAGCTTTACAAAAATATTTATAAATATAATATTTATAATTAAAATGTAATTTTAAATGTAATGTGTATTGTTTCTAGGTGATAAAACCCTAGATGGTTACCAGAAGAAGAAGTATGTGTGTAAGCTGCTGTTTATATTCCTGCTGGGCCATGACATTGACTTTGGCCACATGGAGGCAGTCAACCTGCTCAGTTCTAACAAATACACAGAAAAACAGATTGTAAGTGGAATCCTGACAAAGTTCAGCTTAGTTAACCTACTTACTTCCTCTCAGTATAAATTAAAGTAATCCAGAGAATGGCAATCCATCTGTTTTAAGTTTGAGGTGTAACCTTCGTGTCTTGGTAAAGGAAATGAAATTTGAAATGATATTTTGTTGAGCGTACATTGCTGTAGTATAGATAAAGATGTTATAGATGCTTAAAATAGGTTTTATTGAAGTGATTATGATGGTAAGAGAATTTGGTAGAATTTTGACATTTTAGATACATACACACCCTATTTGGAACTCTAAAAGGAAGACTTAGAATGAATAAAAAAGAAATAAATTAATTTTTTTAAAGCTTGTATTGTTAATTTATTTTTACAAGGGTTACTTGTTCATCTCTGTGCTGGTCAGTGCCAGCAGTGACCTGATGAAGCTGGTAGTCCAGTCCATTAAGAATGACATCGTCAGCCGTAACCCTGTGCATGTGTGCCTGGCCCTACAGTGTATTGCCAACATAGGCAGCAGAGACATGGCAGAAGCCTTTAATAGGGATATTCCAAAGCTTTTGGTATCAGGGTAAGGTGGCTTTCATCTGTAGATTGATACTAAGTACAAAGGAAATTGGCTTTTGAAAAATATTAATGCAGAGTTTTTAGTGGTGACAGTGAGTAACTAATGAAAAAAGGAAGAGGATATATATAAAACTAGTGTGGTGGCTGTCATGAATTTTGCAGTTGATTGCTAGCTTTTTTCATAATAGCTGTAAATGTCATAATGTTTAGGTTGAATTGATTAATGCAGGTGATGGTAGATAGAAGACTTAAATGCAAGCATAATATGTTTGTATATGAGACTTTTGGAGATGCATTGCATGACTCACTTTGTATGTATGTATGTATGTATTACACAAGTTGAAATATAAATACACCAAAACACTTGAGTAAAACTAAGTATTGCTTTCCTTCCAGTGACACCATAGACTCTGTAAAGCAGAGTGCTGCCCTGTGCCTGCTGCGTCTGCTGAGAACAGCCCCAGATCTGATTCAGCTTGGAGAGTGGGCCTCCAGGGTCATTCACTTGCTCAATGATCAACACATGGTAAGCCCACATTACAAATATTTCCTATTTTACCCCCCCCCCCCCAAACACAACATTCTATGGCTTTCTTAGTTGAAATATATGGCATCACATATCCTTCTCCAGGTAGTTTGTATAATTTATATACGTGCACCTAAAATATTAAATCGTTTTAGTGAAGCTATTGTCATATAAAGTTGGCTTAAACTTATTGAGCAAGAAATCATAATTTGAGGAAGAATAACATATACAATTATCATTGAACAAGCTCTGTATGAAAATGAATCAGGTAGTGAAATAATGAAGTTGCAAGTGCTTTTGCTTCCATAGAAACGATAGGCCTTAACAGCAGTTCTCCATTTAAATATATAATTGCTATATACATGTACATTTGTTTCCTTAAGGGTGTAGTAACAGCAGCAGCCAGTCTGATAGAGGCCCTGGTGAAGAGGAGTCCTGAGGAATACAAAGGCTGTGTGTCTCTGGCTGTGTCTAGACTCAGTAGAATTGTCACTTCTTCCTACACAGACCTCCAGGATTACACCTACTACTTTGTGCCAGCACCTTGGCTCTCTGTCAAACTGCTGAGGTTGCTACAGAATTATCCTCCACCAGGTGATGTGTTTATATTGTGTGATATGAACATCTGTAGATTTTGTACATTTTGGTGTTCCCAGTGTGAAAATCTTAGTTAACACATTCTTAATCAATTGTGCTGTATGGTCTGAGTTACCGACAAAGCACAAATTAGTGTAAGGAAGGAGGAAAGCTAAGTAACTTATACTAGTGGTTTATCTGGTGCCATTTCCATTACAAGTACAATTGTTCATATGTACACAAAATTCAAAAAGTATATTTTATACAAACTTTGCATAGGTCAGTTAGGTTTATAAAAAAATCTGGATAACTTAATCATAGTCTGACTTATTCATTATTGTTCATTTCATTGGATTTGTATTTGCAGAAGACCCGGCTGTTCGCACAAGGCTGACTGAATGTTTAGAAACCATTCTGAACAAAGCCCAGGAGCCACCAAAGTCAAAGAAAGTGCAACACTCCAATGCCAAGAATGCAGTCTTATTTGAAGCCATTAATCTGATAATCCACATGGACAGTGATCCTAATCTGTTAGTAAGGGCATGTAACCAACTGGGACAGTTTTTGTCACATAGAGAAACCAATCTAAGGTAAGAAGGTGATAATTAGATGTTCAGTCTTGTTTTATTTACTTGATTTAGTTGATTCAGCAGTTCAGCTTAATGCCATCCATGATTATTGATTAGGTTTAATAAAGTTATGGACATTTTAGTGTGGTGAATTAAGTGTTGAAACAAGGGAATGCTCTTTACTATTGCTGGAGGAGAAAGGCATTTTATGTTATATAACAGTGCTACTCCTACTCAACTTAGTCTGTGTTTTAGTGTCTAAAATAAAGTGTTAAAATGTGGGAAGGCTCTTTACGTTGCTGGAGGAGAATGGTGTTCTGTGTTATTTGCTAGTGCCACACCTACTCTACATTGTCTGTTTTCTAGGTATCTTGCATTAGAAAGTATGTGCTTGCTGGCAACCTCAGAATTCTCTCATGAAGCAGTCAAAAAGCATCAGGAGACTGTGATCAATGCACTCAAGGTACAGATATTATAGACTTAATGTCATATAAATTAATTGATTTACAGTTGGTTGACAATATGATACAATAAATGATTTTAAAAAATTGATGAATTGCATTTCTTAAAACAATGTTTTGTATGTAATTCTGTAAAAAGTGATTTGAATGTTTTAAAAATAAATTGGGATTATATCAGAAGTTGTTTTTCTAAAAATGAACAAAATGAATAGAATATGATGAAGAATTATGAGTAATAACTCCAATTTTGATTTGTAAATCTCCAGACTGAGAGGGACGTGAGTGTTCGTCAGAGGGCTGTGGACCTGTTGTATGCTATGTGTGACAGAACCAATGCAGAAGACATCGTAGCAGAGATGTTGACTTATTTGGAAACAGCAGATTATTCTATTAGAGAAGAAATGGTAAGGGTATCATCTTGAAACCAAATGATACCGAACCAAGCATTAAACACTGTAATTTGATCGCATTTGACAGTCAAGGCAGCTTTTGTGAAGGTCTAAAAATGAAATTTTTATTAAAACTTAAGTGAAATATAGTTTCATAAGCTTTAAAGTTAAAGATTATAAGTGCATATTAGTGCAATAACTATACATTGGGGCATAAGCAAGTTAGAAGAAGTAGCAAGCACTATCTTTTCTCACCTACCCAATTCCCCCTACCAGGTCCTTAAAGTGGCTATCCTGGCAGAGAAGTATGCAGTGGACTACACATGGTATGTGGACACCATCCTGAACCTGATCCGCCTGGCTGGAGATTACGTCAGTGAGGAAGTCTGGTACAGAGTTATACAGATTGTCATCAACAGGGATGATGTTCAGGGATATGCTGCCAAGACTGTCTTTGAAGTAAGATAGCCAGTAGCCAGTGTTATATGTTCATCATTTTATGTGTTATATCAGTATTTGATGGTATTTGTTACAGTTGAGGCATGTTTGTAAAATGATTACTTAATAACATAAAAACTCCTGATGTTTTATCTTGTACCCAACATGTATAACTTTACAGAAGATGTCCAGGTTATTTTCCTTTAAATGGGAACAACATTCTGAAAATGGTCATTTTTTTCAGGCACTCCAGGCACCAGCATGTCATGAGAACATGGTGAAAGTCGGTGGATACATATTAGGAGAATTTGGTAACCTAATAGCTGGAGACCATAGGTCAAGGTGGGTGTCCATTGTGGATATAAGTTTTCTAGTCTTGAAAAATTATTTATAATTATCACATAGGTTTTATCTGAGTTAAACATAAGTAATAAAACCTATCATTTATCTAAAGAACAGGTAAACCTAATATTTTAAAATGTTGATACAAAGGTTGGGATTTATGTGGTATTGAAGAGCCATTTGTACTTTCTTTCCAGTCCTATTGTGCAGTTCCAGTTGCTCCATTCTAAGTACCACTTGTGTATTCCAAGCACTAGGGGGCTGCTGCTTTCAACTTATGTTAAATTTATCAATTTGTTCCCAGAGATAAAGGCACAAATACAAGAGGTCAGTGTAATGGTGTGGTCAAGTGTTTTTGGTTGGTTTTAAAAACATAATATCAGCAGTTGCACAATGGTTTATTAGAGTTATTTTGATGGAACTATATTAAGAAGGAAAATGTTCCTATAATCAATTTTTTTCTTTTTGAAAATGCTGTAGAACATAGATGTTCAGTAATTTTAAGTATCCCGTACTGTTTTTCAGATTCTAAGAAATGACAATAATATAAGAAACCCAGATGTAGAAATTCAGCAGAGGGCTATAGAGTATTTGCAGCTGACTTCAGTCACCTCTACAGATGTACTGGTATGTGCAAAAAGGAAAAAGAAATGCATTTAACTGAACATTTATATGACTAGGAATGTATGTACTGCAGTAGGATATTTCATGTTTTTATCAACAGTAAATGGTTGACTGAGTATTTTGAGAATTAAATTTACACATGTATGTGCATAAATTCAATATATTTGGATCTTATTATATCTTTACACTTAGGTTTTTAGAAAATGCAGAAACTTGAGATATAATCTTTTTCACAGGCTACAGTATTAGAAGAGATGCCTCCCTTCCCGGAAAGAGAATCTTCCATTTTAGCCAAATTGAAGAAGAAGAAGCCAGGAGCTGCAGAGGATCCAGATGCTGCTGGCGGCAAGTCTTCACCTCCCACTGTTGCATCCAAACCAATGCCTGAGATTAGTGTTAATGCTAGTTACCAGCCACAGGTTAGTATATAAGCTAGTTATCAGCCAGAGGTTAGTATATATGCTAGTTATCAGGCACAGGTTAGTATATATGCTAGTTATCAGGCACAGGTTAGTATATATGCTAGTTATCAGGCAGAGGTTAGTATATATTGTAGTTACTAGTCACAGGTTAGTATATATGTTAGTTATCAACCATGGGTTAGTGGGCTCCTAATGTAGAACCTCAGGACTGGACAATGATACTACAGCTTGCTGGCCAAATTGTTGATATTTAAATTTTTTTCCTATGTGTATTTTATAATGTTGTCTTTATCTGGTTACTTTAATTTTAAAATATTATTTTGAATTATCTAAATAAAATATTGAAAATTAAAGGGGCTACACATCTGTGTTTGGCTATTTCAGTTTCTGAATAACAACCTGCGTAATGTTTTTTATACATTTTTTGGTTACATGTTGATAGTATAAGATAGCACTTTTTGTGATGATGATGATGATGATGATGATGATGATGACCACGCATTATTTTCTTGTTCAGGGTGCATCAGGAGGATCAGCAGATTTGCTTGGCCTTTCGTCTTCAGCGCCCCCTGCAGCTGCTCCTGCCTCCAATGACACTGGCTGTCTGGTGGATGTGTTTGACATGCTGGGAACTGGCGCATCTCCTACAAGCAATGGCTTAACAGCTGCTGCAGACGAGAACTACAAAAGGTTTGGATCTGTTTGGGTTTTGACTGTGTGTGGTGCTTCACTTGTTTGTGGTGATGATGAGCTGTTTTTATGTAGCTTATTACAGCGTTGTTGATCTATTGGCATGATAAGAGGACACAGTTGGTGTGATATAGATCAGCAGATTCAATATATTTGGGAGGTTGTGGAGGTGGGGCATGGTGAAATATTCACCGGTTATAAAAATGATAATGAGGAGCTGAATTATAATCTGGGCTAATTTGGTTTAATTGACTTTGGGAATACCTATACCAGTACAAGATGTTTTAAAGTTTCACCTTTACTAGATGAGTCTTTTAATGATGTGAAGTGCAGAGTTACTGATGGCATTGTGCCACTCTATGTAAAGCTTACTTTTGTAATATTGAGGAGTTGGAAGATATTGGCTTAACATTGTTGAAGATGTTGAATTATTGGATTGTCTGTGGAAATCAGTGCTTTTTGTGTGGTTGAGGTGCTTATCTAGAGTGTGTTAAACTGGTAATAAACTTTTTGATATAGCTGTGTGAACCGCTTATTTGCTTAACTCTGTACCTGTATATGTAAATCCTTTAATTGTTGAACCTGCTTATAAATTTGAACGAATTTGTGATTTTACTTCTCTGAATCATACTAACCAACATCAGAAGATAAAATATCACACTTAACAGCATATTGATTTAGAAGTTTCCTTTTCCTGAAGAATGAATTAAGTTTGGTATTACCTTTCTGTTGATATTCCAGTAATTTATAAAGGAGTTGAAAATTTAATGAAAAATGTGTTTAATTGTGGTGTAAACTTGTGAAAAAAGAAACTTATTAATAGTTTAACATCTAAGTCTTGGTGGCCAAGAAAGTAAAAGGTACTTGTCCAGATGATCTGTTAGAGCCTTGTCAGTGAATTTTATCAAGTATGATATAGAATAATGATTTGAATGTTTAAAAAGGAGTGCTACCCCAAGTTCTTGCTGCTTTGTGGAGTATATCTTATAGTTTAGAAGTGACAAAAGTAGTTGATTGTGCTAGAACATCCCCCTGGCTTGAACTGAAAGTGTATGTTCCATTGTAATGCATGTTTGTATTGAATGCTTGCTTATTATTCAGTGCAACTACCCCAGATCTTGAGGCTGGACCAGACAAAATACATGAGTGAGTGTCACAACTTTCTATGGCTGAAGTATTAGTGGATTTGAATTTTGTTCTGTGAATTGTATTGAATCTTTTATTATGACGTACAGTGAAGTAATACAAGTATTTTGTTTCTTTTTAGAATATAAGCACATTTTTCAATAATAAGAGAAAAATGTATTTATGCCACTTAAAGTTTGTTACCACAAATCCCTAACCTTTTAGTTTTATAAACTTGATATGTTTTTGTAGTGCTCAGATATGAGTAGTTTGTTTTCATGCGAGTGTTTATTGATATAAAGCCTAGAGAGCAGAACAAAGTATGTTCCAGATGTGTAGAAATTGAAGCATGAATCATGCCTACTAATCATATATTTGAACCTTACATAATGTTTACATACTGTCAGTAACTGTGTTATCTTACTTTTTTGCCATGTGACCTGAGTTGTAGTCAAGAGATACATGTTTAAATATTTTTGTAGTGAAGCTATATTAGGGTTGCGTGACATAGTATCTTGTCATTCAGCACCTTTGGGAAATAATATAAGGATTCCTTATTGCATAAGTAACTCTGCTTTTGGTTGTTAAACATAGAATAAAAAGATTGCAATCATTGTCCCTAAGACATTATAAAGATCCAAGGAAAACTTGAAAATTCAGGAAAGCAGGAGTGTTTTATCTTGAGATGATCTTTTTTTTTACTTTGAATTACACACTTTTCTTATTAAAATGATGTAATTAGAATGTAGTAAAAAGATTGTCAGAGAAAAGTGTTGTTTTGATTTTACGTGAAATGTACCTTTTAACATGACCTGAAGATTGTTTTAAACTTGAGGCAGACATTGGTATTTGTAGAATAACTCTTCTCTTTTAACTTTTGGATAATTTACAGTATGTTTTTACTGCAATTTGAACCTTTTGTGTGTTATTCCAGGTTTGTATGCAGAAACAATGGTGTTATTTTTGAAAATGATCTGCTTCAAATTGGGATCAAATCCGAGTACAAGCAAAACCTTGGCAGAGTGGGAATGTTTTATGGTAACAAAACTAGTGTGCCATTTTCCAATTTTACCGCAGAAGTCAGCCTTCCAGGAGAGCTAAGTAGTCATATCCTTTACACAATTTCTTTTTCTTTATTATTGTTTTCTTCATCTAGGAAACATGGTTTATTATTTTTTTTAACTGTGTGTGTGCCATTTTGCTACAAAGACTCACTTTACGTCTGATATGAATATATGGAACATCTGATTATTTTAAATGTCAATTCCATTGTTGTAAATCTACGTAGGTACCTACTTTGTTTCAAACAGGATATGAGTTAAAGAATGTTGAGTACAAATGGAAAACAGTCTGTATGATACTTTTTAGTTACTGTTACTGTCACAATAATGCTGAAATTTATCTTTAACTTAAAGTACTGGGAGTCTGTACTTTCCATCTTGTGATAAGCTTTCTTGTTTGAAGTCGTGTTTTCCTTAACCTGTTGTACAACTCATGGCTCAAGCTAAACCAGTAGATTCACAGGTAGAGGCAGGTGCCCAGAAGCAGCAACTTGTCAATATTGAGTGTGTGACAGATTTCACAGTGCCTCCTGTACTAGTAATCAATTTCCTGTAAGTATATTCAGTTTTCTTTTTCATTAATTCTCCAACGATATTATATTGAATGGTGTTGTTGTAGTTTGGTCTATGCACTTATGAGATAAGAATGTGGACAAATGAGTCTCATATGATTGAACTATTTTATATGATTGAACTGTTTTTGTTTTTATGACTTGTTAGATACAGTTAGTAAATAAATGCTATTTTACACAAAAAATGTTTTGATTAAAAGGTGATTGAGTGATTAAAATAATGTCAGAGGTTAGATTTATTTCATTTAAATTCCTTTTTGAAACAAATATTATAATGTTTTAGTTAATTCTGTATCTTTATGGATTTTCAGTTATAATGGTGCCCAGCAACATATGACTGTTAAGATGCCAGTAATGGTGAATAAATTTTTAGAACCAGCTGAAATGGATGCGGCCACTTTCTTTCAAAGATGGAAAAATTTATCAGCGTAAGTTTATTTTGTTAAGATTTTTCTGTATCAGAAGTGACGAAATGCTGTTCTCTAAACAAAATTAACAGACTGTTTCATTTAATTATGATTTCTTTTAATTATTTTTCCAAAATGCACATGGACTAAGTCAAGCTTTTCAATTTCACCTCTTTAGCCCTGCCCAGGAATGCCAGAAAATATTTAAAGCAAAACCACCAATGGATGGAGAACAAACAAAATCAAAGGTATTCTTTTGACACACTAGATTGCTGTTCTTTAATAAGGAAAAAAACTGAAAGATTAGGTAGAAATATCATGACATTTTTTGAAAAGGTGTCTACAAGGCAAAATAAACTTTGATATACTAATATTAACACTGTTAGAATTTAGCTTTTGCATTCATTTGTTAACAACACAGAATATTTTGCACTTCTAGCTTCTCTGCTTTGGTTTGAGTATATTAGAAGATGTTGATCCAAACCCAGAGAACTTTGTGTCTGCTGGTGTCTTGCACACACGGAATCAACAGATTGGTGTGCTGTTACGACTGGAACCAAATTCACAAGCTCAGGTAGGTGCATTATTAGATTAAAAAAATAGTACAAAAGGCATGTGGACTCTGGTTATGGATTTTACTGTTATGTAGGAGATGAAAGAGCCCAACATTTTTAGTATGTAAGTAAAGAATTTGTCAAATTGACAAAAATTTCTCTTTTGACAGTGGAGCAGAATACATTGTTTTTAGGTTTAAGTCCTGTTCCATTACCATTGACACTCCATTACAATAATATTAAAATACTGTTAAAATACTATTTTCAGATGTACCGATTAACAATTAGAGCCAGCAAAGATGCAATATCAACAACACTATGTGAGCTGTTAGAGAGTCAGTTCTGACTGGACTAAAACTGCCTTTTATTTATACATACAAGGCATACAAGTACTGTCTTATGTGTACAACATGTGCAAGAATGCTGTTGGCTGTATAGAATTGTACAAATAGTCAGGATCAGAAAAGAATGGAATATGTAAATTGTAATATCGTGACCCGTCTTAGTTATGTCCAGTTCTAGAATATATTGTCAATGTGGATAGAGTACTTTGTGGTATATGCAGATTTGAAGTGTTTTACTTTGAATGAATATAGGGGGAGAACATTTATCACTCTGGAAGCTAGTTTCTTCTCTTCATCAAAATCAAATGATGATTTAATATGATAAAATCATTACTGCCATTTAAACAAGTATCCAAACAAAAACCAAATCTTTAATATATCGGATATAATTTAATTGTGATACTGATAAACAGTATGGTGATGACTCATGCCTCCTAGTCAATTGGTAACTGTAAGAATAAGTATACCAAGCAAGTCATGTTCCTGCTAATATATTTTGTTTCTTGTATTCATACCAATTCACCATTGAATAGAGGCTATTCATTTTTGCTTGGAGTTTAAACAGAATTCATGTAACTATACCTGTAAATGGTAAGTGTGTCTGTACATGGGTGTATGTTAAAAATGTCATGTATGGTCTTATAAAAAATTTGTAGCTTGGGGATATCTCTGTGCAGCAATACAAACTAAATTTAAGAATATTGATTTAGTGTAACTGATTGAATAACAACATAGAAAATTGGCTCATTATATATAGCATATCACTGATGTATTTTGTAAAATGAATGTAAAAAAAACACTCTAGGTGAATGTCATTCCTATGTGTAAACTGTTGATATTTTTGGCCATGTCAACCTTGGGGAATACTTCATCAATGTCTGTCTCTTAACTGTCAAGTGACAACATAGGCATGGGAAGTGAAGGGTGTGAAATCCATTGGTGATTAGTTAACATTTATGTATAGATGCATTGTGTGCTACAGAAGTACATATTAACAAAAAATATATTGATATCCTATGATGGAATTAAAATAAGTGAAAGAAAAAGCCAGGTGATGTAGCAAGTGCTTGTTTGTGCAGAATTGAATAATATTGTATTTGTACCCTGAAGAGTGTAGAGTATGTAGAATTATCTACATTCATTGTTTGTATGAAATATGTTAATCTTCATCATTTTGAAGCTTTATTGTGTTATATACAACACCATCTTAAGGATAAGTTTTTAATTGATTTTGAGTTTGATGTCTGTCATGTTTTTTTTTTTCTTTTGTTTCAGGTAATAACAGGGCATGATTATATTTGCATAATGACCTTCCAGGAGTCACCATAATTATATGATATATATAACCATTCTAATGATGTTGTTCCTTGAATAAAATGATCAGTGCCACATGGGGGACAGTTCTTAAAAAGAAATCTAAACACTATATGTATATCTTTATATTTTATTATGCCATGGATCTTTAAAAACTGTATTGAATGCACCATATTTGAATGAATATACAAGAGTAGAGACATTCCAGTAGAATTCAGGGTTGCTTTTGGGGCAATATCCCACTACTCTGCAAACATTGAGCCACCCAGGTCAGATAGTTCAGAAAAGCATATTATACATTATATTTCAATAGCAGCAGTTAGGGGTTCAACCTACTGTAATTATTTGCTTTTTACTATTTGTAAATATCCAATATTGATTTATAAATGCTATTTCTGATCATTTAGATTATTTTCACTTTCATTGATCTAGTAAGCTGAGATAATAATAAAGACTTGGCATGGGCTTTTGAATGGTAGATTTAGTTGGTGGCATGGCTTTGAACAGGTGTAAATATCACATTTTGATGTTGTATCTGCTGTACACATGGTTGGTGCTGAAACTTAGTGAAACTAAACAAAAAAATGGAGTTCTTTCGTTAGGGAAAAATATAATTCTAGCGTTATGTCATCCCACTGGTGTTGTGCTGAACTTCATTTTACAGTCTATTGGTAAAGTGATAACAAGAATATGTAGTGAAAATTTTGGAATGCATATATAAATATACAATTTTTTAAAAATTACAGAATGTTTGTTTTTTTGTGTTTGTTAGCTTGTTTTGCTGTCTCATCATTGCTAACGAGGGGTCCTGCCTTTTTAGTGCATAGTTATTTTAAAATGTCCATACTCGGATAACCAAAAACAAAAATCACAAATAGATTTAATCCTTGAAAAAATACATATGTACAACAATCAATATAAAATACGATAAGATTATAAGGTATGCTGAGGTGGAACAGTATTTCAAATGGTTTCTGATTGAGTATCTGCAGACTTGGATACTGACTTCATTAACTAGTTCAGTACATTATGCATCAAATCAGTCCATTCAAATCTGCCACAGTCCAAGTCAAGCTACTTATTTGAGTTAATTACCCATACAAAAAGAATGATAGTTTTTTAGTGTTTTAGGTCACATCATAAATGAATTTCAACATGGTTGTTATGCTGATAAGTCTTTTATTTAAATTGAGCACTGGTAATCTTGAAGTTCCTTGCAGTGCTCTCTTGTGCTCTCTTTGCCTGTCTGGGATTAAAACATCCTTGAACAAAATTAACTTTCAATAGGGGATGATCTTAATGGAGACTTGGTGGACTTCTCTTCCTCTGGGTGGTAGTGCCGTCTTCCGTCATCAGCATACTTCAGTGCTATCATGTGATTCAGCATGGACATGTTCTCATAGGCTGGGAAAAATTTACGCATAAAAAAGATGTGCACCTGATGTGTCCAGAAGTTGTATTTTCTTGTGTCTTCATCCAGTTCCTCCTCTTCTACCACTTCCTCACATTCTGAAAGGCAGTTAATATTAGATGAATTTATGAAGAAATGTAAGTGACTACACTGGAAAGATTGTCTATTGGATTTCAACAAATAAAAACTAAAACACAGACAAAAAAGAATAAAATATATGATAAATCATCCTTATTATAAAACAGAACTAGCACACCTGTTAAGCTATATCAGCAAGAATAAAACATTAGCCTCTTTGCCCTTTTCATATAATAAATAACCAGGTAAATGTCAAGTTTTAAAAGATTTTAATTCAAAATTAAAATGCTTCGTTACCTTCTTCATCCTCCTCATCTCCAATATCAGAGTGTGCCACACCTACGGAGACCATGCTCTGCATGAGTGGTGGCTCCCCCTCCTCTGTCCTGTGACTGTGTGCACTCATAAAGGACATGGTTTTCCTGGTGTCAGCCAGACCACCTTGTTCTGGAGAGCATAAACATCAAAATAACTTTACATTAATAACATGTTGTTTGTGCGAAAAATTCTAGTGACTGTAAAGCCATATTTGTATCCAGCTTATTTAAAGTTAGCTGGCTGAATAAATGATTATTTAAAAATAACAATTTCAACTTTTGGTATCTTTCACATGCATTCAAATAATTATTATTTTTAGCTTCAGACAAAATAATAGCCTACCAGATGGGACATTCCTTGCACTCTCCTGTTGGCTCACTGCAGGTCGGTGATCAGAATGTGAAGTACTGGCAGTAGCATTGGAGGCTTGCTGTTCTTGAAGTTTGTGAGAACCTTCCCCAGTTTTATGTGTCCCACCAGAGGAGGAGACTGCCCTGGGGGCCACAGGGGTGGCTGCTGTCTCCGGGGATGGAGATTTATGATGTTGTGATCCCTCCCCTTCTTCTTCCTCACCATCATCTATTTCAGTCTGATAAAATACAAGTTAATAAAGAAATGTATTCTTTGATTGTTATCAAAATTATAATTTTAAAGAGAGAAAACTGAGGAGCCAAATTTGAAAAATAGAAATATGTCATAATTCAGGCCCGTAGCCAGGGGGGTTTGAAAGAACAGCCCCTTTTGCTGGGAAAAAGTCCACTTTGGGTAAAATTTGATCTAGGTACATGGCGTTTTTATTGGAAAAGGTCAACTTTTTCAGAAAAAGAACCCCCCTTTTGAAATTGCTGGCTACGGGCCTGTAATTCAGTGAAAATTACCATGGTTTAATGTTTTTCATAACACTGATCTGGGTTATTTTTATTAGTAAGGCAGGTGTCAAAAAAAGAGAAAACTGCGTGACACTAGTGCCAGGCTTCTTCAATAGTAAGTAAGCAACCCTACCTGCTCTCGACTGCCCGCTCTTCCAGGGGACAGTGGGATGGACAGCATGCTCTGCTCCTGGGTCAGCTGTGTACTTGGACGTGGAGTAGACGGATCTTTGACCACTGCCTCTGTCACATACACCTGGGCACAGCCTATCAGGGCCTCAAAGAACTCTAAGAAACACATCTGAAATGTGGAAAAAAGATGCCAAAAATGTAGAAGGCAAGAAATTTTTGAGAAAACAAACACACTGTTTGCTTTAGGAAGGATATTTGTGTCACAAATTTCAGTTGTAAGAAATGATGTCCACGGTATGCTGACATAATCAATTTTTTTTTCACCTTGAAACTTTTCTTTTTTTTTTTATTACTAAATTTCTAGAAACGACAGAGAGAATGAGCTGCTCATACCAATAAATGCAGAAAACAAGCAGAAAAATAAAACATCATTGCCACTTATTGCCATTAATACCTCTAGCTCTAAGTTGTAGGCTCCCTCTGGATCTGCTACCTTAGGGTCATCTGCTGCCAGGACATTGATAGCATTCTGTGGGGTCAGGTCAGCATTCACCAGTTTATAATCCTGGAAACATACACGTGGACTGCTTAGAACAAGTAAATAGGGAAACACAAATAATTTTTCACTTGTAAGATATATTTATACAAAGGCCAAATTTTCCATGAAGGTGCAGTTACTAAAAATAAAAAGGACAAGTATTGCTGCCTGAAATCAGAACTGACTGATTCAGAGACCTGCACAGATTAAAACATTCAAAACATCATTGTAATTCTTATTATGACCTAAGAACAACAGTAATTTCTCCTATTACATATATCTATAAATCAATGTAAACAAATGATGATGAATGATGTAAACTTCTTTGATGATATAATTATAAAATGATGGAAATTACCTTCAGCATAAAAAGGAATTGTCTCATCTTCATTGAAGGTTCATGTGGGGTATGCTTAAAAAGGCAAAAAAAAAAAAAAAAAAAAGAAATTAGTGACACAGAATCTAATATAAGCATGTATTTTCTGATTATCTGGTATATGAAATGCTTAATTGACTACATATATGTCAAACAAATTCATGACACACCACTGATTAATATCTTCATATCTATTTCAAGCTTTTTTATCAAAATTATTTTTACTGTAAAAAATGTATAATCATATTTGGGAAAGTACCTCACCTTTCGAGGTGAGCAGATGGAGTTATAGACTTGGTAGGCTCTGTCCATGTGCACCAGTGCATTCACTGCTCTTCTCTGTTCATAGTAAAAGTTTCCTATGGGAAAATGTATGCATATGATAAATCTATAATCGTATGTTTGAAGATGCCGAGTATTGATCTCTAGACTTTAATGACTTGCAATACATATTTGGAAAAATAATATGTTCATTATTTATAAATCTTTACTGACTTCTGAAAATGGATAAAAATATCTTATTTCACATGCATTGTAAATGTATTATGTCCTACCTCCCACAGAGCAGGCATTAGGTAGAATGTTGTCTGCTATCAACTTGGACAAACACCAGGCAAGCACAGGACCTTTTCCACTGAAATAAAAAGACAACAATTAGAGTTTTATTACCATCATCATAATCATCACCATCCCTCTCGCCACAAGATCACAAAATAAAACCCAAGACAGTCACAGTGTTTCTGACCCAGAAATGGTTCATGGTCAGTTTAGTAATATAAAAGATACATAACTCAACAAATAATAATCACTTTTTTTCTTATGCCAAGGTTTTCATTGATTCAGAGGCAATTTTCAGTAATTTTTTCATAGTGGTAGCATACCCACTTGGACACAGAGGTGGGATATCCACTAACTTACTTTATGTGAGTAAACAGGACATTAAGGTTGCAAATTCATGTGTGCAGTAAAATAACTCACTCATGCTCTTCACCATATATAAGGTAGCCCAATGTGACCAGGTGGTTCAAGTATTCTCGAATCAGGATCTTGCCATATGGGTTGTGCAGATCTGAACTCCTTGGATCTGGCACTGAAATGAAACAAGTATTAAAATACAATAGGCATAACTTGATACAATTCAATGTACATTCTTATAATGCCCATGTCTAATGGCATGCTTATAATTATTTCATCTTGTTCAACTCAACTTTGGTAATCATCTAGTTGCTCCCTCACTCTTTGACTCCGTCACTTATATATTTGCTTGTTTTACATCTTGTTCATCTACTCATTTATTCTCTCCACACTTGTCCTAACATTCCAGTATCTCACTCAACATCACCCTGAGTTTCAGAGGACACTGGAAACTACCCTCACTACTATCCACATATTTCTTCTGTCTCCAGTATTTGAAATAGCTCAGGCATACATATCATACATACTGACGTGAGTTTCCAGTGTCCTTGGAATCTCAGGGTGTCAACCATTTGCTCTTTCATTCATATGCTTGCTCCTTTTCTCACTCACTCATTCATTCACTTACACACTTGCTCACTTACTCACTTATTCTCTCCATCCCTCTCTCCATGACCAACTCACTCACTCACATACCTAATGCCCTATCCATGTCCATGAGTGTGATATCATGGTGGTGAAACTTGCAATCCTTCATCATCCTCCAGAACTGCATCCTGTTCATTATATATGTATTGTCTGGGCTCTCTTCATATCCAAGGCTGGCATAGTTGTTGTAAATCATCCTCAGACTGGACATATGCCGCATGATCACATACATTACCTGAAGGTAAAAGCTCAAATTAACTATGTAAAATGCACATTTTGCATATATATAGTACAAGCAGAAAATAATTCAAAAATAATAACAAAAAATGATATATTAGCTTTGCAATATATATTTTTAGTTTTTTTGTCATAACAATTATTAAATTATAATTTTTTCCTTTTCTTGTTTTAATTTTCAATACCTGATTTACTTCCTCTTCTCTGTCAAACTCAGTAAATTCTGTTAGTAAGTGGTCAATCTCCAGTGCCATGCTGGGACCCAGGGTATTCTTACTCTCATTACTGTGTACAGACACATTATCTAAAAAGAAATATAAATATACACGTAAAATTGCAATATTATATCATTGCCATAAATATAATGGGTTGGCAAAGGAATAATAATTTATCTAATAAATAAATGAAAAATAAAAATAAATAAATAAATAAATAAATAAATAAATAAATAAATAAATAAATAAATAAATAAAAAAGAGAACACTAGACTACAAGATGTGAATGCTGCTGTAATAATTGCATTTCTTACCTGCAGGTAGAGGAGTCCTTGTTCTAATCTGCCCCAGATCAGGTGTACAGGTCCCATCAAGAGAGAAAGATGGGAACTCAGCTATGTGATCCTTCTCAAATCTGCCTTCATATATGCGACCATTCTTAAAGGTAAACTTTCCCTGGAATGTTGATAAAAAATTATTCATGTTGTTTCAGGTATAAAAAAACAATTTTACAAAATTGTTACTTCATACCTGATGTAACAATTTTAGACAATGTAAAAGCACTGGTTTAACTTGTTAAATAGATAGGCAGCCATTATATTTAAAGTTCAATGATTTTAAAATAGAAAAAAACTTCATTTCATATTCAAGTAAACCTCAAATTGATAAAACCTACACAAATGTAATTTTACAAATTATTCAACTAACCTGCCCATGTTTCATGTTGTCCTTCCACATGCCTTCATATTTGGCTCCATTAGCATAGTAGAAAGTACCATACCCATGCCTCAGACCCTTGCAGAATTCTCCATCATAAGTGTTTCTCAGAGGATATTGAGATCCACCTACTCTTCTCAGGAACCAGATGTGCTGACCCATTCCATGCTGGAGAGAAAGGTAAAAAATTTTCAAGTAGAGGCCTACAAAAGTTTCACTGACTTTGGTTTAAAATGACTTCAATTGAAAATAAATAAATTGTTGATTGCTGTGAGCTACATATACACAATGGTATCAAGTATCTTCTGATGCCATAGGATCTATTCTTTTAATTTTCATCATTTTTTAATTTAGTTCATGATATCATGCCCTATTACAAACATAGCCTTCAAGCATCATTTCTTCAATCAATAACATTCTTATTTCTTCATGATACTTTTCAAAATTTAAAGCACTAAGAACAATTTGAAAACAAACATGACACGACATAACATAACATGACATGACATGACATGACGTACCTGAACCCCATCCTCCCACTGTCCCAGGTACATCTGGTCCTTGTCCACCCACTTCATGGTCCCCTCCCCATGTCTCACATTACTGAACCACATCCCTTGATATACACTGCCACTAGGGTACTGCCTTATACCCCAGCCATGCTTGATGTTGTTCACCCAATCTCCATCATAGTATGACTGTCCTTGAGGGTCATATTCCATGCGGCCCTTTGGAAAAGAAATGGTTTTGATAGAGACAAATGCATGTCAACCTTGACAGGACAAAAAAGACAAAAATTGGTAGATTTGGTAGGTAACTTAGTATCTTTCAACAAAAAGAATAATCACCAGTATAAAAAGAAACATACAACTATATAGAAATGAACTGAAAATACTCAAAAGTTCTTCCAATGGACATTACATATTATATAATTATTCTTGCATGTTGACCTTGATATTTTATGTCCCTTAACGCATTTTCCAGTTTATTAAACTGATTTTGTCAATGTACTTACCTTTCCATGCCTTTTCCCCATGCACCAATCTCCTGCATAATTCATTGTACCACTCTTCACACGAAATATGCCATATCCATGTCTCATGCCATTTACAACATCTCCTTCATATGAGCTGAATAAAAATAATCAAAAATTATTCAACAGAATAATGATTAATAATAATTTAAACAAGATTTTATTTCTTTTGTTGACGAGTTGCAGACAGTATAAAAATATATTAATTAATTATATGAAGTACTACTTAAGTAATACCTTTTTAGGCAAAAAAATATCATCATCATACCTTTTATTAGGCCACCTGTAGGTTCCCTTGCCAGTAACTTGGTTATTAGTAAATTCACCCTAAAATATACACCATAAAATTTCATGAAACTTAAAGCATTTCATAAAAAATCATTGGCTTCCTAAAAAATAATAATAATAATAAGACTACCATGGAGTTATAACCCCTGACATGGGATCATTAAGTTACACCCATGACCAACTTCAACAGACACTGCTGACAAAATATCAGGTCCAGTAAATATAACACCTTTATAACAGTTTGAAAATTGCTATTGAAACAACAATTTACTACTCTATTTAATCATCACTTATTTAGAATCCAAATATTCTTATCACAAACTGGAATACTCACTTCATACTGCACTCCATCTGCCCATGTGTAAATTCCACGGCCATGCATCAACCCGGATGAAAAGTTACCCTGTAAAAAAATAACCTTTTTTTATACTACTGGTATAGCAAAATATGTCAAAACATACTAGTACTCGGTTACTGTTTGATTTCAGTTCAGCCAGACAAAATTGACAAGTTGGTTAATTATGACTCTCTGAAAGCAGTACCCTAGGTTCTAGATTCTGGTATTGCCAGCTCGATCTTGATTTCATATATAACGCATGTCGCAATACTTGTAAAAGCGACTCCATCACAAGGTATATATTTAACAAGCTAGCTTTTATGTTGCTCTGACACTCAGGGTATGAAAGCAGGGGCTGGGAGATGAAATTTATTTTGGGTTTCATTCCTTAAGCCCCCATCACACTTATTTGGAATCAGCAGGAATCAAGCAGAACCAGCTGGAATGACTAAATTCAAAAATTCGTACTACATTCGGGAAGAAATTTCAAATTGACCTAAATTCTTGTAAGAATGCCATTTGAATACTCAGAATGCGCTTGAATCCACCTGGAATGATTCGTGCATATTTCGGCTCTCAAATGCAACTCGAATGTAGTTGGAAAACCAGGAATATCAATAATACTGTCCAAATGCAGAATATTTAGAATACACTTCAAATGCCGTACGAGTGTAGTTTGATTGCTGGCTGAAATAGGATCGGGATGCATTCAAGTTGCATTCTGGCTCATTCTAGCAGGATTTGAAGTGTCTTGCCATTTGGGTTCTCCATCGAATATGATCAGAATGTTTCAAATGCTGTCAGAATGCTGTGAGAATATTTAGAATGCAGTCATAGTGCAGTTAGAATACTACTGAAATGCCATTCGATAATTTTCCACTTGGAATGCACTTCGAAAGTTTTTAACATGAGCAAAACTTTCGGGTCGGCCATAAGAATGGGTAAAAATATTTGGAATGCACTCAGAATTTTTATGATACTCTTCTAATATCCAGGAACGCACAAAGAATTGTCTTTCTGACAGCATTCTTGATGATGATTCATGATGTTTAATTAGTATATACTGTAAGTATATCAATTTTGTGATGCCTTACTTTACAATCTAATGTTCACTTAAATGTACACTTAAAATAATCACTAACTAATGTAATATACAATACAATATATTCATAAACAGAAAAAGGGATAATGCAGTATTTGTCACCTGTTCCCAAACTTACCTTGTAATGGTGCCCTCCTGTAAAAGAACATTCTCCTTCGCCTTCATAGAGACCTCTAACCTTTTCTCCTTCATAACTGTAAAAGGAAATTGAAAAAATAAACAGAAATATATAGTTAAACAAATTTTGATGCACAAGTATGCAAATCAAGCGTTATACATTAGTGTTGGCGACAACAATAGTGGTTTCTGTAACGTCAACTTACAGCTACAGAATGTTTTTAAAAATCCCAAGTAACGTGAATATCATTGCTTCGTTTATTAAATCACGCATATTTCACCGTTTAAACTGAACGAATGAAACACCCGTTACACTGTTCATAGCACTTAGACAATTTGATTAAGTGGAGGACGACCCTTTTTCTGTTTTTAGGTGTTAGATCTACCTTTCTACGATCAGTTCCGTTAGTGTTGGTTCATCGTACGCCGGCTCAGGTGTCGGTTCTTTTGGAGGCTCTTCGACGATTGGAGGTTCTTCCACTTGTATTGGTGTCTCCTCTAAGACTTCAGGAGTCTCCTCCTCTTTTGTCTCTTTAATTGGAGGTGGCTCTTCTGACTTTTTTGCACTCTTTTTATCTTCTCTACCCCCTTTTCCCTTTCCTTTGGTTGCCATGTTCTTATTTACACTATACGGGGTTGGAAATTTGGCGCTTTCTCATTGGACTAAATTTCTTTGAGCAACCAGATATTAATATTAGTACTCTAACAGTCAAAATATATCAAGAAATAACAAATAATAAAAATTTTTGATATTTGTCATATTTAACATCATTAAATTTGTTTACGGTAACATTTGGGCCTCTTTTTACATAAATATGATCGTACGAGTAATTATTATTTTGTGAATAATTGGGTAGTCATGAGGACATCATGGCACCTGTAGTAAGCGACGGATTTTTAGGGGCTTTGGAACGTTACCCATATGTTGCACTACTATGCCATGCACTGAGTTCGTCAGTTGTTGGGTTTTGTTTGATTTTAAAGCTCCCCCAAATTTTAAGTGTCATCAAAGCTGGTAATTCGAAGGGACTGAGTTTGCGCAGCATAGCTCTAGAGTTAGCAAGGTGAGTAAAATCTGCCGGACTCGTACCAGTAGGTTGTTTCCGCCACGTCATTTGGCACTGGGGTCAGTCCTTGTTTATCTTACTGTACTTGACCTATTCTACATTGTGACAGGTCAAGTAAAATGGCCAACTGAATCCTAGACCATAACGAAGAGTGAACTCACATTTTTTTCATTTCAATCAGAACACATTAAAAAAGAAAAATGAAAGCGAAAGTAATAATGAATGGGCTCAATTACTAATTGAATTAGGCCACAAAGGCCAGATAAGCCCTATCTAAGATATTTTTTCATTATAAAGCAGATTGATGTAAATTTCTGTAATATTGTGTATAAAAGCGAAAATGTATATTTTCTATAACTCAGAAGTGCTGAGGACCATGCAGACACACGAAAATAAGAAAAAACTTTTATGTTCTTATACTTTGTGATCTTTTTCACCTACTGTTATAATCTGAATTGGTGTGAAAATATTTTGATAGTATATTTTCAGCTACACAACAATGTTGACATACCAGTTTGCACACAGATATCCCGTAGAAAACTATTTTGAATACACATTTCTTGTGGTTCAAGGTATATATTACTTTTGCTTGGATCATAGATGTATTAGTTTATAATGGATTTAGTTATTATGGGAAAGTTACTGAATAAGTTTTATTTTTTGCTTCTTAAAAACCTTACTATTTCACAAATTATTGAATACTTTTACCTATCAACTTTCTGCATGCATGAACAACAGCCAGTCTTTTCTGGAAATTGGTTTAGCACAACAATTACAGGGAAGTACTTAATTGGAAAATAATTGCAAAAATCTAAATGAAATTTATTATTTTAACAATGCTAATTTTTTTTCAGATTTACTCCTATTGTATACTGTGTTATCGCAGGAAGACAAGTTGAATAGTACAGCATTCTTGGGACTTGGAATGTATCCTTGTTTTAGGCAGTGAATTAACCTTAAAATTTTGTGTGGGCATAATTAATCATTTGTCCTCTTCCAGGCAACTACTAGTTGTTTTGCTTCATCATTATTCTTGTCCTTCAAGACAAGCAATAGGCAAATTCACCACTACACCATTTTTTTATAAAACTGCATTTTTTATTGCTCAATAACAACCTTATGTAGTTGTTCAGATATCTCTCCATATTCTCAACCTTTGCATTTGGAGTTTGGCCATCATGGCTTATGGCAGTTGCCATGGTAAGATGTTTCAAGTTGATAAAGTTTTAACTTAAAAAAATCACACCTTGCATGTGTTATTTAGTTGGTTGATATTTACACACCACCTCATTACTGGTATATTCAAATTACACAGTAAGAATTTTAGTGATTTGAAAATATTTATTTATTTGTTATAATAATAATATCAATTTTTTTCAAAGAAAATTGCAAGAAATTATGTTACCCTTTATAAACTTTAGGGAAGTGTTATTCCCATTTCATTGACAAGCAAAGTGCTCCAGCTGTGGAATATTTACCAGACCAAAGACTCTGGACAAGTCAGTCTTGCTACATGGGTAATAGCATCATATGCATGTTTTGGTGAGTTACTACCATACATAACTTGGTAATTTGAAAGTTGCATTGGTACCAATTTTATATAGAGACTCAAAAACTTATGTCTCTATTCATAAACTTTTTAAACATTAATTTAATTGGAATTATATTTATGACCATAGATTATAATATTGCTTCTAAAATGTCAGAAGCAACTCGATTGCTTAAAAACTTTATCTAAAAGAATATTTTTTTTTCAGCCAGGGTTTTTACAACACTTGTGAAGACAAGGGACGTGATAGTGCTGACCAACTTGGCTATAAATGCAGTGCTCAATTCAAATTTGGTGCTATGTATCTGGTATTTTAGGCCTTATGCCAACAGTGACAAGAAAAGAAAGGATTGAATGAAACTGCATTTTTAAATAGGTTTAGAAATGAATGTCATCTGAAAACTGCCATTATATTTAATTGTAAAATAGACTACTGTGAACTGTAACAAATAATTTGAGGCTCATTGGCTATTGGCACCAAAAATTGAATATTGCAAAAGTTGAACATTTTTGTGTAAAATAATGCAATGGTGCAGTCATTCAGATGCCTGGATGGTCAGTGTGTCATATTGTTATAAGAGTGGGCAGTATTAATTGGCAATAGAATTAAAATTATGCCTCACATATTGCTGATACATACTTAGACAGAGGACAATATGTTGGCATGTTACAGTGTGTTATTTGTTAATTATATTAAGTTATTTTAAGAAGTCAGTAATTTATTTTTGAATGTTTGGAGAGAAATTTACTGAGTATGTATATGTAGTTGACAATGTACAGTGTTGTGCTTAATTGAATTGGAATCCATTGTTATGTCTCTGCATTGTTCCTTCAGGCCTACCCAACTACCAGACTCGGCACCTAAGGATCCTGAATTAACCGGTATATCGGACCACACTACCCGTTTTCAAGGTGTGTGTCAGATCGCATTTCAGAGTATCAGCCAGAACACCGACAGGATGAGCCCTAGCATGCTCGGCTGTCACTTTGATTGGATAGTTAACGATTGTCGTAAAATCGCTATATGATTTTTAAACCGGGCGCATAAATTTGAAAGCCACCTAGATGAACCTTAGACTGCCACATTAATCTAATACAAGCAAAAAAGCCCTATCAAAAGTGGTTAAAACATTCAAACCGAATGTCGTAAAGTCCCCATATACCCCCATAGAGACAATAAAATAGAGTACTCTAAAGTAAGAGTACAGTTTCAGGTTGTTCAGCCGAGCGTGGATGAGCCCGCAGTCGTGCTACAAAATTTGTTCTGGGGTATGATACTCTGAAATGCGATCTGACACACACCTTGAAAATGGGAAGCGTGGTCCGATATACCGGTTAATTCAGGATCCTTAGGTGCTGAGTCTGGTAGTTGGGTAGGCCTGTCCTTTCAATTTGTATTTTACTCCAAATTAACAGACGCACAATTGCTAATGGAGCTTTTTAAATAAGGCTTCAGTTTTCAAGCATTCCTTTTTTTTTTTTTTTGTCATGGGATTTCCTGGTAATCTTTTTTATTAATATTATTTTTTATGAATATTATGAATGTTCTGTTTAAGTAAGATATTAGAAATAACTTGATTTTTTACAATGATGTGCATTGCTGATAATTTTGTATTGCTGATAATTGAAAGGTAAAAAGCAAGCAGTAGAAGATTACATTTATAAGGTCATTTTGAACAAGTGATACATACTGGTAATTATATGCATGTAGGTTTTAGGTAATGTAATTCATTGACAAGTAATTTCAGATATATTGCTTATATTGATTAAAATTAAGGTTTAATACTGCAAGTCTGTCAGGCACAAAATAAATGCAGGCAATGAGAAGAAGGAAAAAATAAAGGACTATTAAAAAGAATCCCTTTTTTTCATTTCTAAAAACAAACCTAAATTTTAATTACAAAGACGTGTAAAAAATTTGCAGGAATTTGTTTACAATATTTATGAATTTTAAAATTTTAATGCATTTTCCCTAATGTAAAACGGTAACTAAAAAACGGATTGTAGGATTTTGTAACCTTTCACCAGGTCTCCAAACTACATGACAAAACTAACTGATGTTTGACCCCCCTCCCCTCCTCAGTCCTGCATTGGAATAATGTTCCTTGAAGTTGACAACGAGGCTATTATGCGGAGGTGGCGTCATGTTATGGGGTAATGGCTGACGGGATGTTATGGACTTTTGAGAGGATTTATGTTTTGCTGATTACTTTGTGTTTTAGTTATAGTAACGTTATAACAGGTAACAAGGTGTTTCTTTTTTAAGAAATCAAGCAATTTGTTCCAGTTGTATTTAAGTCGATTAATTATGCATGACGAAAATCCAATCAGTCCATACTTTTCGGTTCAGCACGCAATGTACATGTACAAACTGCACCACTACTACCAGTATTTTGATTTCATAATAATCATTTTATAATCAGTGCCCATTATAAATTTATAATTTTTTAAAGTCTAAAACATAATCCAAAGTAACGCAGCTTTGAATTTTAATGGTAATAAGATCTAATATTTGTTTTTGAAGTGCAAAAAAAAAAAAAAAAAAAATCCAATATGTATGAAAATTTTTGTAACCCCCACTTTTAACTGGCTGTTAAACACTGAAAAAGCACATGCATGTGTACATGCACCCAACTCAATCAGTGTAGCATGACTAATTGTAAGAACTAATAATAAAATCTTGAATAGCATAAATATTGCTTTTATTTATGTATCAAAATACAAAGATCATTTTATATATTAATAGAAACAGCAGTTGAAAATGAAGAACTAAACTTCCTGGTTGTCGGAGACTGGGGTGGGCAGCCACATTATCCCTACAGTTCACGCATACAGCGGGCAGTGGCCAAACAGCTGGGGAAAGTAGCAGATGAGGTCAATAGTCAGTTTGTTATTTCAGTAGGAGACAACATTTATTTTCGAGGTGTCAGGAATGTGGAGGATGTGAGATTTAAGGTAAAGCAAATTAAAAATAAAACTGAGTGTCAGACCTTTATATAGCCAAAGTTTAAATTTCATGGAAATTTTAACAACTTTTCTTTCATCACCATGGTGATAATGTATCCAGATGCGTTTACAAACTTACAGATGTAATAGGCCACCGAGATTAAATTTTTATGGATGAAATCTGAGCCTGCATTAATTTTCATCTGTTCTAAAAAAAATCATCTCTTCGGAACTCAATCCAGAACTGACTGCAGTTATCATCTTGCCAATACAAAATGCCACTAAAACCGTCGCCGATTTTGTTTATCTTGTACCGTAAAACATGCTGGATGAGTCATACACATGCACATTGCCACAAAACCATGGCTCACATATATGTTTCTTTTGATACACTAGAGAATACTGTTTGTCAGAAGTTTTATTGCCTCTAAGGTATGAATTGGGAAATGTAAGAAGCTTTGCAGGATATAAATATGAATGTGGGGCATTTTCAGCTTGATGCAGATTACCTTTTAGTATCCCAAAACTGTAAAAGCTGATATGATAAATATTCCTGAATGGTATTTGTCTCTTTTGATAATGAATTGAAACATAAGAAGCACAAACATCATTGAGAATGATTTGAGTCTCCTGGGTAAAACTTAGTGTTTACAATTTAATTATCAGTTGATTGATTGTTTTTTCTCTTCTTAGCCTTGTATATTTTGCCCATTAATGTTGTGTAATAATTACTGGTGATGATTTCCCAGTCCCATATTTCTTAAAGAATTAAGTGCCTTTAGCATCATTTTATTGATCATCCTTGTGAAATGCAGGAAATTATCACCATGGATCTGCTTAAATGGCATTCTCTTTCCTCTTTGATTTAGCAAATTACACAATATGTATATTTTTTTCATGCAAATAAGATACAATGTTTTTATATTAGAAAATGTTTGGGTGTGGATGTGATATGATGACACTTAACAGAAGCCATGCTCAAATGTCATCCTCCTTTTTCTTTAATTTAGCAAATTACAAATAGTATACCCACCTCCCCCACTTTCATATTCACAATACAAAAGCAGACTTGGGCTTTTTCTTTGGAATCACAGACTTTAAAGAGTGTTTATTCAATTATGATGGGTCTCGAGATTGATCATTTTTGGTCCCACAATAAATGTTGAGAGATTTTTTTAAACCCAGGGTCAAAAGTGGTAAAATATTTTCTTCTGGTTTATCCAGGAAACATTTGAGGATGTGTTCACACACGATGCATTACAAACACCCTGGTATGTTATTCCTGGAAACCATGACCACAGGGGCAATATCTCAGCTCAGATACTCTACACTCACAGAAAAGACACCTCAGGAAGATGGTAGGTATCTCAGATATTTTCCCCCTTTCTCCTATGGCTCCTTTAAATAACCATAGGGGCAATATATCTGCAAAGAACAGGTTATAGATGTAGGTGTTAATATTACCTAAATGACCCAACCGTCCATCTCGGTCCAATTTTTTCTTTTTTTTTTTTTTTTTTTTTTTGTCCAATGTCTTAGTTCAGCTCACTTAACATTGTATAACATCGAAAAGAAAACTTAATATGGACAAATGAACAATTCCCTTCTTTCTGTTATGGTATTGTTATACGTTTAAGCTGGTAAATTTATAAGTCACTGTACATAATAATGGTAGAACTTGAATTACATACTTTTCCAACTTTCTTTTCATGTTATAAAACATTTATAAGTGGAAATATATTTACTTAAAGGTTTGCACCCTTGTTTTTACATGTACTTATAACAGACGAGGATGCATTGTGCCATGTACTGATATTCTACTATTAATCTTTGTACATAAATTTAAAATGGTGTTTTAGTACAAAACTAATATTGATTTTTTAATATTGCAAAATTTAGGCTTTGTCAAAAAGTTTTTTTTTAAATGTAGTTGAATTCTCTCTCTTCTTTCCAGGTACATGCCAGACCACAATTACACAATAACAGTTCCTATTGGTAATGGTGCAGGGAATCTAACCCTCATTATGTTAGATACCATAGTGCTGTGTGGGAACACAGGAACTCATTATGAAGGGGAACCCCCACTTGGCCCTGCTGATCCAAAAAAGGCAGATGCTATGTGGCAGTGGATTGAGGAAACTCTGAAAAGTGCCAACAGGTAGCTACATAGCTGTTCAGGTGTTGTTGTATTACAAAACACAAGTGATTTTTGTCAACTTAGAGATAGTATACAGCTCTTCAGTAGTATTTAAAAGTTTTCTTAATATGCCAGATAACTTATTGATGTTAGAATGAATTAATTGGATGGTGACCAGGTCAAGGGGAGACATTCATAGAGATACAGTCTAAGCACATTAACTTGAATTATGCCATTTGATGCTATGCCTGGGACAGTGTTAAGTCCGCCAGTGATACATATTTCACAAAGTCAAGTTCATTGGGAATTTGGAATTTTTCCCACAGGGAAATTCCCTTCTACAATTATAAATCTCCTTGCTTGACAGACCAATAATCAAAGTAACGTTAACATTGCAGGGAGTATGATACTGCTTATTTGTTTTTCCTTGAAAAGCCATGGTTCAATAAATTAGAAAACTTATTGAATTGGAAACATTTATTGACAAGAAAAGAGTTTTGATTATCATTTTCCCTGCTTGTGTAATTAACAGTGAAAACATATATTTTAATGAAAATTTCATTAAACACCTTGTCTGCCTCTGGATGTTAGTAAGCAAGTTAGAACATACATAATTTACTCATCATATAAGTTGCTTTCACAAAAGCAAATTTATTCCTACCTTTATTCCTGGGTATTGAATCATTTTTAATAGCATTGGCCTATTGTAATATTTTACCATTCTTACACTTAATAAAACATGTAAAGGTTGTCCATTTAAGTGTAAAATCAATGTCTTTTAGGTCAACTTATGTTGTGGTGGCAGGTCATTTTCCCACCTATTCTATTGGTTACCATGGTCCTACTACTTGTCTAAGGGACAGGCTGCACCCCTTGCTGCACATATATAAAGTAAATGCATATTTGTGTGGACATGACCATAACTTGCAGGTAAGAAGTCTTGAAGCAAACATTTGTTTTGTGAAAGATTCAGCTTTTAATAAAAAAAAAAAACATATTTTGAATCCCATTCTTTATGACATTTTTTTTTTGAAGAATGATGGCATACTGCCATACAGAAGGAATGTGATAGTAGCACTGGCATTAAGTAGATAAATTCATGTTAATGGATAATAAATGAGCCAAAAATTGCAGATGATTTTATTATTGAAAAAAGTATAACTTATATATAACTATACACGGATAAAGAATTTCTCTTTTGGAGGATTTTCTCCTTTTAATAAGAAAATATAGAAAATAAATTACCCAATTTTTATGTATTGTAAAAGAAGAAGGAAAATGATTTTTAAAAATAAGGCATGTGAAAGGGCTTAGATTTTCTCTTTTACTTGCATTGTCTGTTCCCATTCTTATATCAGGTTATGATGAAACTGTCTTTCATTTCAGGATTTATCAGTGACAGATCACAACTGGACTGTGAACTATTTTGTCATTGGCTTTGGGGCATTGGTAAATCATGACCGACACAATGCCCCTCATGTACCACATAATTCATCAAAATTCTTCTGGTCTGATATGCAGAGCCTAGGAGGGTTTGGGCTAATCCAGGTGACACTGAACAGTATGAATGTTACTATTATGGATTCTCTTGGAAAAGATCTCCACCATGTGACAATATTTCCAAGAGTTTCCAGAAGTTTTGAGGAAGATCCCAAGGAAGAGATTATTCGAATCCCTCAAGATTGGCCAATTATGTGACTTTCCTTTTTGGAAATTTTTGGTCACAATGTGATATGTATTATTTAGAAGTTTATAAACATGTCAAATGGTTAATCTTTTAATAATGAATTCATTCAATGTCAGTTTAAATAATTTTAAGTGGTATTTTATTTTTATTTCTCACTTATTAATAAGTCCTGTTAATGCCTTGTCCATTTATTTCTCACTAAAGTGTTAAACTTGAAAATTACTGATAAAACACATTATCTAACCAATTCTACATAAATGAATTTTTTGTACGAGTAAAATGTTTACCTTTTTGGGTACTTTTATAGATGTCTCTAAAACCATACTACAATACATAACTTTTCACTTTTTTGTGGATATTTGTGATATTTTCGGATATTAGGCTATTAAAAGTCTCTAAAACATCTGAATCCAATGACTGTGCCATGGTAAGTATGAATCAAGTAAACATGATCTGTAATTGTTCATTGTGATAAGCTGCAGCGTTATATTATTGCTGTTTCCTTGCTACTATTATTAGTCTTTCAAGAGTTTCATTATCCTCCTCACGGTTCATCAGAAGTTCACCAGTTTCCACTTTAAAGGCAGTGCTCTCAAAATATTTCTTATGGCTATCATTATAAGCAATGCAATTTTCTTGTTTGTTGGTAGGGTGAAGAGTTAAGACAATATAGCATTAAGGCCTATCAACATGGGGATTTTATAGACAAAGGAAGCTCATGATATAACATCACGGTTGATGCTTTAAAAGACCTAGCTTTCTGCATCCAAAATACATATCCATTTGGACCGTGCAGGATGATAGATGTGCATCCTACCCTTTATTATCTTGCACTACATTAGTGAGTCAAAACACCCCATTCATCTTCAGGAATATTCGTTTCTCCAATCTTATGTCATAGATTTTATCCAGGCACTTGTTTTTTAATGTATATGAAAGGCTTCTACACGTCCCTCAGAAGACAACCCATAATAAAAAATAACTAAGCTGACTGCAGAAAAATCATTTGGTTGGAAGTTGTTCAAGCAAATCTATAGCATGCCAATCTGTCAAGAATTTTGGCTGTGATAATTAGTATTTTCATCAATAATAAGTGCAAAATGATGTGACAAGAGGGAACTGAATTATCTGGTTACATCACGTTTTGTGATTTAGAGTATGTTCTTGTCATCGTAAAAAATTTGCTGGTGTCTTGTTAAAAATATGTAAAATGTTTTAAAAGGTGTGCAAAGTTACAAAACAGTTTTGTGAGTGATGAACAACGTATGTTTGTTAATGTGTATTTTTAGATGTTATTAGTTCACCATTTTATTTATTTATATATTGATCCACTAGATAATTGATTTATTGAATTTTTTGTAATTATTACTGATTAATAACACTGTTAGCTTGTTTGTCATGTTCTAAAAAGTGTGTAGTTATAAACACATGGTTGTTGGTGCTAATGGTTGATGTATTGGTATTGTAATTGAGCTGTCCCTGGGATCTGCGTGTCCTCATTCAAGGCACTCGATGGCAGGATAAGAATCTCAAGGCTTCTGTTTTGGTCTTGGCTAGAGAATTGTGCATTACAGGGTAACTCTGCATGGGAATTATAAATTTGATCAAAATTGATCAAAACTAGACCCCACTTTCTGCATTGTCCCAGCTCTAATTTAGTGAAGTTCTCGATATGCCCTCATGTAGTGCTCCCAATCTGAATCGTAGCATTTACAAATTCTGATAAATTTGCTTCGCTAATCCATTTTCCGGTAGTCTGTTTGTACAGCTTCACTGTTGTGAGTAGATAATGTTAGATCATTTCCACAAACAGCACGCCCATTCTTATATGGATCGTATTTATTAACAGACTGTCGGCTGTTAAAATTGGATAAGGGTCGATATTCCAATAAAGAAAGAAAAGGAAACGGCATTCCTAGATAAGTGAATATATTTTCAGATTTGAGATATTTTTAAAATAGACACAAAATGATATTGTGGACCAATTACGCATACGCACTGTTAAATGTATTCAACACCAGTTGAAATTTGTTTCACCGCATTTTTTCAGTTGCACTGAATAGGTTGAAGAAGAGGCCAATGTGTCAAAACTGCTTCGAAGTAAAAATAAAAATAATAGATAGATAAAATAAAATAAATGTTATGAATGAAAGCCTTTTTTCTTCATTTGTTTTAGATATTACTTGTGTTAGCAATGTAGCAGACCGGGGACATCTTTAGAGCCACCGGGATGAGGTTGTTACATGAATTTGCGCCGGTGAGCATAAAGATATTGAATAATTGAAAGCTGTTTGTTATTGGCCAGACGCACCTAAACAGCCTAGTGCTATTCCATTTACGCCTGCCATACTAAGATATACGAGCAGTTTATATGAAATTGAGTTCAGCGAGTGTCAGAGGTTGAAATAAAAAATCTTTAAAATCTGTATTGAAATTTGGGGGGTTAACTTATGTCATCGACATATATGCCAAGTGTCATGGTTGTTCATCTATCCATATTCAAAGTGATTTAAATTATAAGGGGACGAGTACTTTAGGGTTACTTTATAACTCAATTTTAGTACATTACACCAAGTTGTACCTCGATAATAACAGTTAAAAGTACGACCAACAACCTCATTTCTCATTTGGCACTCCTCGGAGTGGCATCCTCATACAGGCGCAGATCATTCTCAGAGTATTTGCAAAATCAAGGAAAGTTTTACGCACGGAATCGTCTCACGTTGATAACCGTGGCTGATTACACCAAAATGCAAAATGTGTGTATATTGAAAGTGATAACAGTGTTCAGTTCCAATCTCATTTTTGGAGAGAATAGAACACTGTATCAGGAATAATTGTAAACCTTGATGGATCCAAGTGCAGATGAAGCGTTTTGGATCTGGTTGTGTAGAACTTTTATTTGGCAGATCATACTTCGGCGTTTGTTGCTTCATCTTCATTATTATTATTATTATTATTATTATTATTATTCCTTGCCTAAAAATGAGCAAATGCATTGAAATTCAATTAACGGATATCAGTGATAAGTAAACTTGAAGTGCATAATTTTTTTATACAAAACGTGCTGCCATGATGTTTAATTGTATTTGAAACAATTATAACGTAGCGACTGGGTGAAATATTACAGGAAATTAATCGATTGGGCCACCCGAGTTGGGACATTTGAATGAATATCTCTGTAGACCGACGGAGGACCTGTCAAACCGATCCATCTAAATTACGTTAGATACATCTGATACATCTCCGAAGCAGATTCTACTCTTCAACTTCAACATCATCGCTTTAACATAAGTATTCATAAGAAACAAAAATACTTTGTGCAGAGGGCCCAGGCGGTGTCGTTTATCTTTATCAACAGAAGTTTCCACGAATGCGATTTTTATTTTACCGTTAATTAAACTACGGAGCATGAAAACGTAATAAACCACATGTCTGTGCGACAAGTGATTAACAAATTGCATCGTTATTTATCGATTTGAACACTCCACCTGATCCCTTGGTAAATGTCAGGTAGATTTAACGCCCAAACCATTATCCTGTGAGCAAATACGGACTTTCCTAAACCTCTTATGGAGAAGATTGATTGAAAAATGTGCATTGTCAACCAATTCGTATAGATAATGATACACATTTACGGGACTCTAGCAATATGATAAACATGATTTAGTGATTTGAGATTACTAGTTGCTTATTGAGGGACACCTTATTTCGTTACTTAGAAATGATGAAAGGTTCGTACGCGTACATTGGTAACATTAAGTGAAATAAGAGTGTGATTGAATAGTGCCTAGCCCACGCAAACGGCGCCTTCTGTACTCGAAAAATCCCCATACACATAACTGTTGGAACATAATTTCTTCCTCGCTTATTAACAGCGAGAACGCTGTTTCATTTCACCAATTTCCTGGTGTTTAATACATCCACATGTTATTTGTCACAATAATAAAATCGAATTCGTATTCATTTGAGATTTTCAAGTCGTCTGATTTAGAGGGAATGGAAATGTTTTTCGTTGCTTTTTTCCTTTCTCGCTATTGAGATTCCCCAATCGATCATGGAGCAATAAATTAGGAGCTGCATGCTAATGAAGTGCTCATTTAAGCGTGGCGTTACACGCAGCTTCCTCAGAATTTCTGCGGCTCTTGCAAGGGAAAGGCTTTCCGGGATATTGGCAGTTAAAGGAAACGCTCTTGTCGAAAAACAATGAATCTGAGTTTGTACCTATTGTTGCTGGCGGTATTTGCAGCGGTGGCCTACGCGGCGACGTCTTGCAACGCGCCGGGGCTTGCACGGTACGTAGTGCAATACAGGGGAGAATGGACAAAGGCCAAGTTTCCAAAAATGTTCCCACTACGAAGACCTTATGGCCCTGCCTCCTGGTCCAAAATGATGGGTGAGTAACAATTTAATTATTAAGTGAGTTCTGCGGTTTTAAAGGTAAGGTTTTCAATAAGTTAACTGCAATTTAGACGAAACTTCACGAATTTTTAATTGCAATACAAATAAAAGACATTTAAAAATTGCTAATGACACCCTTTCTGTGTATGCAAAAAAGCGTAGTGGTTGTGATCTTAGAAGATAAAAAAATTGATTGCCGTGGAAACCTGATTTTTTTTGCCTGGAGATCATTTAGTAACTAAGTATTTTCCACTTCGACTCGACATTTCTTTAATGTTTCCTTTTAGCAATAAGAATCGTCCGCTACATTACATTAATCGCAGGTTTGTCATTATCGCTAGCAATCATATCTTGTCGACCAAATTTGAAATTTTTGGTCCATTTTACACATTATGTACTTTCAAATATGTAATTGGGTACGATAGTCATTTCTGTTCTTTTTCTTCTATTTACATATAGATATTTGCTACTAAGGCTAAACTATACAACACGTTCTGTGTTCCCCATCAGTTTAATTTGCTTATTACCCGGTCTGATACACCTTAAGAGGATAACAACTGTTCGTTTTGGCCAAGAAAAAAAAACGGATTTTCCCGGGGTAAACGATGATTTTGCCATACTAACCAAAGGTTAATGAAACCATTTTGACATTCAAAGTTAGTCCACGTTTTTTCCCAAAGTTTGTTTTTTGTATAAATATCTTAAGAGATTATTACGGAGGTATAGTCATCTTGAAAGGACCATGTAGTCTGATGGCAAGCACAGATTCCAGAATAATTGCAATAACCACTGTTTTGGTGGAAAAATGGAATATATTATTTTTCAATGGGTTGTTTACGGTGTTTTTATTATGAAATATGAATCTGATACGAACAGTCATGACACCTTTAATCAATTCTACTTGTAGGTCGCTCCCACGATAGCACATACAGCATGTGGCATTTGGGACAATTCGCAAACAACGGACTGAAACAGTTTGCCAAATCCGGCGCTACTGCGATTTTGGACCAGGATCCTCAAGGCCAGAAGGGCATATTCGATGTATTCACTGGCCCCAGGCTCCCCGCCGGCACAGGTGTCTCCAGAACCAGCTTCTTTGTTGACGGAAAGCACCCAAGTGTAAGATCAACTAGATTTTTAGATATAGCTTGGCTGTGGTATTCAGGACTTTTTTTGCAAAATTTTCCTTTATTATTCGTACGCTTATTCATTTCTGGCATCGTTTGTTTTTTCGGTTCTTTATTTGTTTACTTACCTCACTGTCTCATGCTTGATGTGTGCATTTTTAACAATTTACGTTTTCTATTTAAATGCATCCTTTCATCCATTCAAAATCACTTGGACATGGAGAATCAAAATCAACGTAATGTAAGTTCATATAAAATGAGTAATGCCACACGATGACTCGTCCCACACGAAGTAATTAACACCAAAACGGCACGGATGAGTACATCTCAAGTCACATCAATAAGTAAGACGACTAATTAAGCCTTTACTTCACAGGTTTCCATCGTGATACGAATGATTCCCAGCCCAGATTGGTTCGTGGGCGTAGACAGTCTTGACCTATGCGAAGGTGACCAATGGAAGGACAAGGTGACCATTCAGCTGAACCCCATCGACGCTGGGGTGGACAAGGGACTGACCTTTACCTCACCAGACTGGCCCAGCAAGGAGAAGATTTCAGAGATCACCAGCAAGAGCCCGAGCCACCCTGCAAGCCCATTCTACTATCCCAAGCTGAACAAGCTACCACGAATTGGAACCTTGACGTTTGAGAAGGCTCCCATCGACATCTCAGATGTTGATAACCTTAGCGATCTGCTTGATGACAATGACTACGTCGAGGAAGAGGGCACATGTAAGAGTTATTTCATTTTATTTCATTCTTTAATAGTTTATCAGAAAATGATATGTTAACGTTTAGTTAAGTGAAAATAAGGAGGAGGTTGCGCACTGACGAATGTCATCAATAATGCCGATGAAGATACAAAATACAAATTGGGCAGCTTTTGTACATTCTGATAATTCAGAAACCTAGTTGCGTTTTGTGGTTTTCTTTAGAAAAATTACATTTAACGGGGCAATATGACAAAAAATTAAAAAGTAGAAAATGCTCACGAAAGGGGAGACCTGAAAAAGTTACTGTCGTAGGATCAAAAGACTCGTCATAAGGCTGCCTCTTGGTAATCATTGGCGATTACATCCCAGTTATCTGGCTTCCCTTACAACTTCGTTATCCATAAACTGGGCTCGTCGTATTTCATCTTGTGCGAATGAGTGAACTTACTATTAAACTGTATGTGATGTTTCTCAAAGAAAAAAATACATCTTTTCAAATGTTTTTAATTTTCAAACAGCCTTTCTTCTTTTCTTCCTTTCTTCGTCTTGAATACGAAAAATCTGACGGGAATCTAGCCATTATTGGATAACCTCCTAGAAAATTAATAACAAAATCCAGCGATACAAAAAAAACTTTTAAAAAGTAGAGATCAAATTTTCAAAACAGAATCTTGCGGCAAAAATGCTTTATATTAAAAATAACAATATTGGGTGATGATTTTGAAGCTCAAGATTAACTTTTTTACTAAAATAACTGTCATATTTTTCCAGCCACGCCCATAGATTGCGAGGTAGCAGACTGGGGCAAATGGGGCCCATGCCAGGGCAAGTGTAAGACTGGCAGGAAGATCAGGTACCGTGTCGTCGTGCAACCCGCCATGAACGGAGGCGCTGAATGCCCCACGCTGAGTGACGAGGCGTGAAGACCAGGACACTAGCAAGATCAGAAATCCAAGGTTTCTCTCAATGTCGCCAACTTCCACGGACGCTATATACAGCTAGAAATGCTACGTTCAGAGCTTGAGATTTTAATAATATGTTTATCTACGTCTTGTCGCCAGAGGCCTTATAACGAAGTAAGAAGTCAGTGACATTTCTATGTCCGTAAGGGCTCAGTTCTACATTCATTTTTATGTCAGCAAGTGGTGTTTGGCTCAAATCATCAAACTGCTTGATGTCTGTGTCTTGGTATGCACCATATATGCCTTTTTGGAGAGCTACAGATAAAACTAGCAAAAAGTAAAAACATTACACGTGTAAATAATACAGAGCAAAGAGTCAATGAATGTAACTTAAACAACTATTTTTCTGTCGTTCGTTCTGCACTTATTGGTATGCATATGATGTTAAAAACACGACGCGCCACGCAATCCTGATCATTGGAAATACATATAGGCTTATTGCAGTTCTTTCATGTTGACAGCATGTTATGTTATCTATGTAGTGTCAGGGAATGCTTTCATTAAATCATTTCAGATAACTTTGGTGACTTTGGTACTGATGATATTTTAATGCGACTCATTTTCGGTTTCCTATAAAAAGAAAGTTATTCACGCTATTGCCTATCTTAACGCTTCCATCCACCGCGTTTGTTCATAAAAACCTAATGTTCGATCTCCCTTTCAAGATCCCTTAATTCACATATAAAGAGTGCGTTTCTAAGTGCACATTAAACTAATAATCATGATAGGTTATCTCCGTGAGACTGTAATACTAAGCTCAGTGCTTTTAAACCAAACCCTCCGATTGCTTAATGGCGGGAATTGGGAACTCATTTTCGGTTAAGGAGACAAAAATTCAAAAACGAACCACTGGCAGCGTCTGTGTATTGGTTTAGAGATACGACAACGTGAGTTTGACTCTGGTACATGCACATAGAGAGTACGTATTCTAAATGCAATCAAGATCCGTGTTCACCGAGTATTAACATTTTCACAGAGTATCTCAGGTTAGCAGTTGGCCAACTCTGAATCTAAAGAANGTACTGATGATATTTTAATGCGACTCATTTTCGGTTTCCTATAAAAAGAAAGTTATTCACGCTATTGCCTATCTTAACGCTTCCATCCACCGCGTTTGTTCATAAAAACCTAATGTTCGATCTCCCTTTCAAGATCCCTTAATTCACATATAAAGAGTGCGTTTCTAAGTGCACATTAAACTAATAATCATGATAGGTTATCTCCGTGAGACTGTAATACTAAGCTCAGTGCTTTTAAACCAAACCCTCCGATTGCTTAATGGCGGGAATTGGGAACTCATTTTCGGTTAAGGAGACAAAAATTCAAAAACGAACCACTGGCAGCGTCTGTGTATTGGTTTAGAGATACGACAACGTGAGTTTGACTCTGGTACATGCACATAGAGAGTACGTATTCTAAATGCAATCAAGATCCGTGTTCACCGAGTATGAACATTTTCACAGAGTATCTCCGGTTAGCAGTTGGCCAACTCTGAATCTAAAGAATCACAAAAGTGCATATGAAAATTTAAAATATATTTGTCTCATTTCTTTCTAAGATTCACATATATTATCCATATAATAATTCTATATCATTAACAACAACAAAAATTGTTTCAACTAAATCCCTTGCAACAATTTTCTATCGTTTTAGTTTAGGCCTACTGTAAAACAATAAAGGCACAGGGGCGCTTTTTTACCAAAATAAAGTGATACTCGAAATTGATAATCATTATAAGAATTAAATCTGCCGTGTTTATTTAAACCATCAAATCTTCACTAGTAAAAAACGGCCTAACGCACTGAGGCCTATGACAGCGAGGTGTGATATAATATTGGATGTCCGTCAGGACAACAGAAATTTTAAAAATGGAATGATTAAAGGACAATAGGAATAAATAAATTAAATAATTAAAAATGAAAGATAACCAAGCGGATTTGAATGTAATGTTTTGAAAAAAAAAATGAAAAAATTTTTGATAATAACCAGAAGGGAAGGCAGTGAAGTGCGCTCAAAATCCGGTTTTTGTTTCGAGAGGTGTTTTGCAGAAATTATTCGTTCCTTACGACATATGTAATACGCACTGTGTTCTGATTAAATTACTGAAATGTCACTGAGAGCTACAGCTCTTGTGTTTGTCAGCCCTCTGAGGTATACGTGCACGTTGCCGCACGTCTCTTTGTTGCACCTGTTGGTTGTGTCGTCCTTGCACACCCCTGCTGCCTTCATGTGGCAAATAAACACGCCCTGCTGCGGCGGACGACGCACCAGGATTGCTGGGCTGGTTACTACCCCCCACATCTAGAGTTGGACTGCTGTGTGATCTTGCGCTCTTTGAGGACTCCTCAGCACTTTCTTTCCTTGTCTGAACTCTTCCGAATAAGCCATCTAATACTTTCCCATCTGTGAGGTCACTATTGGGAGAGGATATGTAAACATCGGCGCTGTTCACTGGTTTTTTGGCAGGCACGATATCCAGCTTCTCAACTTTCCCTTCCAAACTTTGAACGTATGTAGCTACCTCGGCATCACATCCACACGTTTCCAGTTCCTCAATAAACCCAGCTAAACCTTGAGACGTAACGCATCCATCCTTGAGTGCAGCCAAGGTTAGGGAAAGTCCACGCATTTGCTGTTCGAACTCATTGTCGATTTTTTCCATTACTTTTTCTTTGTGTTTGCCTAGTTGAGTAACAAGTTTCTCGTAGCGGTCTTCGACTTTCTGCTTTAATCCGGACTTCGAAGTTTCTAGCGACAAGGTTGCATTTTCATGTTCTTTAATAGCTGCTTGGTGTTTTTCTGTATTCCCTTTGACCACTTTCAGCATATTTTGTAACTGGCCTCTGTGCTTGTCTGCTACCGATGTCAGCTCAATGAAACTGTGTTTGCTGTGCGACTTGACAACGCATTCCCTGCAAATAACTTCACTATCATCAATGCAGTAATAAGTTAAAATTTCAGCAGGATGGCTACGGCATTTTATTTTTCTTCTCTGAAGCATCGTGGTTTTGCTGTCAGCACTGCTGTAATCTTTGAGCAACATGATCTCGTGTGCTTCGGTAATTTTGAGGGCTTTGTGTGACTTTTCACAATGGCCACATAGCAGCTGATCGCATTCCAGGCAGATGGACAAGGCAACGGTACCGCACACACATAGGTTTTCTTCTGTGACATTTTGGAGAAGAGCACGCTTACGTTTTTGTAGTTTTTCCTTGAGATTGTTAGCCAACAGATTAGTTGGAAACCCCTTAGCACCTTCTTCTGGTACTTGAATTTCTTTGCAACACACTGGGCAAGAGAATTTCATCTGAAAGCCCGCGGTACCATATTTAGGGTTTAGACGCCGTAAATAATCCTCTATACACCCTAAACAGAACGTGTGGTAACATGGCAGGCCCTTTGGTTCTTTGAAAAGTTCCATGCATATTTGACACGTGAGAAAGTCTTCGTTGATCTGCGTCGAAAGGCTTGCGTATGCATCAGGGGAGGGTTTCGGTTGTGTCTTGGATGTCCCAGGAATCGACATGTCCCCAGACATATTCTGTAACTCAGCAGCCTGCTTGGTGGATTTCCTATCTCTTGAATCTAAAAGAAAGTATGCGACAAGTTTTAGAGCATGACGCGCATTTAGGTGTATCCAAAAAGTCATAAATTATGCATGTTGTCACCATTGCTTAGATGGCACCCGTGACACTTTTAAATGTGGCCCCGAGGTCGCGCGCTTGGACCAAGCCAAGCCGATGGTATCTCTATTCACTTTAATAAAAGGTCTCTAAAGGAGTCATATGAATGTGTTGGCTGATACCATCAGACATACCCCCTACTTACTTATCAAAATGTCCCGTCAAGTCACGAAAAACGAAGCGCTGTTTTTAATATTTTTCCAGCCGTTGTTCTCAACTTACCTGAACTGGCAAATGTACATAGGATACGGGCTTATAACTTCATCGCGCTTTGTGTACCGAGACTATGTTAGCTTACTGCGACCGTGAATAAGGCGACATTCAAATCGACAAGACTTTGCCTTTGTGGCAGATCGATTATATGCTGTGAAGAATAGTGCTCAATAACAATATGAATTTATAGCAGAATACAAAGGCGGTCGCGCGGGACACCTTAACCTACTTAGCCTACCTTAGCTTGACGTCACGGGGACTCGAATCCAGTAACCGAAACTGCATCTAAGTTAAAATATTCTAACAGTTGGTTCTTACTGTCCAGTAGTCGATAAACCCGTTGACTATTTGTTCTCTTTGTCCAGTTCACTGAGCTTAATATACAATAACACGTTTAAATCACGAGGTGTTTGTACACGGCGTATGCCATTTCAAATCAAACAATTGATACAGCCCTTGTATTGAATGTTAAAGAAAATAAAGATCTGTTCTCGTGTTTCTTCTCCTTAAAAATAATGAGTCACAACCATAACAACGATGAATCAACAAAAAAAGGGGAATATAAATGTCTATTTTAACATATATATATCATATATATGATCATATATATATAGGCCTATCATTCAATTTATCGTACGGTCGCAATTTTTGCCATAGTCTTCTTTTTTCACAATTCAATTATTATTATAAATACGAAAAGGTTATATGTAATTATGCATAGGAATGTCAAAACTTGCAAAATGAATGCTAAGATAGAGTTATTGTGCATCTTTTAGATATAAAAGGAATTATATAACTGCCAACGTCAAAAACATAGAAAACATTGGTCATCGCCCAATAAATCACAACTCCACACCTCTCTATGGTAAACCATTACATCGCTGGCAGAGACCATATGTGCACACATTTCAAAGCTCTAACGATTACTGTCAAAGTATAAACTTAAAAATCACCCCATTTGAATTATTATTGTTGTTGTTGTTATTATTATTATTATTATTATTATTATTATTATTTGAAAAACAATGAATAAATTATAGTCACAAATCATGCATTCCTCGACCCTTCCTCGAACTTGGATTCGGTGTTTTGTTCAGCTTCTAATGAAATAACTAATTAGTTCTTAACGAATCATGATTAATTTGCACCGCCACGTCTACCTGATCAATTTCAGAAGGAAGTGTCAACATCAGACACTTTTGTTTGAGGAGTTTTATCGTTTATAAGTCTGAATTGGGAATGATAAGCAATTTTGAATGATATTAAAGGGATAATAACTCTTCGTTTCGGCCAAAAAATGAATCCTGGAGTAAACAACAATTTTCCCATACTTACCAATGGTTAATGAATCCGTTTTAACATTCAAAGTTAGTCCCTGCTTTTTTTCTAAAAAGTTTTTTTTTGTTAAAATCTCTTAAGAGATTTTAACAGAGGATAGCCATCAAAGGAGGTCACGTGGTCTACAGACAAGCTCAGATATCAGAATAATAGCTATAACTGCCGTTTTTGTGGTAAAACAGAATATATTATATTTCTATGAGTTATTCACAATGTTTTTATTGTGTAATATAGATCTCACACGAAGAGTTATTATCCCTTTAAGACAAAGAATATGATGTTGGGACATTTTTAGAAATTTTAAAGTTAAACTTTACTATGAAAAATAAAATTGTTCAGCCAAATTTTCCTTACACAATGACACTTGAGAATTGCTCAGAGAGCTCGCTAGAGGGCAGTTGCATTCAGCCTCAAAACATCGACTGAGCTCATCTTGGGATGTCGTGCAGAGCTAGCAGTACATTAGTTTAGTTTTAGTTATAAAATGGTATCATTTAATCTTTACATATCTTTAACTTATACTTTTACATATTGATTGATTTATAGAATTATTTTGATAAATAAAAGGTGAGCGATTGCTTTACAGAAGATATTTGAAGTGTAATTCTGGAATTTTTCTAAAGGAAACTCTACGTCAAATGTGATGCAAACAAACATGGCGAAAGAAAAAAGCATGGACGGGGAGCGTGCGGAAAAAACAGAGGTTTTACTCCCGAAACCTAATATTTCCAGATTCAAGAACAAAATCAGGAGATCTGAGGCCTTCAGAGAGATGAAAAAACAGCAGATAAAGGTACTTTTAATTTGTTGGATATACCACCACTGGCACAGTGCCAACAGACAGCTGCTCGACTCGGTCTGAGTTCATGAATCAGGCTTTGCTTCTGTCTACATTAAAAAGATGACTAAATAAATAAATAAATAAATAGATAAATAAGATATTTTGACGTTGAGTAAGTTCACAAACCGTGAATGAGAGGGTTAGTGACAGAAAACTTGGACCAATCGTCACCTTACATTTGCTTCTCATCGAATACAGTAACTTTGCGGCAGGAATGTACGTTGCCACGCTCGGCTGTCACCTTGATTGGATAGTAAACGGTTGTAAAATCGCTAAATAATATTAAAACCAGGTGCATAAACTTGAAAACCACCTAGGACAACCTTAGACTGCCACATTAATCCAATACAATGCAAAAATAAACTATAACAAGTGGTTAAAGCCTTCAAACCGAATGTCAAAATTCAACCTCTGATGTTTATTTCGGTCCACTCTAACCTCCAATTACGAAAAAGAAGCCATGCCATTGGACAATACGACCTCTGCGGTTACGTCATTTCCTGAATTGAAGGTTAGAGTGGACCGATATAAACATCAGAGGTGGAATTTTGATTTACGGTTTGACCATGCACGGAATTTACAAACGAGCGACGGGGTGATGTAGCCTGCAGTATTTGCGGTAAGCGTGCCAAGTTTAAGGCCGCTCCGATGCCCGGCAGTATTTTATTTTGATTATTATGTTGAAAATGGTTGAGTTTTGTTTCACAAGCTGACTCTATTTTATTGTCTCTATGGAGGTATATGGGGACTTTACGACATTCGGTTTGAAGGCTTTAACCACTTGTTATAGTTTATTTTTGCATTGTATTGGATTAATGTGGCAGTCTAAGGTTGTCCTAGGTGGTTTTCAAGTTTATGCACCCGGTTTTAATATCATTTAGTGATTTTACGACGACCGTTTACTATCCAATCAAGGTGACAGCCGAGCGTGTACGTTGCCAAAATAGGTATATCTCAGTAAAGTTGCATGTGACCTGCCAAAATGCTTATGTTGCCAAAGTAAGTATAAGGTGTTAAGTCTCATACTATTTGCCAAAGAAAATGAAACATAGTTCAGAATTATTTTTAAAAGAGAACATTAATTATTTGAAGTTCAAAACATTTTTTTATCAGATGGACATCATGACTTCAAAGGTCTGATGAAATCGTAACAATCTTTCCAGAATACAACATATAATTTGCATGATCACATATTTGAGGACTAATGTAGAGGCCAGTTATTTGAAATGTCATTAGAAATACATAGCTATTTTTTCTTCATTTCAGCTGAAAAAGAAGGAAAAGAAAAAGAGAAAGCAAGAAGAAGCTGAGCTTGGGGATCAGGTAATTTGGATAAATAAATAAAAACACTATGGCTCATTTTACTTTTTATGCCTTTCAAGTATATTCGTTAAAATATATTGGATATGTTGGGTAAAATGGTATCAAGGGAACAATAAGGAGGCTTTCTAAAAAAAAAGGTGAATTCAGATGTTGACAAAGAATAAAAATTTAAATTTTACGTAAATTTCAGGCGCCACCCAAGAAAGTTCCAAAAACAATAGAAAATATGAGAGTGCCAGATGAAACTATGGTGAATCCAGAAGATGATGAGGTTTGTTTAAAAAAGTGAAAGCCTTGTTTATAACAAATTTCATTTCCAGTAAATTTGTCACCTAAAGTTGCCACATATTATTTTGCCAGTAAAGAACTGCAAGCAGAAGTATAGTCACGAGGCAACAGATCAGACCATAATTTTATATGACTGGATATGATTGAATAATTCTTACTTAACAACAGGTGCTACAAGATGAAGCTCAAGATGAGATGGCGTCATACTTCAACAGACAGTCATGTCCAAAGATTCTGATTACAACAAGTGACAGGCCTGGCAAGGTAAAGCGATGTGTGATTAACTCATAATTTGCTTTTGCTCAATCCCACACATTTGTGAGCTTGTGCAGAATTTGATTGGTAATTGATCTCTAACAAAGCCATTGCTTCCAGAGCAATGTGTTGGACCATAATATTATTGTTCACTTTTTAGAGTAGATATCATATTGGTTGTAATAAATCAATGCACTCAAAGAGTATTTGTAATTTTTTTACTCAAGTATTTTTTTGCATACTTTTCAGAAAACAAATTGTTTTTGTAAGGAACTTAAGAAATGCTTTCCCAACTCAGAATTATACTACAGAAGAGGTTTGGACTTGAAAAAAATCATACCGCAGGCATTGGCAAAGAATTTTACTGATCTGCTTGTTATACATGAGGACAGAAAAGAGCCAAGTATCCTTTGAATAATAGATATAAGTATCTCATCTTAATTGTGCCAAGCCTGAGTAAATGCAGTTTCTTATCATTTGTTTGATATTTTGAAAAAAATTGTTTGGCTTTTGTTGTTTTGATTGGCATATGGCATTGAGATTTGTTTTATATAAATTTTATACCAATGATAAATAATGAATTGCTTTGGGATTTGTCACTGGTAATGTATGCCCACAAGATTGCATTGGATATCAGATTTTCAATAGTACAACATGAAAGCAGTCCTATGGAATGGATGCTTCTGGACATATGACTATTGTTGATATTTCATTGATGCTATTTCCTTGATGTGTCATCTTAGATGGACTAGTCATTTCACACTTACCAGATGGACCCACAGCACATTTTAAGATGTCCAGTGTCAAATTAACAACACAGTTGAAGGTGAGCGTCAACATGTGTTAAAAGCTAATCTGCTGAATTCAGTAATGGATGTACATACATTCCATTTATGCATTTGGCCATGAATCATAAAAATGTTTAGAACTTGTGTGACTATTTAAATCACAGACCAATATCTTGATATCCTAGCATGTGTAATATGATTTTTTAAAATATAATAAAATTTTGGTTATAATTTTGCTTTCAGAGAAAGGGTAGTATGTCTGATCATATGCCTGAAGTAATATTGAATAATTTCAACACAAGACTAGGTCATTCTGTTGGTCGAATGTTAGCATCACTTTTTCCACATGACCCAGAATTCCATGGAAGGAGAGTAGTCACTTTCCATAATCAGAGGGATTATATATTCTTCAGACAGCATAGGTTAGTTTATGTAAATATATAATTTGCACTATAACAGACACCCTTATTTTAAGGATAAGATTGATGCCTAAAAGTAAAAGTTATTTTGAGTTGTCTATTGTGACAGCAATTACTTTCACTCTACAGAGAATGAATACATGGTTACTATAGAAATAAACATTTTGTATTGTTGGTATCACATAAAGTAAATCTGAGTTTGGGATTCATCTCCATTTGTTTGAGGAAAATGGAACAGATTTACTGACCATCAGATGTAGAATTTCAGTATTATTGTCTTCAATTGATTTGTCTCTAGTTGTTTTTAGATTTATATAATGATCCCATTCTTTATTTGATCCCAACTCTGTGTCACTTTAAGAAAGAGTTCTTTTTTCTTCTGTGCTTTGTGTGTGATGATATAAGTGCTTGTAACTATAGTAGTATTTCTTATGAAGTATGAGTAAAGTAAGAACTGAAAAGTTTTGTCATTGTTATCATTTCTCATTCTATCTACATGGAATTTGGTATTAAGATATTTGACAATGTACAATTTTTTATGTATTCTGTATAAATATTTAATTTTTCTTATGTTTCAGGTACATGTTTAAAAATTCTAAAAGAGTGGGATTACAGGAATTGGGTCCAAGGTTTACTTTAAAACTTAGGTCACTACAGAAAGGTACCTTTGACTCCAAGTATGGGGAATATGAATGGGTCCATAAGGTAATAAAAGCTGTTGCTAGTATAAATTTTTGTATTTTATAGTATATAGTAAGAATTTCTCTCTCTGTATTTTAACCAGCGTTGTGATAAATTGAGTACCAGTAAATAATGCATCAAATTTTCTTATTTTGTTTTCTAGTCTGTTGCATCAGTTATTTGGCCATTAAAATTCTTATTTATTTGGTTTGCAGAGACATGAAATGGATACAAGTAGGAGGAAATTCCATTTATGATGTTGCTGAAATGTATACATGTGAGAGAAAATTCCTTTTATTGCAATGCCATTGGATCTGTGCACCAGCTGCCTCTGAAGCAGAACATTACAACTACAGAGCATGGTGCACATAAAACAATTTACATAGCACTATTTATAACTGAATATTTCTGGACATAGAACATATTTTTGTCTCACTTACTAGTTTGTTTTGCATTGATTGAGAGAGGTCTTTTAAATCAAAGATGTCTTAAATCATTAATAAATTTGTTGCAGTTTACTGTGAAGACAAAGTACTTTCAAGGATGTGAAGTGTATATAAGTGAGAAGGAGGTTGTTACCTTTATAAATTTAAAATGTGAGGCGTTGCAATATATGCATTGTTACAGTGGGACATTGGTTCTCTAACTGCTGTCTCTAATTGAAATTGGCTGTTGTACGATTAGATAACTGAAATAAATCTATTTGTTGTATGAGTTTATGGATTGACTCTTTACTCAACATTACGATGCACAAAAATTGTTTTGTTTCTCTTTTTAAAATTGTTCATTTATGAAAAACAGCCACAGTTTACCATAAAGATGCATACAAAACGAGAAATATTTTTAAGGTTTGGTTTTACTTTTCCGTAAAAATATTTTGAACATACATTTGCTGCTTACTTTCTGTGTCATGTATAATATCTTCGGTCGTTTTTGCCAATTTTTAATTAAATAATTATGTTGTTACCACAGCAGACATAAAATCATTACTACCTCATTTGGCAGATGCAGTTTAAATCTCTTTTTGGGGCTGGCCGGGTAATTCGGTTTATCCGTTAGCATGTGATCTCGAGTGGTAGTACTGATTTATATGAGTGACCGGGAATCTACTCTCGCTTTATATTTATCTGTTTTGGTTGTTCATTTGTTTATTATTTTGTGTTGTAGAACCATACACCAGCGTAGGGCTTGAGCTATTTTTTCCGTTGGTGGGACATACTTCTCACAACAAAGTATTTAGATAGAATTGGGGAAATACCCGTTAATAATGATGTATCTTTCTTTCGTTTTGTAAAAGCTATTTTCAAACAAGATGATGAATATTTGAAATATCTGATGTAAAAAAAAAAAAGAAAACTATAAGGTAAGATATGAACCTAATGAATATATAAAATATACAATATCGAAAATAAATTGTTGTCTGTGTAAAAGCGTTGTTATATGAAAAAATGTAAAATATACATGAAAAAAAGACTGTATTAAAAAGGGATGTGGATGAAGGATATAAGCAACATAAAATCGACTGCTACCCTTTAAAGCTTGTAAAAGCCTAGAGTTGCATGGTAAAAAGGTTAGAAAGTTGTGATCAGGATGGAAACTGTCACTCATGATATAGCACTGTTTTATTTGCTATAAGTTCTGTCCAAATCGCGACACTTGACTTCTTAACTAACTTTTCAGTTTAATTTTTCATCTACATTTGCACGTCGATACCATACAATTAACGCAAAAGTTAAAATACTTTCTATTATCACACTTGTAAAAGTGCGTTAAACTTGACATATTCCACACGTGTGGTAACATGCTTTATTACCTAACTCGATCGTCAATTTCCCGGATAAACATGCATCGTTTGCAAGTTTCTGAAATTAAAGATACATGTACATAAGAATCGAGAGCAAATGCCCTATTACGTAAGTAGATAATTTAGTATCAGTTTCTAACACAGCACAACTTGTACTCCCTGATAAACCAACCGAAATGCATTAATCTCTCGTGTAGCACAAAAAGGCTTAATACCACTTACAATTTCTGGTCGTAAATTTGACTTTCTTATTTTCCACCCAGTCTGTAAAGCATAAAGATCTAAGCAAAACAGATTTCTGCAAATATTTTTTAAAAGAAATAATGTAACGAAACTGTGGCATTTCTTAACGTTATGCTATTTTAAACTATATATGGTATCATTTGGTTGGGTTTCGAGGCAATAATTTTACATAATCACTCGCTTAATATACATATTAAAATACAAATCATTGCATATTATGCAATGTCATCTATTTTCTACACCAAAAACGTTAAATATATTGCTTTAAAAAACGCAACGTAAACAAAAGAAAACACTTAAATGAATTTTATGGTGTAACCTGATACTCGGTTTGAATTTGGTTCCAAAGAAGCCCATCGAAAAATCAAAACCTAACTTTCAGCTAAACCAGCGATTGTCGTTTTCTTCTTATTCGGACTGTCTCTGTATATTGATGTGTTTGGCTGAAAATTCCCAAGATGGCCAATTGCCCAAAAGCGTAATGCTACTTCACATTTAAAGGAAACTGTATCCAAAGCTTCCAAACTGCATTCTCATTTTACATTAGAAATCAAATTTTTGAAAGAAATGGAGAAAATTCGCCACGAGCAGGAATACAAGAGCGGCAGAGAGAAGTAATGCAGCAGATAAAGATTGATTTAATTTAAGTCATTACAAATCTCCAGGGTTTTGCATTATTTAGCAATATGTCTTGCAAAGATGATGAATTATAGAATATAGAGCCTAGACGTCAGAGAGATTAGCCAACCGTGCCTTGTATGTCTTGTGAAGCCATAATTATGTTATTGGGGAATGAATATACAAAGCCTCGTTCAATATTCTAAATTGGAATTTCGTTGCAATATCGTGAAATGATGGCCTTGTTGTGGTTCATGATAAGAAAAAAGTTCTGGGTCATAACTGAAAGTAGCCGATGTGCTGATAAACAGAACTTTCAACTTACTAAATGATAAAAATGTTCCCGTTTATTTCACTTTTTAGACTATTTCCGATGTTATTGCAAAACTCTAACCTGTACATGAAAACTGATCTGTTTACGTCCTCGTTCAATGTATCTTTAAAATGTCAAAAAGCCGTGGAATCAAATAAGTAAGCCTATATCTGATGTGGTGTATCCTCTTGCGTGTTTAGCAAACGAAGGTCATTCGGTGTTGTCTGTTTTATTGCCACAACATAACCACTGAATGAAAGGCGTCATAATAAAGAAGAAAAATTAGTTTTTATGCAGTTCCTACACTTGTGTGAATAGCATGCCGTGAAATCTCAGCGCGATGTCTCTGTATCGGCATTTCAATGTATCACGACAGGGTGATCTGTGAATTAACGCGATCATGTCACGCACTCGTGCCAATCACTTTTTTACAGGCTGAAAAAGTTCTACATCGTGCAAAAAGCAATGGGTTTGTGACCTTGTTGTCAAATGTGTCTAGAATTATGGAAAAATACTGTTAATAGTATATTTTATTAAACATACCACTGCCGCTGTGATTAGGTATAATATATTAGGGTACAACAGAGGACAAAATACGATAATATAATGTAAGAAATTGTTTATACTAAATATGCAATAACAAAGCATCTCTACGAGTTTGGAAACATTTTCTACATAATGACTCAATTCAGCAAGGTTTTTGTCCTTAGTTGTTAACATTTTGTAATCATATGCAGTTGCACTTTATTGATACATAATTTTCGGCTTTTTTTACTTTATGCGTCATTTTACCAATAAAACAAAGGAAATAACGAATGTGATTTATCTTCAGAACTCTCTTGCTTCACGGTATATCTCCCATTAGCCCGACTGCTTACAATGGTGAAAGACAATTATCTCCGCTTTGAAGAGCTGTAATAATTTGCACGTTCTGCTTGCAGAGGGTCTGGAACTGCTCGATAAACTGTCCGCATTGTCACATTTGGAGTCTGCCTGCATTTCCTTTGACAAGAATTACCAACGCTGCTTTATTGCATAGCTCCAAAATATATTTTGGAATTTGAAATACTTTCATCCAAAACGGCGTTTGTTCGTTCGTCACTTACACTGCCGTCTGCCAACTTTCTTCACTAGTTTTAGACACGACATTTGGAGTCTCATCTGTACAAACATCACTGCATATTTCTGCAGTTTCAAAGTGGTTACTTTTGAGCATCTTTGCCATACTGAGGCACAATTTCGGATCTTCAAACTGAGGACTGATTTGTACATCTCGCTTGGCAAGGTTCTTAGCCTGCATTTTACACAATAGCTCCGTCATCTCTCTCACGCGTTCAGGGCGACTTCTACGCTCTGGGTCAGCTTGAAAATTCAGATAATCCTCGTACAGCTTGTTCTCTATGATTTCTCGCTTCTCTCTCTTCAGATAGGTTATTATCCCCAGTGTTACCCCAACCGAGTAAAACGCCAAGACGACAATAATATAGACAGTTGCTTTAGTTACGTCGGTGGCTGGTCCGCTGCTAGACCCAGAAATGGTTGATTGCGTTACGTTCGTCTCACTGCAGTTGTACATTTTATTTCATGGTTTCTGTTCTTCTCTATCCAGTGTTCACGTTGAACCCAATGTGCGGTTCTTGAAGAATTGGCTCTAGCTTTTAAACGATTTCAGAAAGTTAATTCTACTGAAGCCCAGTTTGTCCGTTCGAGCTAAAACGCATTACTAAATTCCATTTATTGTATGTCCCACAAGGCCCAATAAGCGTACTCCCTTGCGATTATTCGATCTTGATAAGTGTATGATACTGTTTTTTTTTATAAAGTTTGCTGTTTCTATCAGAATTCTCGGTCGTCAAGGGAATATGTCTATCCGGTCTAGGCTATATATGCATCTGCCCAGACGTTAGAGCACTCGAACTGGACGCTGCTCACTTGCTCGATAATCGTGACAGGGGACTTCATATCTACAAGTAAAAGCCAGCTTCGTAAATCCGTTCACCACAATTTTTCTCAAAACAAATAGACTGAGAATGAAATTAACGAAACGCCCAGGGGGAATGTTCAAGCTAAGAAACCACTCACTTTGGACGGAACCTTTCATTTCCAACCATCACCTCCTATTGCAAAATTAGTGGAAAAACGATTTTTTCATTTTCATGTACAACAACCATTTTAGAATATTACTCACGTTTTATTTTAGAAGTGATAGAATAGGAAAAATAGTTTTAAAAATAATCAAAAAGTAGACAGAAAGGCTAGCATATATACAGTTAAAATTCAAAGATTTACACATTTACTGGACTCTAAGTACATAATGTGACAATTTCGAGGAAAATTAATATTTTTCCTGTATAACTATTCAGCTCAACTAGACTCAATCCTCTCATATAGTAATGACCTGCATTTCAACCACAGAAAACCACCTGGAGAATTTAAAATAAACGGAAATGTAATTCAGTTATTAGGTGTGAAATATACAGAGGTGTTGGTGAAAATGTCAAAATATGCAAATCACTTCTATAAAATATCCAGGTGAAATTAAAGTAATCCATCAAAAATACGACCTTCGTAAGGGCAACGAGGCAGAAGAACAGGAAAACATCAAAAGTAATCTGATTAAATGCAAGATAAAATTCCCCAGTTACTTTAAAGTAAAAACATAGGCACGGTTCGGCATTTGCAGTGTCGAATGGGTTGAGAGACAATACTATATGGTCAGACAAGTATTCAAAGTTAGCAACAGATACAAAATGAAATTATTGTTCGATGTTTTAGATTAACTTAGTTTTGATCAACTCTTTACTTTGGCCAAAGAGACATTTTTCACTAGATGTTCACATATATTTCTGTAGCCAATTCTGTCTACAGTTTTGTATTGTTACCAGCCAAAATGTTCCCACAGGAATGACGGCATCACCCAGCTGGCCTCAGGTAAAGAGAAGTTTTACCAAGGGGTTAAACTCCCAAGAAGGCGGTACGTTGGTGCACCGATATGTTGAGCCTTGCCATGCACACTAGAATCGTCTACCCTCTACCAGGGCGACTGATAGATTTTTTACAGATATTCACAGATATGTCTCTAGATAGATAGATAGATAGATAGATGGTCATTTTGGTTCTATCAGTCGCCCTGGGAGAGGGTAAGAATCGTCCATAACGGGCATTATTAAGCTCAGCACCTGCGCTACATTTCATGGGCGCATTTGGGACAAAGCAAGCCGAGATATGTAGTTACTCGGTTCACATATTATTTGAAGTTTACTGTGTGTGAAAGTGACAAAATGTCAGGTTTATCAATTAACTCAAGTTACTTCCATCTTGGGCGTTCAATCCCCTTGTTTAACAGCCAACCTCTTAGTAGTCAGGTCACAGCTAGTGTCTCTGTAAGTGCCTTATAGAGCCGCAACACATTGTACAAAAAAAATTTTAAAAAATAAAAATAAAAAAAAAATTAAAAAAATAAAAAAATAAAAATAAAAATAAAGTGTATTTACACCAACTTTTTTCAAAGTGCAAAAAGCATTGCTGTAACATAATGCGGTGGTACTAGTAGAGCTGCATTTTGCAACTGGTTGCAATATACAATGCGCCTTCACTAGTAAGAGAAAGAGAGGGAAAGGGGCACACTGAGTAGAAATGTGTTTGCCTATCTTTGGTCGACAAGTCTGCGAAAACTTGCAAAAAATGAAGGAGAAAGCCAAAGCAGATCCGCCAGTAAAAGTGACTAGTACCGTAGAATAATTCAGACAGCAAACTTATGTATGGTTAATCTAGAGACAAAGATTAATGCATGTATTTTCAGAAGAAAATACCAGTTTACCAATCTGTTTGACGTATAAATTAGCAAATAAGCCCAATTACGCTTAATTTGTCCGTTTTGCGGAAAAACTCAGTTGCCTATCTTGTCATTGTAGACTGTGCGATAGCGTACTTACCTATTTTCCATGGGATCCACATATCGCATCAGCGCTTACACATATTAAGATAATATGTTCATGCTGTGAATGTTTACCCTCCGTTCACCTTTAACAAACTAAAGTCATAGGTATACGGTTACTATATATAGCTTAAACAGCAATATCAAGTGGCATTCAGCATGTTTACTTGTTTTAAGGGGTATGATATAGCTAAACGTAATTTACCTTGAAATAAGATATGTGTTTATTAATGCGATAAAGCAATGGCTCCAAGATATCCGGCATCTTCTTTTGTGCTCTACTACTCCCAATGCACTCTCCGATTACTGAATTCAGTTCCCGATAACGAGAAAAATCTCATTTAACGATACAAAAAAGCGATAAACGAGCTAAAACAATCGAATCAAAACCATGCACAGATTTTAGATGGACTATAGACCCGTCGGCGACGGTTAATTAAACCCGAATAAATTAAAACCCTTTGAGTGCTGATTATAGAGGTAGTAAATGTGATTATCATTCTTAAAAGAAAGGGCATGTTGCAACATAAGATAGGGCATAGCCGCATATGTTAAACCAATGAACGTAGATGTAATATCATATCACACATTACATTAGATTATATAGAACAAGTGTCAGTGAGTGTGAAGAAACCGACACAAAGAAAGATATGACGGAGCGACATGTTGACATAATCCAAGTTATCGGAATAGCGTGTGTTTATTTGTTTTTCATTCATCGAATGTTATTTGAGAATAATTTCGTGCTAATGATTCTGAATTTGGTACTTTCTCATAGCTGCGAAGAACTTTTTTACATTACCAATTTAACCTTGGTCAATGTATAGGGTCCTAAAAAAAAAAAAAAAAAAAAAAAAACGGTACCCCGGTTTGTACGTAAGAAGTATATCTGCATCAGATGAATAGAGTTGTGGTGATCATTACCAATACGAGACATACAACGCGTATAAATATGAAAAAGAAGACAAAATCACACCTACATTCTTTTTATTCCATATTACACGAGGGAAACAACAACAGTAATACTGGCTGTCAAAATGCTCAAGTCATTTTCAAAATCCTATAAGCACGGAGGTAACACTTATCTTGCATTGATAAATCTACATGGACGTTGACAAATAATTCAAGAACTTAACACAAAAATATCAAAATTACTAACAAAATTAATATAAAATGACACTTCAAAATCGTCAGAAAAGAAGGGCTGAGTGGATTGCACTAGTACAAAACCGGATCATATAATCTATTAAATACATATACAAATACAATACATAAAAACTTCTATCACATTCAAAATGTTCACGCCAATCTAAATCCTACAAAACGTGCAATTACAATGGCACCGTTTTGTGTAGCTATACATATTTCTTAGGTCCAACTTGAATTTTGCAGTAATAGATATGTTAACCTGTTAAAATAATGTATTGCATGCTTGAGGTATGTATAACATTAGAGGTTAGTGACATGAAATTTAATTCTTAAAAAAATAAAGTAGCTTCCGCTGTCTCATAGTTGGAAGAGATAAAAACACTTCAGTCAGCACAAAACCTCTGTCATTTAAAGTTCAGTGGCAAATGCTTACATTTCTAATATACTGATCTCACTTCGTAACATGTCATGTTTACCTTTGCTCATAGTATAAAATATTGCAATTTTAAAATAAAATAAAGGAAAGGAAAATAAAGAAAAATAACTAATTCATAGACAAAGGTGATACGAAGCTCCTTACCCTGAAAAAAAAAAAGATTCATTCACTCATCCCACATAGGGTACTGTATCCGTTCTTCTGCACATCAATTTGATAGCAAACATTGCCACATGTCAACAGTAAATATCATAAAAGCCTACCAAGTCCAAGAAATTGTCCTAGCTTAATTTAAAATAACACTAGCCAGACTTGTATATGGTGGTAATAATAATAATAATAATAATAATAATAATAATAATAAAATGATGCCCAAAATGACAACAAAGAATTTCTCCGAATTTTCACGACAATAAGTCTGGATCTATAATTGAGATGCACTTCTTTATAATGTTTAATGCAAATTTCATGTTTTTCAAACCCTACAATAAGTGTATTTAACTATTCATATATACTTCTATATACATAATACTAGAACTGCTTCACAGGAACATTTCTCTTGAATGGATATACATCAAAGATGTTAGAGCACAACCAAACTGAAGCAAAATAAAATAGACATGCTTCATATGTATTCCTGAGTATTACTTATTACAGTTATTATAACCATTCTAAATAAAAATGCACCACATACATTTTGATTAGCTGCTACATAATATACAAAAGACAGTAAAAGCTGACAATTGTACAGCCCAGTGCCTGTATCAAGACTGCATGGATAACAGCCTATTTCAGACTTAACACTGGCAAACCATCCTGTAAAACTCAGGGGGTGCAATGGAGGTAAATTACTACTAAGAATAAACTGAGACAGCATAACTTTAAATCTACTATTCCTTGTGATTACTGTATATGTACAGTCATTTCCAATCCCCTGACTGTGTATAACCATGACTAATCACTTCAAAATAGAAATATAAGTAAAACGACATACCTGGCAGTGGTATTTTTGCACTGTGTGAGATACAGCAATATATTAGAAGATGCACCCGTCAAATTGCTTGTCACTTATAGAGTGCTTACCCAATGACCATTTGTTTTTGTTTCGTCTTGTTGTTGCTCTGGCAACTGAAACTAAATATTATCATACTATGCAAATGTATCATTATATTCTTAATTTTTTTGAGAGTAAGAGGGCTCATCTTCCATAGACAAAAGTAACTAAAATACTGATTTGGAATTATAAGAATAAAGCATTCTATTCATAAAGGGCACCAGCATGAACTTTGTGATACAAAATAGCTGAATATCATCATATTAGCACTGTCTAAGTAAATACTTATTTTTTCAATACTTAAAAATATCAGCAGTAAAAAAAATAAGGAATAAAAGTATCTGATACAATCAAATCTAAAAATATGGCATTATGCAATTAACATTTTGATTTTTTGTAATTGCTTCATAAAATTGTTTGAAGTTTTCAATCATTATCATAGTTCAATAGCCCCCTCCTCGTTTCAAATCTGTTGCCCCTTTTTTTTAAATCTCCATAAGCAGACAATTATTTACTGCAAACGGCCTGAAATTTTGAAATAATTTACAATTGTACTTTTCTACTATGCTTTAGGTTCATTTTTAACTATGATCTAGAAAGGTACTTGACTGAAAAACAGTCTGTTCTGAGTTTACAATATTGTTTTATGAGTAAATTAGATGGTATATCATCTACAGACCAAAAATTTGTAATTTTGCAAATGATACATCTATGACAATAAATAAATAAATAATGCCTTGTAAAAGGGTGTGTTTTCAAAAATGGTGGTACATATGACATAGTATATGAAAAGTAATGAATAAAATACTTTATAATACATACTGAGTATCCATGTCAACTTTGCCTTACAACTCTAGTTGTCTGTGTACCATATAAACCACAACTGCGTTTGTGTACATAATAAAAACATAACCAATAATAAGGTTGAATTTCAAAATTAAACAGCAAGGATAAGTATTCTATTTTGTCACATCGTTGTGAGAGCAAAAGAAAAAGAGGTGCAAAATGAATGTTTCCTCCTCAGTGTCGATGTCCCTTGGGTTCTGCAAACAGGATACCAGGCAGATTCCCACTCAGCCTTATATATATATATATATATATCTCTGGAAAAACCACAATATTCTTCGTAGCCACATACTTCATGGTAGGGCTCCATGAACACATTCTTTTTAGTCTTCAAAGACCTTATCCCATTAAGAAGGGAGTTCAGGCTTCGCTGCAGCTCTTGGTCAACTTCTTCATAACCAAACCTGATATCAACACTAATACTCCTACAGAGGTTCTCAGTTTCATGACCTAAACACTCTAAATCAGGTTAAGATAAAAGACTAAAATATAGTGTTACAGAATAAAATAACAGATTTTCTCATGCATCTTTTGGTCTTCTGGGCAAGGCAAACTTGAATCTCTTCGTATCAGTTAAAAATGCAGCTATTCTTGGTCTGGCTGCCATCTGATTGTAATATTTTCTAAGTTTTGGAAAATCTTTTAGTACATGGACTGACATGGCATCAGGATACTCCTCAAACCTTCCAAATTCCATATTGCTGTCCAGCTGATCAAACAGCAAAAAGTCCACCCAAGTGAGGCGGTCATTGACAAAGAAAGCTTCATTCTGAAAATAGAAAATATGCAAAAGAATAAACTTCCTTTTGGCTCACAAAAAACGTGAGTAAAAAATGTCACCTAAGAATCTTATCTGACTTAGTTGAAAAAAATTTTAAAGGTTTGCTTACTGCCATCAAAGTTCAGGTAAGCCCCTAAATTTCAACTTTTGTGAAACAAGCCCTTGTGTGATAAATTATTGTCAAAATATGGGCTTAATACTACCATTTTGTAGGTGTACTTCAAATATACGTACAATAATGGACAATCTGACACATAAAAAAACTTATCTGTGTTTAAATAATGAAAGCAGTTACCTCCTTCTATATAAAGCTGTGTAGAACATATTTTCAATAATTAAAAAATACTTTTCACATTTTTTAATATTGTAAAATAACAATGCATTATACAAATACCAGGTTAACCAAACCACATACCAGTTTTGATAATGGAGGTGCTAATTTTTCAAAATATCCCAACCATACTGGTAATGTTTCATTCAAGTATTGTTCTCTGAGTTTGAGGCTGAAGTCTGGGTTGTGCAGAACCTCTGCCAATTTGGCCCTGAGATCCTCTTGAAAAAATATAAGGTGAAAATAAAGAGGTTAATATTTAAGTAAACTACTATTTACACATTAAGGAAAAAACCAGTAAACAAGGCTAGCAAATAAACAGACATTAAACAGAAAATTTAAAAAAGAAAAAAAAAAAAATTTAATGGCATCTATGCATCCATTTTTTAAAATGTCCCATATGAAAAAAGCAAAGGGAAATTTTGAAAAAAAAAAGACTTAACAAAAACTGAAATTGATCAATTCAAATATTTTCCATGGACTGTGACTCATTAAGTTACATTATGCAGCAGTAAAAGAAAGAGTATTCTTCACCAACAACCAAAGTAATTTTATAAATACCTTGACTAAAATATTGTCTAAACACAATCTTTGCAAAAATCTATTTCAAATTGTTAGTGTACTCTTAACATCAAAGTAACAGTACATAATGTTAGGTCACAGCCATGTACAGAACTTTTACAGAAATATATATATATATATATATATATATATATATATATATATATATATATAAAAACCAGTAAATTGGAAAGGGAATTAATATAAATTGTTTGACATATATATATAAAATCCAGTAAATTGGAAAGGGAATTAATATAAATTGTTTGACATAGGGTGACTTAGTCACAGTCACACCAATGGCAAAATCATGGACATTAGCTTCACCTGTTCCTTGTGCTAAAATTTCACACATGTGCATCATATCACAGTCACAGTCCATGCCTGTTGTTCTGCCCAGATAGTGCATGATTGCATGGCTCTGAGAGAGACCAACTCCTGAAGATGGACTTTCTAAATATGGCACTAGGAAAAAAAATAAAGATTTCCTTTGAGAAAGAAAGAATGTGTGTGATTTTCTGACATGTGCAATATTAAAAAAGTAGACACCCCTGCTGCAATAAAGGGTTATTTCTAGACAAGAAATACAGTAAGCAAATGGACTGAGTACTCACAAAACTGACTGGTACAATGACATAACGTGAACTGTAGATTTAATGCAGATCAATACATGAACAGGTTATATTTGCTCCATTCATAACCATTTGGTCTTCTTAGCAAAATAAATAGCAGTTCTATTGGATAACAATAGATTTCTCTCTTAACCATTCAAAAGGTCTGCAAATTGTTCCTAAATAGTACAAAAATCTATTAATGAATGCACAGTTACTCAGAAATCTGAAAAACTTTTACCTTGTCCAAATAAATATTGTCCATTTTTTACACCCTTCTGTTTTGCTTTGCTCCACTGTACATCTTTGAAATTGTATTCTGTGTACGAGATTTGTGCTTCAGTTAAAAGTAGCCGTATGGCTTCTCCCCTTCCCCTTAAAATACACAAAATTACTTACATGTCAGTAGTTCATGGCTTAATAATAAAGGAAATGGGGGTTTCTAAGACTCATCAGACTGAACAAATTATTCAATTTAACATGCTTTAATTTTTGCAACATTTTTTGACAATTGGAATAAGGAAAAATTTGAACTTCATTTGTTAATTTTTAAAGTGGGTTGTCAATCATGCTTTCTTTTACCTCACTGGAAAATAGTGTAGTGTTACATTGCTAAGATCCGGCAGGGGCATGCAGCCAGTCTTCCCATAGTACAGATAAAACAATGTTCTGAAATTAAAAAAAAAAAAAATCAATATAGATAACAACTCATGGGTCAAATCCGTAACCATATAAAATATGTTAACAACATTCTATAGTATGTGAATTTTTTGAATGTATGCAATAGCTTTTCAAGTACTAGCATGTGTACATACTTGAAATACTATTGCATACATGGACAAAATCACAAATATATTATAAAATAAATTTCATTTTAATTTAGTGATTATAAATAAAAACAATTCTACAAAAGAGGCTGCCAGAAAAATCATACTAAGTATTTATGTTGCAGAATATCAAATGGCATATTTGCAGGGAGACACAGTTAACCAGTGCGTCTCATACTGATTGCTCATCATCATGTCCTAGGAAATGTATGAACATGAAAACTGGGCATTACTTTCAAGGGGAATTCAAGATTGCACTTAGATATCTTGACATTTACATGACACCAGGCACCAAGTATCTGGGTTAGGAAAACAGTCTGTTGCTGCCAAAGAACTAAACTTGTGAGCACTATATGTTTTGTACCACTTCATGACTGTGGCCAATTAGTTTATTTTATTTTTTTTTACTTGTACTTTTTGCTATGAGAAGTCCTTATGCATTTCATCAGAATTCAGTCTAAATGTAGTAGAAAATACCTGACAAAATAGGGATAGAACACTCTTGTCATGTCAATCAATGTATGGAGTATTACACTGGATAAGAAATCAGGTTTTTTCTGTAGTTTGTCAAGTTCAGCTCAGTATGCTGGGTCATCAAACTAGTAATATATTTTCTACATGGGGAAAACATGTGGGCCAATGTCAGGCCCATCTATGCTTCAAGTAAAGTGTGTATATCACTATGCCTCTGTAGGAAGTATGTATATACATATGCATCTTTGTCCTTGCATGTGATTGAACAAAGGTAGTGCATGCATGGTTGCATGTCTGTGGGTATTTGTGCAAGCATGCATGTGCATACCTGCACAATTCAAATTTGTACTTTTATAAATGAGCAACTCAAGCACTGTAGAAAGATGTGTGCTCTGCTTCACTTATATGCATTGCACACATGCCAACACCTGTTAAAGATATGTTCTTTGCCAAAGGTTATTACTCTCTGGAAAATATATTAGAGCCAAAAGCAATTATTGCTTTCACTTTCAGATCAGATTACTTGGTTAACTGTGCTGGTATAATCAACAACACTGATAAAATAAGTCACCTATTCAGGTGTGTTGGTACAAGGAGTTATAACTCCTTGGTTGGTACAATACGCAAAGTTAACAATTTACAAAAGAGTGAAGAATACTAATCAAACCTGTCCTGGCTACCTGTCCATAATGTACCCATTTGGTATTGATACTAAAGATTTAGTATTGGTATAAAGAAAACCTGATATAATGTTGATATAACACTTGTAATCAAACACAAAGTAAAAACTAAGCTACATAAAGAAGGAATACAAATATCAGCATGACTACCGGGCTTTTATGTTTAAAATTGCTGTAATACTTGGAATTCCAATGTCTACACCATGATTAGAACCTTTCAACTCTAATCAACAGTGGCGGACACCAGATATACCCGATATATTTTATACCAAGTAGATATACTGTATCCTTTTTACAGGAACAGATGAAAAAGGGGGGGGGGGGGGGATACAAGCTTAAACCAGCCGTACCATATACACAAAATAGAAAATTTTGTGTATTTGTTAAGCTCGCTCAGAAATGTATTGCATAAGTAATGCATTTAAATGTATATTGTTGTTTAGCAATAGTGAAACTTACATGCTATCCAGTCTATCAGGCTGTTGTTCCTACAACTGCACGGTAGGGTTTTAACAAATAAATTCACACATTTTAGTATCACTTGCCATTGTGTTCATAGTGCTTTTCTATTAATAAATCATCAATGTATTTGAGCAATATAATGTTGACCACCCTGCAGCTGGCATATACTGTTTCACAGAAGCTTTCTTTAGCTGGATACCTTACCCAGTCCTTTATTCTTAAATTATTGATTGGCAATGGCCTAGGTGAAAGAAGAAATAATCAAGAGCTAGGGCATGCAGTTACCAACAAACAAATGAATATTCAAGCGATTTGCCAGTGTAGACCCCTGTGGTACTGGTCAATGGTTCACCACACTGTAGCACCTTCTCTTATATAGGTACTTTATCTGCCTTTGCCCAAATCGATCCCATTTGCCACTACTGGCACAAGACACCTTTACATGGGAAACGAGGGTATGCCGCAGAATGTTAGGGGTACATAAAATAATTGAACAGATAGTGAATGCATTAAAACTTATCTAAATTTTTCTTAATTAAATCACCCATTTGCACAATCTTACTTGGATAACCAAGACGCCTTCCCGCTGTATAAAATCGCTAAAATACCGGCGATCCCCACAAACAAAAGCTGCAAGCTTGCCATCCTGGGGCTGCCCCGGGCCGAAGGTCAATTTTGTCATTTTGATTTTTTTCACAATATATCTGGATACCAATTGTTATAAAATAAAAGTTTTATTTTAATAACAAAATATGGATATTTTTCATGATTTAACCATTGTGAATTAAACAAAAAATTCTTGCACTTTCACTGCGGGCCTAGATATCGATATTCAACATGGCGGTGAATTTCCCACCGCTTCCCCAGGTTGGTACATTTTTCAATATTTTTCTGCTCACAGGCTTAATTGACATATGACCATACATGCAGATGTAAGCTTTTCGAATATGAGCAATGTAATTTGCAACCGATTGGCGTACAGTGTTATAAGTTTTGCACAAACACGTCTTCATTCCAGGCTAAACTCAGATGCCTGAGGGTACCCGCCCATACGGTGCAAATACCATCCTCACTTTCCCATGTGTTCATCTTTCAATACATTAACCACGAATGTGAACATCCTCCATTTCACCAATGTAAATAATGCTTATTTTTTTCGGTTTTGTTACATACTCCAAATGGGAAATGTTATGGATAATAAGTAATGGACTGGTGCAGAACTTGAATTGAGTGTTGAAGTGGTACAGCTTGATCTATTTAATCGTGATAAATATTTTGATTGCATTTCTTATCAAAAAGTTAGTACCATATGGTGAGAATGATCAGTATGTCGTTAAAGTTGTTTGGAATAATTATGTTGTTTTTCTTCGGCTAGGCACCACTGCCATTAAGCCCCATAACATCATTTCACATTTATTAGATTATATAGCATATGCTTTACATAGCATTGGATTTCATCATTGCTTATTTAAAGTCCTAAGAAAAATATTCCAGTTGAATTTTCACGTGCCCATTACATTCACAGTGTCATGTTGTGATAAAAAAAATTAGTGTAATTAAAATATTATGTTGGTAACTGTCCTTTTAGCTTATTAAAGAGAATCCAGTGGAGAATGACATTTCTGATTTCAGCTTTTGCTACCCTTTAAACACTTAATTGCACAGTATCATTTTGACCAAGTACATAAGGATAAAGACAATAAATTTATGATTTTGAAAAGTTAACATGGGGATTTTAAAAAAATAAGCTGTCTGTTAGAATTTTTATAGAATAAAAATCTCAAATGTTGTCCAAGATGCCACAATATAAGATCTGATGCATCATTATTATTTTGCCATGTTGTGGTATTTTATAATATGTATATCCGTCCCTTTAGTGTACAATACTAGTAAGGATATTTTGATCACAAGTTATTTTTCCCATATGGATACATGATACTATCATACTAGTATTTTTTAACCTTTTTAACATCATACCATGAGCAATACTGTCACCAAAATCGGAAAAAATCTTGGCATTTAATATACATTTTCATCACAAGATTTATTTCATCAGGTTAATACTGTCCATTTAAAATAATCATTAGAGAAGAAAAAGCACAAATGTAATAGTAAGATGTAATTTTCAGTGGTTCACATTCATTTCCTACTTTTCATTTTCAGCATTCAGAATAACTACTTTATTAATCATAGTTCTCCATATCTACATTTGTCCCAGTTTCTTTTTCAGGTGCTCATGTACAGAACATTTAGTTACAAAAATACAATATGTTATATTTTAGGTTGCTGGGGCACACAGTTCTACTTATGAAGCATATTTTCAACAGGTATGTATCTGGAATGGTTTAGACATGAAGTATTAAAATATGAGATCATGAAGGTTATCAGATATCAAGTTCTAGTAAATAAAGGTATGTCAATTTTTAATCATACACAAGCCATGCACTGTCTAGTAGGATGATATCATATGTCCTCATTCCCAGCACACACGCAAGAGAGCTTTGCATGATTGTGGATTTGACTGGTGGATACAACTATTACTGTATAGTAAACCATCATTCTTAGAGTGCTTTGGAAAGATGTCACGCGAAAAAGAAACTTGGAAAATATGTCACTGGTTTAGAAAAAAATGTTGTTGTTTATATAATAAATGTTAAAGGCAATACTATGTGTTACATTTAGACAACAGACACAGACAGTATGTTCGATGTTATATTTATGAATTGTATGTGTACAGCATTACAGCGAATGGATCAATACCGTTACATAGTATGGTATTTGTTAGTTATACTCAAAAGTGTGTATATGAGCCAAATTACGCCTAAGGGACAGGCAGCAGAGCCAAAGCTTTTGGTAAATCATTCTCTGGGTGATTTTAAAACAGATCTAGCTGTGTTAAGGGATCTCATGCTGTTATTTGTCCAATACCAGAAAAGATTATAAGAGCATTCTGTTTGTCTCAAGAGCAGAATTTTTGCTTATCTCAGTGTATCATGGAAAACTAAGGTTTAATGTGCATTTTGCATTTATAATCTACATTTGTACATTATCTTTTTAGGTTTTGAGTTGTAACGAATGTGAGAGTGTATGGGTTGGCTTTTATTTGCCTCTTCATATATCACTGCTTAGGTTATTGACTTAGTCCAAATTAGCAAAGATAATGTCAACAATTTTATTTGGCAATTCAAATGCTTGGAGCTAAGTCCATTACCATGTGTTCATAGGGATAGATACTCAGTACATAGGTTATCTATGTTGTAACCACATTTATTATTAAATGAAGTTCTGATGAGTGATCTGATAAAATTATTGAAATTAAAAATTGTATCATGAAATAAATTATTGTCACAATATTATTTCAATTTCTTTTTTAATTCGTCATAGTAAATTTCATACCTGTAGGTTTTACAAGATTGGGCACATCATTTTATAATCTAAAGGTATCATGTATTTTAGTTTCTTATGGGTTTGCTTGATTTACCTCAGTTGCTTCCATGCACTTACACTGAGTAAAAGATAAACGAAAAGAAAAAAAAATGAATTGAAATCTTGAAGCAGGGCTTAACATTGTCAGTAGCCAGGGCTAGAAGACTGCAAGGCTGGACAACTTATGGTTAAAAGATTTGTGGTACAGTTTAGAATTGATTTTGTCATAGGCAGTTTTTTAATTACTAGTTTTTCTAAACCCTTCTGACTTTGAAATGGCTGGTCCATTGAATTATGTTTAAAGTTATTTATAAATGTTATAACTGATACAACTTCTTTCATCAGAAATTTTACTTAAAACTACCATAAACGATCTCGTTTTATTGCTATGGATGATGAATAATTGACTGATGGACAGTCATCTTGCAAGCTGCAGGAGTCCTCTGTGTGCCAAAGTAAGGGGTTCAGATAATAGACCTCAGGCTCTGATATCTAGTGTATGGCAATCATTCCAAGTGATATTGCAATCATACCAAATATTGAGTATTTTGAGACTATTTTGAAAAAAAGGTCATTATATTGTGTGCATCAGAATTTTTTTTTTCCTTGGGAAATCGGTTTGCTCTGAACTTAGTTTCCTTAGCTACCAAAGAAGGGAAAGTTTTCTAAAACCTGTGTTTGTTAATTCCTGTAAAAATTGTGTACTAGTACACCTTATTGATTCAAGAATTTTGGTGAGTCACACACATCTTTATGGATTACTTAGAAGTATAACTGAGGAAGACGGCATTGCTTCATCAGAGCTGGCTGGCGTGTTCTTGGCACGTTATGTATAACCTATACCACAAAGAAGACCTACATCCTGAATATACAGATAATAACAGGATATTTTATAAGCAATAAATCACTTGCATGCCAATTTAAAGTGCACATACCCAAACAGAGAATTGACATTTAAAAGGTAAATGTCTCAGCAGAATACAGATTCTCTGTCATTTTTCATATTTTGCAAATGTTCAATAGTGTTTAACTGATGCTTGCATTTGATTTGTCATTTGTTTGCAGAAATATGTAATAAAACTGTATGTTTGTATAAAACAATATTAACAAGTACATTTTTCTATTTGAGACCTTATACAGTTTGCCTCAGAACAGTTGTATGACTTTATGAAAATATACAAATCACCTTCAATGCAGTATAAAGAAAGATGAAATTGGGATCTGTAATTAACTACATACATATATTTAAAACATTTTAGTTGAACTATAATTGCTAATAGATGATGAATTTGTTAGTAAATAGAGTATGATTATGTGCTAATTACACCGAGTGCAGTTCCTAAATTGTAACTAATATTAATTTTTTTCTCTTGATTTCCCCAGGCTGACAGTAATGGAACTGGTGCTGTTGGTGCCATGGAAGCAGCTAATTTTATGAAGAAGTCTGGACTTAAAGAAAAAACACTCTCACAGGTGAATATAGTCCTGATTGACAGATGCATGTTAAAACTGCCCGTGCGATTTGCATAGATGTGTATAACTTAATGTAGTTTAACTTTACTGAATATGGCATCTAGCATTATAAAATTGAAAAATGAAC